AAAATGTTCCAGGCGTTGTTCCCGGGTTTTCATGAAAGTTGGTCGGAAGAGGGCAGCGCGGACGTTCCGCGGGCGGAATCCGCGATCCGTGCCGCGTCCCCTGGCCTCATGTTTACAATATACATTTTTATGGCCGCGATTCTTTTATGGCTCTTAATCTCACTGGGATGAACTCTAAAAGTTGGTAAATTGCGTTCCGCCCCGAGTCGGTGTATCTCCGGGGTTTCTTGCCTCGCGGCTTACGTCGGCCGCGAGAGGTAAGCGTCGTGTAAATATTAAAGATGGAGGAAGGCGCGAGGCCGGGGCTCGCATTTAACCCTGATTTAACTCGAATGATCCTTCGTCCGCATTTATTCACCGCCTGGGAGGAGGAACGAGGTTCCCGGGGCTTAAATAGCCGAGAAAAAGCCTCGGGATTAATCGCGGATCCGCGAGGCCGCCAATATGGCGCGTCGCTTTCATTGTTCCCTCGTTAACCTCACTTTTTAACGCTCATTGCGCGAATGGCGCGGCTTACTTTTCGCGAAACTATGTATAAGCTTCGTCTATCCGGGCAAAACGAGGCTTCTTTGCTTCTCACTCCCTTTTATCTCCCCTTTTTCTCCCTCGCGTTCTGAATTCCAAGATATTCAAGATGGCGGCGCGCCTCGATCCATAGAACTCCTTTCAGGGATTTCCGATGACTTTTTATCCCACTACAATATCAAAAATAGATCCAAAGACGCTCCCCTTGAATTCCTCTCCTCCTTGCGATCCAATAATGGTTAATATAAGAACCAATTAACAAAGCTATCTAATAAAAATAATCAGTGAATAAATCACGCGTTCATGAGTCTATAAGATCCAAGGATTAGGTTGAAATTTCGAGCGCAAGTCTCGCGCTTCTCGGACGGAACTTCCGGCCTGGGCGGTCTGAAAACGCATCTAAGGAGTGCGGAATAATAACGCGTCTCTTAAAAGAGACGCGAATAAAATCGTCGGAAAAGAAAATAATCAGTGAATAAATCACGCGTTCATCAGTCTATAAGATCGAAGGATTGGTTTGAAATTTCCAGCGCAAGTCTCGCAATTCTCGGACGGAACTTCCGGCCTGGGCGGTCTGAAAACGCATCTAAGGAGAGCGGAATAATAACGCGTCTCTTAAAAGAGACGCGAATAAGTTCATGAGTCTATAAGATCGAAGGATTGGTTTGAAATTTCCAGCGCAAGTCTCGCAATTCTCGGACGGAACTTCCGGCCTGGGCGGTCTGAAAACGCATCTAAGGAGTGCGGAATAATAACGCGTCTCTTAAAATAGTCGCTCGCGTATGCGAGGCTCACGATGAGATCCACAGGAGAGCTATTGACGATAGGGCGAGTAAAATGGCCCACTCGTGCGAGTGGTGCATAACCGGTCCGTTCCTCGCATCTCTTGGTCCACGACGGTATCTATCCGCGGCGGAACGGCCGGAGAGGGATCTCGCCGGCAAACATCCGGGGATGCACTTAGGTGCGTTACGCCATCGCCTTCTCGCCGATGCATCGCCGACTTGCATCCGCGAACCGCCGAAGAGAGGTTATTTATGTAATTTACGGTCAAGTGCTCTCGACGTCTGTTGGGATATTTTTTTCTTTTTTTTTCTCCGCTCGAAAGAATTAGAAAAAAATTGGATTGATCGCGACACGTTGATTCCGTTGGAACCGGCGGTATGACCAATGAGAACGGGTACTTTCCGGTAGAGCCGCGGATCTTTCCGCTGGAACCAGATCATGACGATCCCGATATTACCGGAATTACGGAATCGGTATGTTGTCTTCAATGTTGAGATCATTGAATTGGGAGACATTTTTTATTTCACATTTTTCATTTTTTATTTCATTTTTTTTACTCCACGCGACGCGACGATTCAAACCTGTATACTATATAAAAGAAAACAATTGTAAAATTCCAATCTATCCGTCTAAAATCCGGAGAATATCCGATATCCGAGAAATACATCCCTCGGGTACATTTACAGATCTAGGGTTTCAGAAATCTATCGAGGTAACTTTCTACGTACATTTACATCCCAACATTACTGTACTTGAGACCTCCACCCATCATTACATATTATATACTATGATATACACCGTTAAAAAAATTTTTGCAATTTTATTCCGTTTATTTGGAAGTTTCGGAGCAATGTATAATAAATTCACGTTGAGGACGTGAAAGATTTCTAGTTTTATTGTAACCTCCTGTACTGAAAGTACACTCATTTTGTGATTCTATTTAACGGTGTATTGTTATATATCATTTTGTATCGTTACAAATCGTGTAATTCTCATCAATCCCCTCACCCTCGAAAATCATCCCTTTTCTCCCCAGGCTTCCTCTTGTAACCTACTCCGAAATATCCGAAAAAAATTATTCCCACCCTCAGGGTGCACTTTCCCGCCACCGCGAGAGTTACAAAAATTCGCCAGGAGCCGTGTATGCAAATTTCCCGACCCCGAGGGAAGTGCCGAAATTCCGCGGCGGCGTAATCGCGGCCCTTTCTTCCGCAGCCCTCGGAAATTCGGCAAAAAGGCGTTTCCGCGTTTCCGCGGACTCGCTTTGCCGTCGATCCGCCACGGGAAACGCACCCGAAATGAAATCCGGCCGCAGTATCCAGTTTTTTTCCGGCATTCGCCCCTTTTTTCCCGCAGCCCTTCTTTTCCGACATACTGTAACGAGGACATTTGTATCATACAAGAATCGGTAAAAATTTCAAGTCCTTCCCTCTCATAATTTGGTCAGAATTTCTCCCTTAGGACCTCCCCAAAATTTGGAAAAAGAAAAGAAACCTAACAGGTGGAGATTTTATAATCTCTGGGAAAAATTGCAGGATTTTCGAAAATGAACGACACTCTTCCGAGGTTGTGAGGCGGATTTTTGGTATCGCTGAATTTCTTCTTTTGTTTATATTCATTGCTTTTCTTTTTTTCTATTCCTTTGGAGTCGTTTGATAGACCGCGAAGACCATGGGAAAGAAGGTGGGACAAGGGAACCAGGTACGAGAAATTCCGGGAATATTGCGGTGTCACCTCCACCTTGGAGGGGTCGGTAAGGGCGGGAAACACCTTCCTGAGCAATATCGCTGGCCAGGTCGATTTTTGCGAATCTCGAATCCTGGTGTCAAGTGGTGTCGTCGAATGGCGCTCTCCCGTGTCAAAGCGCCACCTCTGGCTCGCTTTTCGGTTCGTAACTCGACTATAACCTCGACGTGCCTGCCTTTAAAGTTATTGCCCCCGGTTCGATTTCCACCGCGAAACCGCGCTCGCGTTTCCCGCCCTGATTCCATTTATCCGCGATTATTTTCTCGCCTCCATCGGAATCGCCTTCGTCGATTATTCCGTCGAAATCGTAACCATTTATGATTACGATCAAAATTTTATACAAAAATGACTCGGAGAAAGGAATGAATTTTTTTGAAAAAATATTTTTGTGAATAATCATTGACCTCTTCTCGTTGTTTCTGAAAAATCCAGGAGATCGTAAGGGATGAAGAATTATCCGGGATTATTTTATCGCCTTCGTTGATTATTCCGTCGAAATCGTAACCATAAATGGTTACGATCAAAATTTTATGCAAAAACGACTCGGAGAAAGAAATCAATTTTTTGTGAATAATCATTGACCTCTTCTCGTTGTTTCTAAAAAATCCAAGAGATCGTAAGGGATGAAGAATTATCCGGGATTATTTTATCGCCTTCGTTGATTATTCCGTCGAAATCGTAACCATAAATGGTTACGATAAAAATTTTATGCAAAATCAACTCGGAGAAAGGAATGAATTTTCTTGAAAAAATGCTTTTGTGAATAATCATTGACCTCTTCTCATTGTTTCTGAAAAATCCAGGAGATCGTAAGGGATGAAGAATTATCCGGGATTATTTTATCGCCTTCGTCAATTCCTTCGAAATTGTAACCATTTATTTTTACGATCGAAATTTTATGCAAAAACGGCTCGGAGAGAGGAATGAATTTTTCTGAAAAAATGCTTTTGTGAATAACCATTGACCTCTTCTCGTTGTTTGAAAAATCCAGGCGATCGTAAGGAATAAAACAACGTATCTGAAAAATCCAGGAGATCGTAAGGAAAAAAACAAAATGAGCGATGAGAGGCTTCAAGTTCTTCGACAGTGAAAACTCGAGAAGAGGGAACTCTCGGAGGCGCCAGTCGAAGCCCTCGAACTCGATCCACCTCTTGAAGGGTTAATTTAGCCGAAAAGTGGATCGATGATCCAGGAAGGACACTAGATCCCGGGGAGAGAAACTTGGGATCAATGGCCATCCTCTACGGGAGCGCGTCTCCTCCCGACCCTATACGCTCGTCCTTTGAAATCATATCCTTCTCCTCCCCATGGCTCGACAATCCTCTCTTCCGCCTCCTCGACCTCCGAGGTATTTATATTAAATACCGGCGAAACCCGGCGATCAAATTAGACAACGTTCCCTCGAGTGCCGGGCACAAGAGTGGCCCGAGTTCTCAAGAGGGCCAGTGGCCCCGAATTTCCTGTCGTTAAAGAAAACGGCGTCGTTAAGAATTTCCGCTGCATCTTTCAGCCCGGCATTCTCCAATTATCCGAACCCTGGGAAGCAATTTGCATTTTTCCCGATTTCTTTTTCTTTTCCCAATTTTTTCCGGATTTTTCTCTCGCACTGAAACCGCCGAAAACAATTATTTCCCGCGACTTCCGCCGGAAATACAGAAATTCTGTCCCCTGTCATTGGTTACATAAAAGGAAATGCTTCTCAGGTTAAATCCTGAATTTTTTAACTTTAAAGTTAAGAGAAAGAATACTACAGATTAATAGAATACCTCGACTTCGATCGACCTGCATGAGTCTCGCGCCAAGTACATTTTTCAGCCGACCGAGCCTCTATACTGCATTCATGCGTTACATAGGGTAATTGCGTGGAATTAGATAACAATATCAGATTTGACAAATGTTCATTGGACCGATTTTTAGTTTTTTCGTTAATCTTGGGTTTTCAGCCTGTGGCAGCCAGGAATTCAGGTGCAGGAACGGCCAGTGCATCGAGAGCAGCAAACAGTGCAACGGAGTGCAAGACTGCTACGACAGGTCCGACGAAGTCAATTGTCGTGAGTACACCTTGACTTTCTCTCGCTTATTCGATTCTCGCCGCCATTAGTCGACCACTAATGGCGTTTTCCTTCCCGGATGGTCGGCTAAAAATAGTCGACTCTTCCCGAACATGTACGCCTTGTCTTAACGCACCTAAGGGGAATGCACTGGTGCACCTACGAAATCGCATAATCGGATCAGCTTACAAAGTCGATCGATCGTCCGGGATCGAAGACTAGCTGTGCGAGGAAAAGAAAGGCTTTCTTCGCATCCTGTAAAAAATTCTAGATATCGTACAATTTTTTTTTTTTTTTTTTTCTTATCAACGGGATGTACAAAGGTATCACAAAAATTCCACAGGTTGACTCGACTCATGAAATGCGAGGAGGGATTTTTTTATCCAACGAGGACTTGCAAAGGCACTCAGGAAAAATTCCGCAGGTGTAGAGTTAATCGGGAATGTCCGAGGGAATTTTCTGAATCTTCGGAGCGGAGGAAGAAAGCCTTTCTTGACGTCCAGTGTACAGTAGAATTGTTGTCCACCGTTTGCAATATTCGCAAAGTGTTCTGGCATGCATATGTGTTCAGTAGACGTAGAGTTCCGAAGGCCGGAAGCCTCCCGGCCTAGAATCAGTGTTTAGTACCTAGCTTTATTCGTTCTTACCGTTTTACCGTCCACCACTGTGCTTAACTTTACTCTCGGGATGCACCAAAATGTACAGTTAAACTTTTCCTAATTGTTATTCGTGTTCCGGAGGTCGTTCGAGCTCCCTCTTAGAGATGTCCGGGGATGCGGAGAGATGTTCGCGAGATGCTTGCTCTCTTTATTATTAACTTTCTCGCGTACCTTTGGTCCGCCGACCTCGCAGAATGCAACTCCACCTGCAGCTTCCCCAAGGCTCGGCGAAAAGTTGGAAAGGGTCGTTTCAACAATCATTCGACTCGCTCGACTTCGTCAGGGCTAATTCCTGTTTAAAGGGAGTCGAGACTCGAATTAACAATATCGTGGAAAAACAATTCCTATAAAAAAAAATTCAACTTTACAACCAAAAAAGCCGCCCGGCCGTGCCTGAAGTGTGACAAAAAAAAACAATGGCGAAAATAAAAAATAAGATTAAAAAAAAGAATTAAATTCGGGGGGTTCATTTTGTCTTATCGGTTATCCATTTCACTTATTGGTCCGAAGTAACGATATGAGAAACGGTAATTAATAAATTTTCTATACGGCTCTTGAAGTCGTAAGTACTTCGACCCTGAAATTTTCACTTCTATTTTTATTTGCAGTCCAGTAATTTCTTTTCAGGAAATAAAAATACAGAAAATAAGTTTTATTCGTTCGTACGTTTCCCCATTTAGGAGTGAAATTTTGAAATCGTGGGTACTTGGATAAAAGACCATTTCCGCGGATGCACCGAACGACTGGGTGCGTGGTAATGGAGGATTTAATGCACGCTTCAAGGTCCTCGATCTTCCTTGGTGGCTCCCTTCCTCGAAACTTCCCCGAAGGGGGATCGCGTTAAACCGCGGCCATAGCGATCGTAATTATAAACCCCGCTCCCTAGAACTAGCGCCGGAAAATTATCGCCGAGCTATCGGCCGAGCTCGGGTAACGCACTTTCGTAATTACCCGGAACGGTACAAAATTGAGCCTGACCAATCGCGGCTCAGGATTGCGCGTTTCCCTTCGGGCTGAATTCTTGCGAAAGCGAATTCCAAGGTAAAAATGAAAAATAAGTAACGAATCATAATTCCTGATAATTTCAATTCAAGGGGGAACAATTAAAATTCCACATTTTGGCAGGGAAAATGAGATATAAAACCCTTAGAATTTTCGGAATAAACGTGAGATACGCTTACAATTTCTTTCCAGTGTATATTCTTGCGAAAGCGGATTCCGAGGTAAAAATGAAAAATAGGTAACGAATCATAATTCCTGATAATTTAAATCCAGGGGGGAACAATTAATGTTCCACATTTTGGCAGGAAAAATGAGATATAAAACCCTTAGAATTTTCGGAATAAACGTGAGATACGCTTACAATTTCTTTCCAGTGTATATAACGTTTGCAATAAAAGACGAGATATTATTCGTAACGCATAAAATTTTGCGGAGTAAAAATCGATTTTATTTTTATTTTCGACGAACACAATGTTCGCGGTGTACATGAGATAATTTTGAAACCGCTTGGAAATTTTCGCAGTAAAAAGAAATGCGTGGAATTATTTTTCCGAAACACAAGGTACTCGGAAGATCACGAAGACCTTTATTTCTTCGGGGATTAAACTGAAAAGTCAAATTGTAGATTGAGCGGGGAGAAAAGATGAAAATGAACCGCGTTAAGGCGAAAGACCACGGGGAACGAAAATTTGGCCAAATTCCTCCGGACTTAAATTTCCCGCCACCCCCTTGAGCCCTGGGGATGAAATTTACGTTTATTAGCCGCTCTAATGACCGGGCCGCATTTTAATCCGACGTTAATCTCCCCGGGACGAGGCCGCCGAATCCGCGGACACTCGTCGGCCCGAATTTCCACATTTTCCACATTTTCCCGTCGTGTAATCCGATCTTGATTCGCGTTGGTTAACTTGACGAGGCCTGGTCACGCAACTCGACTCCTCCGAGCCCGATTTTGCATGTGAAAAAAAATTCGAAAATCCACCACCCTGGGATTTATCAAATCCCGATTACCTCCAGGCAGACATAAAACACGATTACGATCCTCTGAGAAAAAGTATGCCGACAATTATACAAGACTAGACACCCCCTTCTCCCAATTTTCATCGATCCTCCGCATGATAAAGAGAAATTGCTAATCATTATTTTTCGTAATTAAAAAATCCTCGATTTTCGGGACGTTACGCACTTTTCCCGGCCGTTTATATAATACATTCGTTCTGATAAAATGATCGTGGACCTTGATATTTCCTTACATATTTATTTGTAACATAATAAGGTATTAAAGTAAGGATACAATCCGCTCAACTTCTGCATGCCTATTTTTTTAATATTTTTTTATTGTCATTTAGGTACACTTTGTAAACAGTTTCCGGGGAGTATTTATCGGAGCAGTTTCCAACTAATGGTATCCCCGATCGAAAGCTCTCGCCAGGACGTTTCTCGGGAAGCGTCGGTAGTCATCGAGCTCCCAATCAATGGCGGAAACACGTCACGATCTCCGCGGAAAAACGGGACCGCCATTCTCTCGGGCTTATCACGAGGGCTCGATCTCCTCCGGCGATAACTCGAAAGAGGCGCGCGTCTCGAGTCGCGATCTTCTCTCGAATGCCTTGGACGAGCCTTGAACTTCCAAGCCACTGATAAATGACTTTGCGTCGCGTATCCCGACGCCATTGGTCATCCTCCAGAGTCCTTTTTCGCTCGCAAATCTCCAGTCTAACAACGCCGACATAACCTAACCTAACCTAACCTAACCTAACCTAACCTAACCTAACCTAACCTAACCTAACCTAACCTAACCTAACCTAACCTAACCTAACCTAACCTAACCTAACCGGGCTTTTTGCATTCTAACCTAACCTAACCTAACCTAACCTAACCTAACCTAACCTAACCTAACCTAACCTAACCTAACCTAACCTAACCTAACCTAACCTAACCTAACCTAACCTAACCTAACCTAACCTAACCTATTTTATGCCACGAAATCTTGGCATTCAAACTGCGGCCGAGACTCGCCGATAACTCCCCAGAAAAGTGTTTTACTCGAAATGTCACATTCCGAGATCTTGGTATGATCCTCTAGTAACGTTCAACAACGTTCATTAACATTCATCAACGTTCGCGACGACGAATTCCCTATGACTTCTGGGGACCCCATGAACATGAAAGAAATATTTCTTTGAACAATGCCAAAGAAATGTATTGTCAATACAAGGAATTCAGAATTGACAATTTCAATCAAATCGATATTCTTGAAATTAACAAATTATTTCTTCGGTTTAATGAACCGTTTCTTATAAGTGTGGGAACCTCGTGTAAATTGAAAAACGTTCGATTTTTCGATTTGTACGTGTCGAGCAACGTGGAATTGAAAATATGAAATTTTCTTGTAAATCTGCAGACTAACCATTGACTAACTGTGTGTTGTAATAATCCAGCAAACGTGAAATTAAATTAATAAGGGATGTCGAATAATTATCCGAGGTATTTCATGTTCCTTGTTTAATTGTTTATTGGGGTTAAGAGAGATACCGAGTATTGTGGAGTTTTTGTTTCAATCTTCGATGATTCCAAACTCGATCGCTCAGTCGAGATATTTTCTGAAAAAGGGCATAAAGTAAATATCTTGATTTGAATTTATGGAAGCTCAACTTAACGTTCCTTCAGATCGCTCGATTGGCGTGGAAATCTGCATGGGTTGTTCATCAACATTGAACAATGATTAATGACAGAGGAGTTGGCGACGCCGGGGGCAATTTCTCTTGTTTTGCTTTGCTTGTCCAAGAATAAGCTCGTCAGACTTCCTAGTCGTAAAGTCATGCTACCCCAGCGATGGATAAATTTTCTACCTAATTATTAACGGTATTTACAACTCCAGTAAGTAATCAACTTGAAAATCGCTGACACTAATCCGATCGTCAATAATCGGTAATAAATTCCAAAGTACGTCACACTGTTCCTAACGATTAATTCCCTCACACCATAAATTATTGCATTTACGTCATTACCAGTGAAATTAATTTTGCATGTATTTTAACGTTACTAATAATTTTTAACATTTAACAATTTACGGCATCGCAACGTTGGATAATTTCTCCCTCGAAGTTTCGAGGGACTTTTTGGTAGACTTTCCGAATTTTGATGATTAATGGACTGGACTTTAATTTAGGGAATATTACAAGGACTTACGATGTACAGACAATGTCGCTTATTCCTCTAATGTGTCTTCTTCGCTTTTCCAGTGTCGCAATTATTTCGACTCTTGTACAGAGAGGTCATTATTGTCATGTAACATTACCGTGTTAATTCGTCCCACCTCGAGAAGAGCTTTTCTATCCACGCGCAGCTTCGCCAGATATTGAAAAGTAGAAGGTAAATAATTGTCAAATCGTCGACCTCATTGTTTAATACTTATATCGTCAAACATCGACTCTACACATCTCACGCTTTATTCGTCCTTCTCAATTCTTCGTCCTTTTCGTATCATACTTGGTCGAAAACTCACTTTTCTCCTTCCCTTCGCAGCTAAAAAATTGTTTACGAGAATACTTCTTAACGAAAGATATTGTTTAATAGCATTATCCTTTACATGACATTAATTAGTTTGTTGCGCAACGAGAAATTTCGGCATTAAACGTAAATATTGAAGCATTGTATTTGGCTCGAAACTCTACCGAGTTTCTTGACGTGAACAATTTTTCCCATCTCTTGTATCTCCATATACTTTTCACTTTCTTGTATGTCATGGGACTTTCTTCTATTAATGTCTTCACCCTTGTAGGAAAGTCACGGTTTTCCTCGACCCATTTCTCGTACCTTTGGGCATTTTCCTCTTGTCTGATTGTAAAACGATCGATCGTGTCTTCGCTTCGATGGCCTATCAAAGTCGCCCCATATCGGTGGAAGGTTTTTCGAACTATCAGCGACATTCGATTCTTACAGCATGCCGAAAGGATGAATTCGAATGCTCCCCGGGTTACTGCCTGCCTGAAAGTCGACGGTGCGATAACACCATGGACTGTCAGAATGGAATCGACGAACAGGGCTGTCAAGACCACTGTACGGACTCGCCAATTTTTCCTACTCTCCTAGGAGACTTAGCGAAATTACCTAAGTATCGATTGTCTTGCAATCAATTTCCGATTCTCCATTATCGCGACGAGACATGTCGCGTTCGGTCGTTGAAGTCTCCGGCTGTCGCCGTGCAAAGCGAGAATTAAGATAGCGACCGACGGGATGTTTCATTCGAGATATTACCTCAATTCGATTCAAAAGTACAATATCCACGAGCTGACTAACTGATAATGGTCTGTACGTGGTATACAGAAATAGTTTAATTTATTTTTAAATGCTCTACATCGCTTTCTTTCGGAGGTCGGCATTGAAGTCTCCGGCTATGTTTCATTCGAGATATTACCTCAATTCGATTCAAAAGTATACTATCCACGAGCTGACTAACTGATAATGGTTTCTACGTGGTATACAGAAATAGTTTAATTTATTTTTAAATGCTCTACATCGCTTGTTTTCGGAGGTCGGCATTGAAGTCTCCGGCTGTCACCGTGCAAAGCGAGAATTAAGATAGCGACCGACGGGATGTTTCATTCGAGATATTACCTCAATTCGATTCAAAAGTACAATATCCACGAGCTGACTAACTGATAATGGTCTGTACGTGGTATACAGAAATAGTTTAATTTATTTTTAAATGCTCTACATCGCTTTTTTTCGGAGGTCGGCATTGAAGTCTCCGGCTGACGCCGTGCAAAGTGGGAATTAAACGACACTAAAAATGCCTCTAGCCAACTTATGGTAGTTAAAAAATTAAGTAAAAACAGTGAATGCTGAATTTTGCCTCGGGAAGGTGGAGATAAAATTATCATAATATCGGCGAAGTCGCTACAGGCGTTTTCTAAAATGGGGACCACACTCGAAGTGCCTCTGAGCACCTCACGAGCGTCCAAGAATTTAGTATACGGTTCACTTAGAAGTGCATTTAGAATGCTTTGCACGATGTGCAAGCATACACGCTCGATTAGGTGTATGGATCGTGGTGTAGGATAACGACACGTTACAGTTGCACGAGAACGTGCCTTACGGGCATTTACGTGTACTCGAATCCTAGCGGATTATGTAAGTACTGTTCTCATACACCAGGGATGGCCCAGGAATGTCTTCCGCGATTCGCGTCGTGAAATCGATCCAAAGGAAAGATATAATCAAAGAAAAATAATAAGCAAATGACCCTCCCCGCACAGAACGAATAATTAATTTCCTTAACTCTCCAGAAATTCATTTATAAATAATTAACCGCAGTGAATTCTATTAACTCTAGGAAAATCCCGTTTCATTTTTACTTATTTTTTGGGGTACTCAATGACACGATATCGATCGCCATAAGAACGCTCGCTAATAAAAATCAAGAAATCGATAAGATAATTGCTATAATCGTGAAATTTAAATAAAAATTTCACGGCAACCGTCTCCAAAAAGAAAAAAAATATCTGCCATCGGGAAATGGAGCAGATTCTGCGGTTATATCGATTTCCCGAAAGCCTGGAGCTGTCTTTATCACTAATCAACCCGCGGTCTAAATTAAGAGGTACGAAGGCCTTCAACCTCATTCTCTACTTTTGCAAGCTCGTTACATCGCAGCTTTCAGGTCGGATCCGCGTCTTACACATATACATGTCTCTTATTTTTGGACTTTGTTGGCTTGCCCGAATTCCGGGACGAGGTGAGAAATTTACGAGATCGAATGTCGATACTTCTCGATAAATAAAACGGCACCTGCAATGCATCCAACTCATCTATACGTTTCTAACTTCCGCGTGTCAATAATCAAAATTTCTGACGAATTCAAAAGTCGAGCCTGCGAAATACGTCCATCGTATCGATATATTCCGGAATAACTCAATTTAACTAATTTCCAACTACTCCCGTTAACGACTCATTACTGGCAATTATGTGTCCAATTTCCCGGGAAAGTTAATAATTACACGAGATACGAGAATATCTGATATCTCGCCCAAGAAGTATCGGGAATTATTTAGGAATTATTTATATTCGGGAGTTGCACAGAGGGTGGTTTTTATTAATTGCTCGTTATTAACAGTGAATGGGAGAAAAATTAATTGTAACACGAAATGTAGGGATATCTCATTTTCTGAGGTGAAACATGATTCGAAAATAGCTCAGGAATGATTGTAGAGGTTTGTTAATAATTTCTCTCGCCGTGGATTTTTTTATGCAATTTTTAGACATTTTATCGAATCGGGGATTTGATAAGGCGAGGAGAGAATCCGAGTTGCGACTTGATTAATTTTCTTTTCCCCTGGTTTCAGTCTCGCGTCGAGGTTCTTCTTTTGTTAACTATTTTCCATTGAACCTTTCTTTTTTATGATTTTTACACAGCCACGTGTAGACCCGAGGAATTTCAATGCGCCGATGGACCGTGTGTCAGTAAAAGTGCAAGATGCGACGGTCGTTCGGATTGCAGGGACTATTCCGACGAGTACAACTGCAACGGTAGATTATTTTTCTGTTTACCCCATCCTAAACAATTGCACTTAACCAACCACCCTATTTAAAAAAGTTTGATTAACCAATTAAATTTATTTACCTTACTTCTTCGTTTCATTTCCCTTCATTAGCCGCCGAATGTATTCAACCGCCATTAGAAAAATCCTAAAAAAATCAATTAATTCATTATCTCGATTGTTTAGCAGTTAACGAATGTTTATAACTCTTTCAGTGACGACCTGCAGCGGGGATCAATTTCGCTGTCGCGATGGAATTTGTCTCAGCATCGACAAAAGGTGCAACGGAGTCGCGGACTGTCGCAACGGCGAGGACGAGAGTCAATGCGGTGAGTCCTTTTTAATTTTCCTCTCCTCTGTTCTCTTTCAATCATCGCCCAGTATTTCTCATAACTGCTCATAGAGTTAGGGAGAATCGATAAAAAAATTCATCTAGAAGAAGCCCTGGAGGAAATAATTAATACGAATTTTATAGGACCTCCCGCGCCTACGTCCCCCAAGTGTGCGTTACAGGTTCTGAATTTATATCCAGGATTTTTTTTTTTTTTTTCATAAACCGAATCGAGCGTGAGAATTATTTCTCGCTCGAGAATCTTTCCACCGGCCTTTGGACATTCTCCGAAAAGCGACATGAAATTTCCAAGGTGTCCGGAAAATTTATCATCGATGAAGAGCGGATTTTAATTTCTCGAAGAAATTCATTCGGCGTTTCTTCTTAGTCGGGAAAAATGTACGATCGAATTTTCTTTCTTTCCTTTGTCGCGGAGAAAATCTCTGGATTATTTTCACGGTCGTTTCGGACACCTTGTAGACTTTTATGGGCACATGCAAGGTTGAAACCTGGACAGGTTGACAGGATGCTCGTCCACTCGTGAGTACCTTATGCACGACGATGGAAAATGGTGACCGTGAAAAACTCATCTTCGCCGTCCACCTTAATAATCGGGGCTCCAATTTCATTTTCCCCGACCACGCTCGGTCGGCTTTTCGATTTTCGATTTCCCGACCGACCGATGAAACCTCCTTATCGATCGATAACTTGATAAGACCAGTCCCACCCATTGCACATCTCAGAACAGGAATAAAAAAATCGCCCCAGCATCCACCGATGGTCCTCCGTCCACTCCAGACTACTGAAAAAAAAAAAGTATCGTTAACACAGATTTCGAAAAAAAAATCAAAGACATCCTCGAAGGTCTCCAAAATTTCATTAGCGTAAGGGCCTTCCTTATAGCCTCTATATTCACATTATAAAGTTTGAAACAATTTGGTAGCACTCAATTCAGAGAAAAGTTTCATAAGGAAGACTTTTTTGGCGCCACTTTCACGTCGCCTTAAGGGAAAAAAATAATTTGGAGCTGGTGGAGGCCTTCGAGGTCGTTACGATTTTTCTTTGCAAAGACCTCATCCTCCTTGAGCGTCTTCAGGGTGGATGAGGGGTTTAAGGTCTTCGAAAAACGGTCGTTAGAATTTTTTTCTGCGAAGACCTCATCCTTCTCTAGCGTCTTCAGGGTGGATGAGGGGTTTAAGGTCTTCGAAAAACGGTCGTTAGGATTTTTTTCTGCGAAGACCTCATCCTCCTCGAGCGTCTTAAGGGTCAATGAGGGGTTTAAGGTCTTCGAAAAACGGTAACGAGCTGGTGGAGGTGTTGGTGGGTGTTGCAAGGGCTGGCTTTAAAAGTGCATGAGCGTGATGTGTGGACCAGGTTGCGGAGCGAAGGATTTCCGCTGCGCTAACGACAGGTGCATCGACTACGAGTTGCAGTGTAACGGTGTCAACGACTGCCTCGATGGCTCCGACGAAAAAGACTGCGGTAACTATGTCTCATCTGCAATCATTCTCACATAGCCCCTCGTCTTGTCAGCCCTGCCCTAATCGGGGGATGATAATACGCGGACATGCACGCACATCTCCCCGGAGAGCTGCGCGAGATTCCGGACACGCTTTTGGCAAGAACGGAGTGAAAATGGATTTTAATTAACCGTTAATCGGGATCGAGGTTGATAAATAATGATCGGACGACAAATTGAAGCGATCGTTTGTTAGAATTTTTATTAACCGTGCATTTTATGCATTTGTATGCATTTATATGCATTTTAATTAACCGTGAATCGGGATCGAGGTTGATAAAGAATGATCGGGCGACAAATTGAAGCGATCGTTTGTTAGAATTTTGATTAACCGTGCATTTTATGCAGTTTATGCATTTTATGCATTTTATGCATTTATATGCATTTTAATTAACCGTGAATCGTGATCGAGGTTGATAAAGAGTGATCGGACGACAAATTGAAGCGATCGTTTGTTAGAATTTTGATTAACCGTGCATTTTATGCATTTTATGCAGTTTATGCATTTTATGCATTTTATGCATTTTATGCATTTTATGCATTTTATGCATTTTAATTAACCGTGAATCGGGATCGAGGTTGATAAAGAGTGATCGGACGACAAATTGAAGCGATCGTTTGTTAGAATTTTTATTAACCGTGCATTTTATGCATTTATATGCATTTTAATTAACCGTGAATCGGGATCGAAGTTGATAAAGAATGATCGGACGACAAATTGAAGCGTTGGTTTGTTAGAATTTTGAGGGAATTTAGTTGAAGCAGGCTTGAGCCCAAGACTCGGTCTTAGACTTGAAAGAAGCCGTGGAAGATCAGCTGATCACTGCAGAGAGAGAGAATAACTTCCGAGGAGTTTGTTCGAGGCGCACTCGAGGCTTCCTTTTGCGAGAAAGGAAGCACTTCAGGAGCCATTCGGCTGAATTGGTTTCGGTTTTGGATCATTTACGAGTCCCTGGAGGAGTTTCGTTCAATCGGCTTCCCCAGAGACAAGAAAAGTCTTGAATTTCTGTCGAAATCGCGCGGGAAGTCTGGATAAAAAAAAATGATAAAAAAATCAGCGCCCATTTTTATTCGAACCGTTAATGACTTAAGATAATTAGTTGAACCTTAATGAAAGCGTGTCGGAATCTCGCGTGCTCGATCTCTGTCTCTTGGACACCTCACTACCCTGCGTTTCTGTTTCATCGAACCATCATCGCTCTCGCCATCCTCATGACAAAAATCCCTAGTGACGGCACCATGGAAAAATGTCTACAACGACGTTCGGCTCTTCAGGGAGTACATGAAAAAGCGGGAAGAATCTAGATCATCGAAACACCCGAGCCTCGTCAAGCCGTTTGAAAGATACAGCTCGAAAATGGCCTCTCAAACGAGACAGGGCAAGACCCTGAGGAGACCATCGGACAACACGAAGAGCATCCACGACTCTTGGGAAGTCGATCCGGAAAAGCTGCTTGAAATTTTCCCAGAGTTCGGGAAAGCGCCCCGAGGTCGACTAAAGCTGGCCAACGAAAACGGGACCCTGAAGTCGCCGAAGGACGAGTGGGAGTCCGTTCGCCAAGGTCCGAAAATCGACCCTGAAGAGTTGGGGAAACGGATGAGAGAAATCCCTCGACCTAACAGAAACCTGGGGAACAACTACATCGAGGACCCTATTTTGGAGTCCTTCCCGCAATTGGGAATCTGGAAGCCGAAGAGTCCTCTTCGGTGGAAGATCCAAAACAAGAGGAAGAAGATGCTGAAGAAGGGCAGCCACGAGATCGGCGGCAATTCTCGGAGAAAAAATCACAGGAAGAGCGTCGTCCCCAGGGAGCCCTCGAAAAGTGGTGGACCAGGTTCTAGGGGGTCCTCCTCAAGGTCGAAAAATTCCCTGGAGATGAAGTCGAAAGAGACCTCGGTTGAAAAAAATAATTCCGGAAGACGTCGGAAATTGCCCCTCCCCAAGGGAGCAGCAAACCGCTATTACGAGAAGCACCTGAAGAACTTAACCACTACCCTGAAGACGACTTTGAAAACCACCACGAGTGGCCCAGAAATCGGGAACAAAGGGACTGATCTCTCCACCTTGAAGTCAACGGATGAAGTTGAAGCTTCGACCATGACGGAATCGAAAGAAAACACGAAAGGAGCTTTTAACGATGGTGAAGAAAACGAAGTGGAATTTACCTCGTCTAACTTGAGTACTTTTTTTGTTACCGAAAGCTCTTCTTCAGGGTCGACCGAGGACCAGTTCGAGGTGGTAACGTTCAAAGACATCGGAAATGAAAAGACTGCTCATTATGATTCCTCATCAGACCCTGACTTAGTTACGACTGCAAAAATGACATCAACTACGCCTTCGACTATTTCCACTGAAATTATCGTAAATGGATACAAGATCAAGCCTGGGAGCAAGGTCGAAAAGTATTATAAAAAGTACTTGACCAACCTTACCCCTTCGCCTCCGAGATCCACGACTAAGGTCGAGGAAACGTCAACCTCGAAAATGCCGAGTAACTCTTCAAGAAGTGAGAAGGTCCAAATTAGTACAACGGTTGCCACGAAATTGGGAGAAAAAGTTGCTGAAGAGGTTTCAAGGAAACGGAAGAAACACGGTAAAAAAAAGCATAGAAATGGAAAGGATGACGTATCGAAGACGACCCTAAAGAGCACTGTCTCTGCAATTACTGAAGCTACGACAGTGATAAAGGAGCCTGATAAGAATTTGACAGAAAAGTCATCTCAGTCATCTTCTAACTCGACTCTCGATGAAACTCTTCAAGGTCCGGTTCTCGAAGTGGAAAATTCGACCTCGACCTCTTCATCGTGTGAAAACGATGAAAAGTGCAAAAATAAATGTGGGAATGACTCTTCAGGTAAAAAAGGTGATAAGGTTAAAGGCAGCGAATCTAATGATATCGATTCTGGGGGAACGAATTCCAAACTTGGAGAAGAATGTTCAGAGACAAAGTCGGGGGGAAAAGTCAAGGAAAATTCGACGGAAAGTGTTGAGTTGTTTAATCAAACTACTGAAAACCCTTTGACGACCCTGAAGAGCGTCTCTGTAAAAAATGAGTGGAATTCGACGACGCTTTCCAAGGATCATGTCACAGATAATTCGATTAAAATTGAATTGACTACTTCCGCAGCTTTGGATAAAAATAAAGGAAATGGCAAAGGGAAGAAGAACAGGAAAAACAAGGGTGGGAATAAAAAGAGAAACGGAAAACGCACCTCGAAACGCGGGAAGGTTAAACCTACCGCGGCCGCCATATTGGATTCTCGAAGTGAAGAAACGACGCTTCCGATGAATACATTAACTGCCACCGAAAATGATAATATTACGGTAAGCCCCAGATCGGAATCAACGAGTCAAGAGTCGAGTACAAAAAGTACATCCACTTTCGAGATGCTGAAGAAGGATGATTCTCTAGAAAACGAGGTGGACGGAAATAATACAAAAATCGACGTCGATTCCAGGGACGTAAAACTGGAGTCGGAGGAGATCAAAGAGAATGAAATCGAGAACGGAAAAGGAATCGAATCGGAAAATAACATCTATCGAAGCGAGACAAAGTCAGAGACCCCGAAGAAAAAGAAGGAACTTGAAGAAGAGAACGAAAAGGTGGAAATAGAAGGCGGCACTAAAGAAGACAAAGGTACCGCTTCCAAGGAAGAAGCAAAGGAAGTTTCAAGCAGTACCGAAGAAGAAAAAGACTCGATGGGAACTTCAGATGCTGAAGAGGTACAGGAGGAAGATGACAATAAGACCCCGAAGAGCACGACATCGAGCAAGTGGGACGCTGAGGAGTCAAAAACTGAGAATAATTCCGAAGCGAACACGAAGAAAAATGTTTACGAGTCCTCTTCAAGGGAGCCACAAATCGCCAGCACAAGATACGTTTTAAAATCCAGCGAGAACCTGAAGAGTGGCGTGCCAAAATCCTTAAACTCGACCGAGAGGAGGAAATATTCTTCGACATCGCCGAGCCCCAGGACGACGACAATGAAAAAATTCGTGAAATTGGAAGCTGTGACTGAAAATTTCTTCAGGGAGGAGGTTTCGATGAACCAGGGCGATCTTCCACCGAGTCCCGAAGAAGGCGACGAAGACAGTCCCGACTGGGGAAACTGTCGGGACGACCAGCACTTTTGCGGGGAACTTTGCATAGAAGAAGACCTCCTCTGCGACGGAGAAGAAGATTGCAAAGATGGAAGTGACGAATGGGGCTGCGACTATTACATAGACCTGAAGAAGAAGTATCTTCGCCAGCAGATGCTGAAGAGTCACTTCGGCCAGGTGGACCCACGACTTGCCAGGGTGAGGGGTTGTGCAGAATTTCAACACTTCTGCGACTCTAAGTGCCTCGAAGAGCGAAAAGTCTGCGATGGGATCGACGACTGCTCCGATGGAAGCGACGAGGACTTTTGCGAGTATTACGACTACGAAGGTAGAGGAGAAAAGTTGAAGAGTACCCTGAAGAGAACCCAGAATCTGTGACGTCTGCTGTAAAAATGTGGCTTGGCCTTAAAATGGGCCTCGAGATATATCTGGGAATCGTCCTGAAGACGATCTTGAACAATCTGTCTTCTAAAGCCATCTGGGAATCTCTTGAACCGAATCGAGGAAGACCTCTAAAACTTCCTGAACCCGAAGAGGACCTTCAAAGCCTGTGACGTCCGCTGTAAAAAAAAATGGCTTGGCCTTGAAAGAGGTTCCAAAATGTCTCGTGTTAAAAAATCGTCCTGAAAACAACCCTGTCTGTCTTCTCGGATCTCCCGAAAATCCTCTTGGCTCTTATCAACGAGCAATGAAAATTCTTGCTGTACATATCAAACCGCGTCCGCCACTTCTCTCTCTGTCTTTCGCGTGTGAGAGTCCAAAGATCATGTAAAAAGAACTGTAAAAAATTTCAATCGGAGTCTCGCACCCCTTCGAAACCGAAAAACATCCATTTCCCCGAGCCTTGCGATTTCAAAAGAGAAATTCTTGTGTAACTTGTTTTAAATCAAGGAGAACCAGAAAATGAACCGAGAGGCGCTCCAAATTTTAGGTTAGGTGGTTTTCCAGTCCCTTCAGAGATTTCCCACGTCGTAACGTCTTTTCTGGACTTCTAAGGAAACCTCGACGCGTAGATTTCCCAACTGCGGAAGAAAAAGGACGGAAAACCGATACCGAGAAACTCATCCACGAGACATAACCTATACACCTGCCGGGATCCCTTCGGTGTATCAAACTGTGAAAACGAGCAGGGCAATAAAACTTGCTCCCCTGACCGGTATTACGGTGTCTTGCCGAGAAGATGAAATACGAGAGCCGATACTCCTGAAAGGAGCGTCCTAAAGTCCGGAGACCCTGAAGAAAACGAAGAGCAGAATCCTTCGCCACCGACGGCGTTGAAAAACGAGAATCGCCGGATGGGGAGGAAATTTTAGAAAATCCGCAAAAACCTCGTTTCTTATATTATTCACAAATGTATCATCCCCTTTTATCCATAAACAGTCCAAGAGAAAAATTAAGAGAGCTTGAAGGAAGAACAAAGTCTGAAATTTCAAGAAATCCGCCATCTACATGTTTTGCCCTTTTCTATAAACGCTTAAAAAAGCACGTCATCCTCTGAATGATGCCGAAGGAACGAGTCTCCACAAACAGGCTTCCTAAACCAGGAAAAGTCTGAAAAGGAGGAAATAATGAGTCCCTCTTAAGGTATAGACGCCCAGAAGTCGAAGGATAATGGAAATGCTGGGATTTCTTCACCGCGAAAGAAGAACAACTGGCGGCCAGAGGCCAAAGTGTTAATCCACGTGTTAACTGCGATTAATTTAGAGATTCTCTTTGACGAAATTTCTTCACAAGCTCGCCTCTCATCGTCATTAAAACACAAAATCGTACCCACACTCACTATAAGGGCTCCGCGAACCTCCATTGTACATACGCGCCATGTTAAAGGCTTTTTGTGTATTGTTAGTGAGGCCCGTAATGACTGGTCCCATTTCGGACCTTTGATCAGGACGGTGCTTTCCATGTGTTAACTCTCCCTTTCGAGTTTTCCGCCTAAACTGCTTTAAACGTTCTATATTCATAGCTTGCATCCGGCCCGAATCGCTCGCTTGCATTTACAGCGGTCCGCCATCTTGGACAGTCTTTCAGCCCCGATTTTCGCGATTTATTTTCCTCCGATTTAAATGAATTAACACGAATCAGTAACAGCCGTTTCCAGCTGTCGATTCTCGGAAAAATTCCATTTTCCCGCGGGATTTGTCGTTGATTTTTAATATCGGTTCTTTGGCTGCCTGTCCAATATGTCGGCCGTTGTTAATGGGAGCGACGTGATCGGTCGGAGGGCCTTTTTTTATCCATGGGTCCCGTAGGTTTGGCTCCGTGTCCCTCTATGGACTTCACCTGTGGAGATGGCTCTTGCATACCGAACAGCTCGGTCTGCGACGGATTCGACGACTGCCCCATGGCAGAAGACGAACTTCACTGTGGTATTTAGTTACTTCCTCCCCTTCACGCCATGATTTTCGATGTAGGAGGGACTAAAAATCCGCCACAATCAATTAAGTCGCGTTTTCGAGATCCACGGTCGTGTTAAAAAATAGAAAAACCCCTAAGATGGCCCAATCAATATTTTAAGAACCATAGAATTATATTTCGATGAGGCCGCGCGACATGTCTTGTGCAGGCGATGGCGTTGAAGTCACTCCGGCATCGAATCTCTGCCCTCGCTTCGCTCTCCGTAAAGTAGTTAAATCTCCTCGTCGGACCTATGATTTTCAAAATAAAAAATACACTTGCATTCCATGGAGTTCCTTGAAAATACATAATTTTTATATCGTGTGCCCGTCGATGATTTAATTGTTAATTAATTAAGTCATTGAAATAGCCAGATTGTAGGTCCGATGAGGTGTGGACTGTTTCGACTTTTATCGACAAAATCGAGGTTGAAACCGACCCTTCGTGTAAATATATCCTTTTCTATTAACGACTTGTCCTAATCCATGGAAAATGTATCGCCTTCTCGACGGAACCGAAATATTCAATAACCTCGTTAACTACGGCGCGTTAACAATAGAATTATTCCTACCGATCTATCGGCTGTAATAACTGCGTGTCGTCTTTAAAATTTAAATCTATTCAATGGAATCATGTCATGCGAGGCAAGGTTGAAACCTACACCTCTCTAGCTGACTCCATTCCTATTTTATCGGCGCAGCTAAATCCAACCTCGATAAATCAAACATTAATTCAATCGAGATGACGCAAGTTTGGATTTCTGCAATTCAAAGATAACAAACATCGTGTCATCGGATGTGTTCCAGTGCTTAATGATATCAGAAGTGGATTCATTAGCTCGATATCCTTGGCCATTCTGCATATACATAACACACACACTTAGTGTTGAATTTTAATAATTCAAGGAATGAATAAAATCCCGTAATATTTACCGCATTTTTATCGCGCCATATTTTGCCGTTACAGTTATGTCGTTACCTTTAAAACAGTGAGAAATCGACTGATCGAAGTGAGAAATATGCGATACTAAAAAGCGTGCTAAAAAGCACCGCCCAACAAAAGGTACTCTTAAGGCCGCTCGTTAACGAGGTTATGACAGCTTAATAACCGAGTACGGTCACTCGATTTGCATGAAGTATCGGGAATGTACCTTCACCCCACCCCGAATAATCTGGAGAAGGAAACCCTTCCTACTTCTATTTAGAAACTTCCTTCCCTGTACATAACCTCGAAGAGTGTACAACCATTTAAAAAGACTCGCTTGGAAAATATAAAAAGTGACCCCGAATCGCGTAAGACCATTCAACGTCTTCAGCGGTTATGTTGAAAAACATGAATTAGACTCTGTAATGTTCGCTTCTCTTCTTACTATCGATCTACGTATTAATTACCAAGTAGTGTACCTGTAATATTAACTTCTGAAGTAGAGCCTGTCCATTTCGCGTATCTACCCTCCCCGTATTCTCTTATACAGAAGTCTTGCATTAACAGTTCTGTAAATATTTCCACAGTTTCCGTAATTAGGGGAAATAATTCCCAATTAACCCGTAGTTGAAAACTGGGAAGAACGTGATTTTAAAAGAGTATCTCATATCGTCTCGCTCGCATCCACTCTACATCCATTTATCGACACGATTGTACTGCATATGAACGATATGACTGAAATATCGACCTTAAAAAACCGGAAAATTGTCAATTATTTGACATTTCAAATCTACCGCAATTTTTTTCCGAGAACTAGAAATGTTTCTTGACACCAGTACCATACTCTTCACCGCAACACCTCGTAGAAATTATTTTCTTAACCGGACAGGATCCTCCTTTCGGGAAAAAAAAATTCATATCGGAAGGCCGAGTCCCCCAAAATCTGCGCCCTTGAAATTTTGATAAACTTTAAACTTTCCCAGGAAAAATTGTGGGAAAAAGTTAGAACCATCCATTTCTCCAGACCCTCTGTGAAATGACAATTCCTCTAACGAACCCCATTGACACGTTAAGCCGGACCTGCGACAGAAAAGCGCTGAACAAATGTCTCATCCCGACCGTCCCTGAAAGACTCGTGAAGACGCTCCTTAAGGGGATGCAAAAGTGGCATCTGAGGGGTCCCAAACTCTGCCAAATCGTTTCAAGCTTCACAACCTGAATACAAAAACTACAAAGAAGATCCTGACGCCCATGAAATTTCATTTTCGTACACAAAATTTTGAAAATATCTATAAACAAATTAAAAAAAAATTGCAATTCCATGAGTGTCAGGATCTTCTTTGTAGTCTCCATATCCACGGGATAAAGTTTGAAACGATTCGCTGCACCCAGTTCAGAAAAAAGTTCCATAGAGACCTCTGACGCCACTTTCACGTCACCTTAATGCTTCTAAAGGACCTGAGAGTCCATTTTTTTTTTTCTTTCCCTTGAAATCGAGAAATCCACCCTTCTCTAGCTGTGGCTTATGCTTCATGTCTTCTGCGAATTTTGTGCCGTGAACAGAACGAGGTTGCACCCTCACGCAGTTCGAATGCGCCAGCGGGGGAAAATGCATCGAAGGGGTCTACAGGTGTGACGGTCATTGGGATTGTCCTGATCGCAGCGACGAGAAGTCCTGTCCTTCCAGGACTAACGAAACCGCTGTGCACATCGGCTCGCCGACCAGTACGCCATTTTTTAAATAATCAATCCCCGAAAAACGCCTCTCCTCGTGTCCACGAGACGCTAATTGCATTGACTGTATTTATTACTGCGATCGATGATTAGATTTCCTCTTCATATTTAACATTTCAACGTTATAAAAAATTGAAAATGAAGATACGGAGGTGTAATAACACTCTTCTCAAATATGGAAGTCAGAGGCCACGAGGATATGTGCCCATAATTATGAAAGTGGTCTAAGTCAAAATTGAAAAAAAAAAAATGAGTATCAGTTATTTCACGCCACATTATTTCAAACGAAATTAATTCAATGTAATTTCGAAACAACAAATATATGACTTAGACCACTTTCATAATTATGGGCACATATCAAGAAATCCGATGGCGTTCCGCGCCAAATACATAAATGACCGGATATAAGTGCTAAAGACGTAATTGCAAAAATTTTCATTATTTCGATCGATTAATTCGAGAAAGAGTATTTTCCGCAGAATTCGGGATAAACTTCGCAGGAATGATCGTATTGTCTGAATTGATTGAAATAATGCAGGGATCATCTGCGGAGGTTAACCTCGACGGGAAATATTATTACTGAAATCGTTTGATTGAAGTAATGGAAATTTATTAACTAGCTCTTCTAGATCGGATCTCGATATCTCGGCATGTAAAATATTCTCCACTTCGACGTTTCAATTTTGGAACCCTTTTCTCGAGAGAGAGAATGGTGAACAATTCACGAGGAAAGGCGCGTTGCTAATTCGATTTCGGATTTTGGAGATCGTTCAAAATTCCAAAGCGGAAACCACTGCAGCTTGCAGCTCCGGAAATAAACTTATTTCTCGGCGGCATTTTTAGCCGGCTCGAAATGGCCCAGTAATTGCGAAATCGATCCCTCGCGGTTCCCGCGGAATCGATTTTCGCGAATCGACCCCCGGTGGGTTCTCGCTTGTCCTGGCTTTGTCCTCGGAAGCTTTCGAAGCTCCTGCTTCGAACCTTGTGACTTTGGCTACCCGATAACAAATGCGATGACACCTGAACGGAATTGCCCGAGCAGTTTACCTGAAAAATTTAAGGGAGAGTCAAAGTGTCAACTCTGAATCGCGTGACACTTTCCTCCAAACCGAATGCACCGAATCGTTTCAAACTTTGCAATATAAAAATAGAGGACACAAGGAAGGTCCTGAGACTCATGAAATTTCCATTTCTTTACAATTTCTTCCTAGGTATTTTAAAAATACCTCATAGAAAATGAAATTTCATGAGTGTCGGGACCTTCCTTATAGTCTCCATGTTCACGTTGTAATGTTTGAAACGACTCGGTACACCCAGTTTGGAGATAAGTGTCATGAGCGATTGACATGGCATTTTCACATCCCCTTAATGTTACGAAAATCTAAGAAAATTATTATTGCGTATATTGTTATTTTCAAAGTCACCGGGTGGGTTCATCAAAGTGACAAAGCCGGGCAATGAGGTCTCAGGGTGTCATCGCACGTTTTAAGGGTGCTTTGTGTGCTTTTATCCGAAACATCCTTCGACTATGTGTGCAAGTAGACCCGCCATGGCCAGCCTGGGTGGTAGACAGATCGGAGTGCGATCCCGAGACGAAAATGCGATGTGACAACGGACAATGTCTACTTCGGCAGCGAAAGTGCGACGGCATTATCCACTGCCTCGATGGCAGTGACGAACGGGGCTGTGGTAAGAGCTTAAAATAGTCGCCATTTTGTCGATATCGTATTTGTCGCAAACCACTGCCCCTGGAAAAACCCCCCTCCCAAAGAAAAATCACCATTACCTCGGTAAACTTACCCATTTCCAAACGTTTCGTGAAATTTCTCCTACATGACTCCTCCTGACAAAATCAATTGCAAATAATTAATTTCCCCTAGAAAGTGATTTTTTCGCTCAGGGTGCGTTTCTTATGGAAAAACAAAAAGGCGCCGAGCTTTCGTCGACTTTCCCGAATAAATTGGATAAATTGCGAGGGATTTAATTTCTTTCTTTTATTTTTTTTTATTCGGTTACTATTACTTTTTATCACGAAATGCGGTTTTTTAACGAGCAAGGATACGTCACGTGCAATTAGGGAGCTTTCTTCGGAGTTTTCGAAAATGGCGTCTTCCCGGAAGTCTCGTCGAAATGTCGCGAAGGAACCCAAAACCGAGCAATAACGAATGACGATAACGAGAAACGTAGTAACGACCGTATACAGGGAGCTTGTATTACGGACAAATTGCGGTGTACTTCGGCCTTATGTCGTGTTCGCTTGTAATTTCGTGCACGCGGAACGGCGTTTACATGAAACGCGCACAAAACATTTCCGCGTGCACGACTCAATCCCGACCCGATGTACATGCGGTTGCTTGCATCGGTAAATGTTTTTTTTAATTTTCCCACGTTGCATTTTCCACCGATCGTGGCCAGTGAAGTCGGCGAAAGCTCCGATTTAATTGAATCTGGCCCTCGACGGAGGAGAGAAACGCGCACATAACCTATATTCGAATAACTCCGTCGCGCCTAAAAATTCAAACTCGTTGTAATAATTTTTAATCTCGACATTAGGCCTCATTAAGACCTAGAGAGTACTCATACAGATGTATTAAGACTCTTTAAATGCCCTGAATATTAGAAATGTAGAGGACGAAAACCTCACTCGAGGCTCCCAGATTCGATCGAGCGTATTTGTCGCGAAACTCATCCGAGTCTCTTTACGCGATTCATCCCTCCTGATTATGTCACGTTCTTCGAAAAGTCCTGCGGAAAAATCGAGCTGAACTTTTCAAACTACCTGATGTGTCCTCCTAGACCTCAATTTAAGCCGAAAAGCTGCGCTTTTGTCGCATCGTTGTCCACCTTTATCAGAGTCCCCTCCTCGAGTCGATCAGGCTTAAGGCGATGTGAAAGCCACGTGAAAGAAGTCTCGTTTATGAAACTCTTCTCCGAATTCCATGCATCTAATCTGTCAAATTTACATGAAGGTCTCGAAACATTTTTCGGAAGAAAATTTTATATTTATCCCGAATGAGCAGAAAATGAAATTTCTTCGGAAAAATCCAATTTCCTGGGTTTTAAGACTCAGTAGGGCCTTCAGATTAAAATTTCAAATTATTCGCTGGTTTGGAGAAGTTTTATCGACTTTCATATATGTGCCCATAATTATGAAAGTGGTCTAAGTCGAAATTAAAAAAAAAAATGAGTATCATTTCACGCCATATTATTTCAAACGAAATTAATTCAATGTAATTTCGAAACAAAATATATATGAGTTAGACCACTTTCATAATTATGGGCACATATATATGGGACGCTTTCATAACACCTTAAGTCCCGGAAGCTGCCTCGTTGCGTTTTCGACGCTTTTCGTGAGCTTTCTTCGTGTCTATGTCGTAAAGGGGACTGCGCTACGGACGAGTGGAAGTGCGAGAACGGAGAATGTCTGCCGGAGAAGCAAAGATGCGACGGCGTTCCCCAATGTCCGGATGCATCGGACGAAACCGGATGTGGTAATTGTATGTGCTTCCGTTTTGCACGCTTCGTTTGAAATCTTGCCTGCGACCAATCAGCGCGCTCCTCGTTATCAGCGCCGCTTCTTAACGTATCATTTTCATATTCCAGGATTGGTGAACCGACATAAAAATCAATGAAATTTGGAAATTTTTGTAAAAATCGATCATTGCGGGAGAGGAAAAAAATATTCGTTGCGTGGCAAATTATTGAGAGAAAATTGTAAAAAAAAGAAGAAAATGGACGAGATTTAAGGATCAGGATTCGAAACGGTTCACGAATCCTGAGGAAGATTCGTTCATGCATCGTCCAGTAATCGAAAAGGATTTTCCCGAAATCGACATCTCCTGGTCTTGACTTTTGCACCTCATTAAACCCTCGGCAATCGCATGTGGATTTCCATAAATTTCTTGAAATTTTTACGCAGAGAAAACGGTGGCATTGAACCAAAGATGTATTTGTTAATAAGATTTTTCTTTGGTTAAATGAATTTTTTTCTCAGTGAAGCGCCGAATTTTCTTCACCTTTTGGATTCTACAATATCGAAGTCCCTGCACAGAGAAGACGCGATTTAGAATTAGTTATGCAAATTGCGGATTAATAATAACTACCTCGCATGTGTGTAGTTATCGAGCACAATTCCAAATCCATCGATTACACCCGGAAACGTGTCTGATGGAGAACGAACTAGGAAAACTGTTACATTTAACAATTATCCCTTCTATTTGCACGCCTCGCCTTGAAGAGCGGAATAATTAACTCGATTTCCCCAGACAATTACACGGTAATTACTTCGCGGGGAATGTCCACCTTTAGAAAATCGAAAAAGAAATAGATCTGCCGAAGAGATTGACACGTTTCCAAGATATTAAAAGTAAAGGTTTCTTTAAATCGCAAGACGATCGAGAATCTGCAATTAATTAAGAAATTAATTAAGCACTCGGCAATTCGTGCACTTTCACACGTAAAGCATGATTCCCATAAAAAGGACCACCGAATCGTTTATTATCCTTCTCTCTGTAACTAATAATTATTGTTTTTTTATAATACAAGGGCACTCTTATTTGGGACTTTATTTCATATAGGCGAATGAACCGAGTCCTGTAAATATAATAATTGATTTTACCACGATATTGCATAACAGATTGCACTATTTATCGTAATTCATGGTTCCAGCATATTTCCCATTTCATCAACCCTGGTAATTTATTTAATACAGATGTGTCGTCTGCACATTGCGGAATTAGAATTACGAACTTAGAGAGAAATCGAGAATTCTCTTCCGCGTGCATGCTGAAAACTTTTTGGGGAAAGAAATTAAGAAATTAGTCTCTTTTAGTCATCAAATGCTCTTCCGAAATTATTCACTGCGAAGATGGATTGCACCTGAGAAAATTACACGTGAAAAATATTTTTTTAATAGATAATCTCTCCTCTCACCTTGCGAAAAGAAAAAAGGAAAAACATAAATAGAAACAGTCTTCGTCAGTGCATGCCTCGAGATCAGCTGATCAGGGAAAACCTTATAGGATTTTTTCAGCACCTCCAAGAGCCTGCAGCACGGTTCCACGATAATAAAAACTGAACTTGTATTATTTCTAGCTGTTGTGCATCGAACCACCCTTTTTACAAAATCTCTCTCTCTCTTTCTCTCTCTCTTTCTATGTATTATACACTGTATTGCCACTTTCTGCACATAAGTCGTTTCCGAATAATTGTCTGTCTCTCCACAGGTTGCCTGACTGTACATAATATTCCCCGTGTCTTTTTATATACGTACTTCTTACCTGTACATATATGTAGATCTCTGTACCCACGAATTCTGCTCATCTATATGTACATAATCTAATTTTCCAAGATCGCCACTCGATTCTCGAAATCGCTCTCCTTATTTCTTATTTCCAGTAATTCTGACATCTTTTTTTTTCCCAGCTTTTTCACGTTTTNTTTTGACGTTTCGATATATATATAGAAAGACCCTTTCATATCACCTTAAGAATTACAACAATTTTTCTATTCCATCCCCAGAGACGACACTAGAGCGATCCCCATTTCGGGGTATTTTTCTGTCTCTCCCCTTTTCTGTTTTTAATTCCATACATTTTTTTTTTTATTCCATTTTCAGTTCCTATTTTCTTTCTCCTTACTTTTCATCGCAATTCCGGGAATCGAGTCCCGGGAGCGTTGCATGACAAAACGGCAAGGTGCGCCTCGATTCTCGGCAAGTATTCACTTTGAGAAGTTCGACCGGCGCAACTTTACGAGGCCCCGATTTGCCTCGAGCTGCATTTACGGGTCGCATTTAGAAAACTAATGAGCCTCGAGGTCTTCCGGTGGTGTTTATCCTTCCAAAGGAGGTTTATCGTCGACATCCTCCACCATACCGTCGAAAAACCCGGACGCGCCTCCGCCGCCGTCGAGGAACTCCTTGCCGGTTTCTCAGCCCTCTTCGACGCTATCTTTCTCCTCTTTCAATTTCTCTCATATTTCTTCTCAGTCTTCCCTCTTGCCCTGCCTTCTCCGTTATCGTTATCTCATACGATCCGATCGTTGCAGCCTGTCCGGATGGCCAACTGCCCTGTGACAATGGAGTGTGCATCATGAAGAGCTTTTTCTGCGACAACAACAAAGATTGCCACGACGGAAGCGACGAGAAAGACTGTCGTAAGAACCGATTTCGCAATGATAAATATTTATAAAACATTCAGTAAAAATTATACTTTATCCGGACAATATTTCAACGCTCTTCCACATTCAAATGGGACTTTTTATACATTTTTCTTCGATTTAACATGATTTCAAAAGTATCATACCCGTGATGTATTTACGCGCGAGGGTGTGTAACGGATGCATCATTTTTTTTTAATAATGAAAAAATATCTATAAAAATGATACCTTATCAGGACAATATNAGGGTGAGTAACGGATGCATTAATTTTTTTTTAATAATGAAAAAATATCTATAAAAATGATACCTTATCAGGACAATATTTCAACGCTCTTCCACGTTCAAATGGGACTTTTTATACATTTTTCCTCGATTTAACATGATTTCAAAAGTATCATACCCGTGATGTATTTACGCGCGAGGGTGAGTAACGGATGCATTATTTTTTTTTTAACAATGAAAAAATATCTATAAAAATGATACCTTATCAGGACAATATTTCAACGCTCTTCCACGTTCAAATGGGACTTTTTATAAATTTTTCTTCGATTTAACATGATTTCAAAAGTATCATACCCGTGATGTATTTACGCGCGAGGGTGTGTAACGGATGCATTATTCTTTTTTTAATAATGAAAAAATATGTATAAGAGCGAGATGTCGAGTTTTTTTAATTATTCAAGTTTGAGAGTAAAAAACGATATTTTTCAGCCTATCCTGGACCCGATCTGGAGTCTCGACCTGTTCATTGTCGAGAGGACGAATTCACCTGTCATGACCGTAGACAATGCGTGTCACGATCTGCAGTTTGCAATGGACAAGCCGACTGTCATGATTCCAGCGACGAACGCGACTGTCGCCGCGGTAAGTACTCCGACAACGAGTGCATTGACAGCTTAAACCAGAGTGCACATCACTTGCAATTAGCGTGCTTAGAGTACACCGTAGTTTGCGACCCGAAGTACCCGAGTCACTGCAAGACCAGCTGACTTTAACTCGCTCGCTGTCATACCCTCGAAATTGCGATGCACTTACAGCAAAGGACCCCTTGGTAGACCTCCGGCAAAAACCGAAATAAAAAAAAGAAAAATATATATAATAACCATATCAACAAAAATCTCTCCGGGGATACCCCGTATAAAAGCAGGAAATAATTTCCTGCTGGGAAGTCGACGTTAATCTATCGTCAGTATTATATGTGCCCATAATTATGAAAGTGGTCTGTCATATAATTTTTGTTTCGAAATTACATTGAATTAATTTCGTTTGAAATAATATGGCGTGAAATAACTGATAAACTCATTTTTTTTTTAATTTTGACTTAGACCACTTTCATAATTATGGGCACATATCCCGAAGTCGATATTAATAATTTAAAGGGACTCTTTTTTTTTATATATCAGTGATTTAAAGGGAAGATTTCTTTCCTCTGGTTCTCAATACAGCGGAAAATGATTTCTCTAGGAAAGTGGATATTAATTGTTTTATCCTGGATTTTATGGTGCATAGTCGGTATTAATAAATTGGAGCGGCTCGATGAGGGGTTTTTTTTTTCTTTTGTGAGGGGAAGTATTTTAAGCGGAAGTTGACAGTCTCGCTCGTGGAAAAAATAGACGAGGAACCGCAAGGTCGATCGCCGGTTTATCGCAATTCGTCGAGGCAACCTCTCGCCGGAAATAGACAAAATTCATAAATTATGCACGGCGACCCCGTTACACTCGCGATGCTGGTATCACTATGGATCGTAATTACCGCCACCGCTTTCATGTACTAGTCTTATTTACTCGATGCACCGTGTAGCCCAGGCCGACATGAGAAAACTGTGGCCCCGTGCACTTCCGAATCGAATAAAATGCAAAATTCCGCCGATAATTCCGGTGGAAATCACTCAACGTGTCGCGAAACTTATCGAGAGAAATTCTGAACATGTTACGGGGTGTAGAAACATTTCCATTCATCCAAGATAAATCTACCACATGAATGAAATTAGACTAGTCTAGGTATTTTGCAAATCTGTATAAATTCATCGGAGCAACGAGCCGCCTTAAAAGTTCTACTCTCGTATTTTCAAACAATTTTCACACCTTTCGAGAGAATGTCAAAAGCCACTCCAGACGCCATAAATGATAATCTGATATCGTAGCCTAGAAAATTTGATAAATTCTTATACATTCATCTACCGGCGAAAAGTGCGAAGAAACGCAAGAGGTCGCTTTTGGATTTTTTCTCTCGATTTTAATTCATCTCCACGTCTTCGATATAATTTAAAAAGCCGCTCCAAAGGCACTGAGAGAGACACAATAAATCTACCGTCTGATATCGTAGCCAAAAAGTAGAAAATTTCTACAGATTTTTATAAATCTCGGCATCTTGCCAAGAGAGCGAAGAAACGCAAAAAGTCGATCGCTGTTCGATTAATTCGTCAATTCTGGAGATGTCCTCTCCCTCGAAGTTCCTTTGAAATGATTCAAAGTCACTTGGAAAGTCAAGCTGGTTTACATTGAAATTTCGAAAAATGAACCGAGCGACCCCTCGCGTTAGCTTCGTCTTTTCCGGCCTGGAAAAGCGGAAAAGCGAATCGCTTTTCGGGAAAAGGTTCTCGAAAGTTTGGCCTCGCATCGTCGCCGAGGTTTTCGCTGTAAAATTGTTCTTCGGATTGGGTTACTTCTAGGTATAGAAGCTCCGGAGAAAAGCTCTCCGAGGGGCCAACCGGAGGAGCCCGGTACCAAAACTGGTACCAAAACCGGTACCAAAACCGACACCGAATCCGGTACCAAAACCCACATCGATTCCGGTACCAAAACCGACACCGATCCCGGTACCAAAACCAACACCCTGTACAGTCTCAGTACACCGAGGAGTTGCGCCACGGGCGATTTTGTATGTGCCGATGGCACTTGCATCCCCGAGGCTCATCACTGCGACCATTTCTACGATTGCCGCGACTTTACCGACGAACAGTACTGCTTCGGTTAGATCAAGAGTAGACCTCGACAATCTGGGGGCGAATCGCATCCTTTGGATCCCCTTCGAGGTGTATTGTCCCCATTTTCGTTTCCATCGCCCATTTTCACACCCTATTTTCAAAATCGGGAATTCCTTACTAAATAACTATAACCTTAAAAAAGGAGATTTCGATGATACGATACGTAAATCGGAATAAATTAAATATTCAATACAACCATTGCGCAGATATTCATAAACAATGTTAATTATTCAGGATCCAAGAAGGGAATTTTGATTACGTGATGCAGGGATTCTTTTTTTTTTTTAATTTATTTAAGGACATTTTTTATTAAATGGCGCGAAGAGATCTCGAAGAAATGATGTTTAATAGTTAACGTGGAAATGTCGATAGAAATACTTTCTTGAAGAATTAAATATTTTTATTATATGGAACTTTTTTAAGAGAATTCATTGTTCGATATTTCCCCCGGAACTTTTTTCGAATAAATTAAATATTCAATACAACCGTTGCGCAGATATTCATAAACAATGTTAAATATTCAGGATCCAAGGGAATTTCGATTACGTGATGCAGGGATTCCTTTTTTTTTTTCTTGAAGAATTAAACATTTTAATTATATGGAACTTTTTTTAAGAGAATTCATTGTTCGATATTTCCCCCGGGAACTTTTTTCAACTTTTGGTGTTAGTTTATCGATGACGTTTTGCGTTCCGGAGGAATTATTGATTGTCGACTGGGTATAGTGTCTAGATTTGTCCGAGATATTTAACGAAAGGTACTCGAGGTGGTTTTGTAATTTAAAAGTTGCAAGGTGGAAAAGTTTCGATGCCAAAAGTTCCGCACCCTCGTTCCCTTGCCATGGGTTGAGACATCTCGGTCGAGATATGCTAACGAAAGTTTATTTCCATTATTATGAAACGAAACGTGCTTCCGGAAGTTCATTCCGGAAAGATGCGACACGTGACTGACAAGGTGACGCTACCGAGCTTTGCATACCGAAATATGTCAGGCCAGTTCGTCTTAAATATTCAGAACGATGAATTAAATAGCGTTCTTCTAGCTCGACTCTATGGGAAATTATGAACACGAGAAGTGCTCCTTACCATGACATATTACACCATAAAAGACACTTCAAGCCTTGGCAAAATTTCCCTGACATATTTCTAACGTCGATCATGAACTCTCTCCCAAGATTTCCCTGAAAATCCTTCCGACATCCGAAATAAAAAAAAAAGATTCGAAGCATTCCCAAGATTTTCCCGAGACTTTTCTGACAGATCGTAGGAACGATTAAAAAAGTGTAACCAAAATAAAATGTTATTAAGATTTCCCTCAAATCAGCCATTTTCTTTTCTTCTTTCCCGATCCGCAAGAAATGATAAATCCCATTCTAAGGAAGAAAAAAAAAAATGACATACGTTCTGAAAGAAAGGCTCAAAATGTTATTAAGATTTCCCTCAAATCACCCATTTTCTTTTCTTCTTTCCCGATCCGCAAGAAATGATAAATCCCATTCTAAGGAAGAAAAAGAAAATGACATACGTTCTGAAAGAAAGGCTCAATTTCGTGCTGTCGATTTTCCCCCATTTTTCATATTTATTCGCGTTTATCCGGGGAATTGAAATTTTTCTCACGAGGTTTTAATAATTCTCCGCATTATTTAAATACACCTCGTCGGCCAGGGACCTTTTTAAAGCCCCAGATTCTCGTGGTATTACAAAAGTTTCTGTCCGTCAGTGTTAGCAAACCGATCTAGACGGTGTTTTGTAGGAGTTGATGTTAACTCGACGACTCGATTGGATTTCGAGACATTGGACTTCGATGTCGAAACCATTCGACCTTTTTCCCTCGATTTTATCGAGTCGATCGAGCGACGTTTCTATAATCTTTTTTCGGAGGCATTGCTGTGTTCAATTTTTCATAGTGCATCTCTGCCTGATATACCGATCGTTAGATTTCATTTTCTCGTAGGTAGACATCTCGACGGAAGTCTCTCCAAGTGTTTTTTACTCGCATCCACATACACGAGACGTGAATACACTTCCGATTTTGCACGTTTTATGCTCGTCATCATAATCGCCACGTTTAGAAGATCGGTCGGTTGTTTCGCTTCCTTTAGTTGAATTATCACCCTGCATAAAAAATAACGCGATATAATTTTTCTTCTGAAATTTAACGAGTCCTTTTTCCCACGGATTTTTTTTTTTTTTTTTTTTTTCATCCACCGGGTAAAGGGACATTCAGAATGTACATCTCGTTACGGTAGGGCTGTATCGCGAGAATGCAAATTAAAAAATAAACACTCGGGAGCAATTTTTGAGACGATGCTTATTAAATCAATTTTCCGACAAGGCCTTTGAAAGGAAGCGACGCAACCACCTTCGACTCCTACATGTTCTCTTCTTGCCTTGTCGCTAATTAATTAGCTTTGATCGTAGCTCGAGCAATATTGGTTTTCGTTTCGTTAATTCCCCTCCCCCCGCAGTTTCGGCGTTATCACTTTGCACCTTATGCATTTCATTTATCTTCACCCTAGACCGAAGTTATGTTTCGCCCCGTTTTCCACGGAACCTCCCACTTTTCCCTCCCGTTTTGCTTATAGCGATACTTGATTTGAGGCTGGCTGTAAAATGCACACCGCATATGACTATAAAATTTTATATCGTTTACAATGTTTATCAAATAATATTTGTATTGTCCCCATTTTCGTTTCCATCGCCCATTTTCACACCCTATTTTCAAAATCGGGAATTCCTTACTAAATAACTATAACCTTAAAAAAGGANTTTTGCTTATAGCGATACTTGATTTGAGGCTGGCTGTAAAATGCACACCGCATATGACTATAAAATTTTATATCGTTTACAATGTTTATCAAATAATATTTATATTTAAAAAGAAGGTATCCCAGGCGGACGGAATTCACGTTAACCCGAATCTCGGAATTTGGCATCCAATTTATTCCAGTTTAAGTGAAAATAATGAATATCGACGTGCGGAGATATTTTTCAAAGTCTCGTTACAGAGGGCCTAGACATGTTAAGAGATTATTTATTAATATTTTCGAAGGACTGTAAAACCTCGATTTTGCGCCTCGGCTTAACGTGAACGTCGAGCCGACCATGAGTTATAGATGTCGTAGAAAATAGTGATATTTGATTCATAAATCGTCCTCTTTATCTGCCGGGAGAGTTAGAAATGGCTCGGCTGCTGTCACGAAGAGCGAGCTTTATGGGAATTTTATGAATGCACGGCACAGAGAACGATATTCTGACTGTACACTAATTTCGCATACTCGGCCGGCCCTTTCCAGCTATCCGGATGTACTTTTCATGGGTGTACGCATACAACAAAGGTCTTGGAAAGTGTTCCTTTCTCCTCGGCGAAGTGCAAGGCGTTAGTTTCGCAATTGATCATAAATACAAAAAAAAAACAGTCAATGAACCAAAGAAATATTGCCGGAAAAATATTTTCATAATTCAAAGGACAATTACTTCCCTCGAATAAGCAGGAATAAATTTAACGCATTACGAGAATTCATTTCATTGCGAGTCAAATAATTATTCTTTGAATCTACAAAATATTCCTTTGGGTCTATGGATTCTTTTTTTCACGGGGTAACCGTATTGTAAAATCCGTCGTTTTATGTAAAAAAAAGCCAGATTTCATAATCCGGTTACATGCTGATTTGGCGTTAGGAGTTTATCAGTTCGTTTCTTCAATCTCGTATATGTGTGTCACGAGTGGACGGAGGCAGGACGGCCGCCATTTTGGACGCCACCTGTAAAAATGAAATTTAAAAGTCATACATCTTCCGTATCGATTTTCCACCTGCAGTACATCTACCTGTACGCGCATAAATGCATGCAAATTGGCTCGCAGCAGTGGTACCTTTTTTCCCGCAATTCTGCCGATTATTCGATTCGCGCGAGATTGTCGTAATTCGGTGATTATTAATTATTAACTCGTGCCTCTGTCTACGCGTTTAAGGTGATACGAAAATGGCGTCGAAAAGTTCTCGTTCACGAAATTTATCTCACAACTGGGTGTCACGCTTTACAATATTAATATTAAGGCTATAAGAAAAATCCTGCCGCCATAAAATTTCAACTTCAAAAATTTGTTTATAGAATTTTTTTTCCATTCGCCATAAAAAATGAAATTTCATGGGTGTCAGGACCTTCCTTACAGCCTCCACGTTTACGCAGTAAACTTTGACACGATTCGACACACTCATTTCGGCGAAATATTTCATGAAGGATTGACTCCTCCACTTTCATGTCGCCTTAAGAGTATGACGACGACGATTTTATTATCATATTGTCATTAAATGTTAGCTCATCGTTTAGTAAGTGACCAGTGCACTTGTGCCGATCCCCTGTATAGAGTCCGATTTTTCCTCTGTGATGTGCGAAGAGTCATTTTTTACACTTTTTCGAGCTTTCCGGGTCAATTTCATGAACGATGTCGCTTTTGTACTTGTAGGATGTACTCGAGATCAATTCCAATGTCGAAATGGCGATTGCGTGAGAGGGGACCAAAGGTGCAACAGGATCTACGAGTGCGACGACGGCTCTGACGAGGATAATTGTGGTATATTAATTATTACCCATAATGAAGAATTATTTTCTAACGAATTTCGGTACCAGGGATTAATAGATCATTTGTAGAGTTTATATGTATTATGTCGAATGGTTACGTGTTGTTAAACTATTAATTATGAATTAATAACACCAGGTCCACTGGAACCGAGTACCCCGAGACCGGAAGGACCAGGAACGCATCCTATGCCAGGTCGATGTCCTGCAGGACTTATCATGTGTGCATTTGACAAAAATTGCGTGCCTCATTCATCTTTGTGCAACGGAATTCCGGAATGCAGAGACGGATCCGACGAAGAGAACTGCGGTGAGTAAAAAATTAATCTCCCGAAATAAGCGACAATATAAGGGTACGCACTTGAGCGATTATGTATGTATTTGGCGCGAAGCTCTACCGAGCCTTTTGTCTCTACGACTTTATGCCGAGGAAACGAGATGGTACATTAATACAACATTATATAAATATGAAATAACATGAATACGTAAAAAAAAAACGAGGCAGTTGTTAGAAATCTATTTTAAATGTAGATCAATTAAAAAATGTCCTAGATTTATCCTGTTACCTTTGAAAATGATAAATTGTGACGATCTACATTATTTTTGAAAATGATAAATTGTGACGATCCTCATTATTTTTGAAAATGATAAATTGTGACGATCTACATTATTTTTGAAAATGATAAATTGTGACGATCTACATTATTTTTGAAAATGATAAATTGTGACGATCTACATTATTTTTGAAAATGATAAATTGTGACGATCCTCATTATTTTTAAAAATGATAAATTGTGACGATCTACATTGTTTTTGAAAATGATAAATTGTGACGATCTACATTGTTTTTGAAAATGATAAATTGTGACGATCTACATTATTTTTGAAAATGATAAATTGTGACGATCTACATTATTTTTGAAAATGATAAATTGTGACGATCTACATTATTTTTGAAAATAAATAATTCTGACAATCGTTACAGCCGTATCAGGAGGAGAGCTCAATCTCAAGACCTACCCCAGCGAGCAGATCATTAAAGAAAGTGAGTACACGTTGATAGGAAAACCTTATTATCTTGCCGACTTATCGATCACGCGGGATAAAATTGAGGAAAAATTACCCTGGAATGGTATCATCGAACGAGTAGATAAAATGAATTATTCTGTTTCTTGCCTTGCCAGACCCGGTGAAGCAAGGTAAGCTCGCCTGAGGAAAGCTTGAAAATCATGTTCTAAGCATGGGATGCAGGATTACGACTTAAGAGGGTAGAGAACAATGGAGAATGTCTCGTTTACCTTTTATTCGAGCTTTGTTTCTTGCATCAGGTCGGGAAGTGGTGTTCCAGTGCCGAGACGAAGGACCTCTTCGCGCCAGGGTGCAATGGACCCGAGGAAATGGACATCCTTTGCCTCCAGGAAGCAGAGACGTTAATGGCCGCCTGGAAATCCCGAATATCCAGCTTGAACATGGAGGACCATACATTTGCGAAGCCGTGGGATACGCACCCCACACTCCAGACAGCAAAGTGACTGTATATCTGACTGTGGAAAAGTGTAAGCTGATCTTTTCCATGGGCACTCCGAAATGCATCTTCCAAATTTTAATCCTTGAAAAGGACTCCCCACCTGATGTCGATAAAGATTATTGAAATTTTCGGCATTACAGTTGACTTACCCTCCACTCGGCCTCCGCAAGTCTGCAAGTACGACGAGGCTACTTGCAGCAATGGCGACTGCATCCCTAAGTCATACGTCTGTGACAACAAATTCGACTGCACGGATGGATCCGACGAATCGCGATGCAGTGAGTTTAATCAGCGATTAAATCCAACTGAAATAAATATGTCATTACCATAGAGTCGGGTAAACAGTCCATCGACGGCGAAAATGTCAAATCAATTCCCCATTTATATCAAATCCGGTCTGCGGGAATCTCTTAAATTTTGACGACTTTTAAAGTACCGCCGGATTTTTTCCCCGGCAAAATAGAGAATCTGAAATTATTATTTTTCATCGTTAATGGTGTTTCCTTGATGTCGCAGGTCCTCATGGCTGCGAGCCTAACGAGTTCCGTTGTGCGAACAAGCAATGCGTTATCAAAACCTGGCGTTGCGACGGTGATAAGGACTGTGCCGATGGCACCGACGAGGAGAATTGCACACCCTCTCCTCCAGGATCTCCATGTCGATACGACGAGTTCCAGTGCACCACCAATGATCAGTGCATCCCGAAGAGCTATCATTGCGACATGGAGAGGGACTGCATGGACGGCAGCGACGAGCTCGGCTGCTGTTAGTAAAAAACGCCGAGAAAAAAAAAAGAAAATGTTAATCTATCAATTAGAAATAGATCTCGAGATATTAGGCTCTTACCCAAATATTTTCATCCCCAGCTCCGGTTTACATCACGAAAGCACCACCACCAATGGTAGTGCTGATGCCGGGCGAGGCAATGATCCTGACCTGCAGCGCAGTGGGGGTGCCGATACCAGAAATCAATTGGCGATTGAACTGGGGCCACATCCCGGCAAAATGCACAACGACCTCCATCAACGGGACAGGGACCTTGACCTGCCCCGACATCCAGATCTCCGACCAGGGTGCCTACTCCTGCGAGGCCCTCAACGTGGGCGGGTTCGTCTTCGCCGTGCCAGACGCCATCCTGGTGGTCAAAACCGAGCCAGTCTGTCCTAAAGGAAGCTTCAACGATGACGCCAGAAGCCCCGAAGAGTGTATATCCTGCTTCTGCTTCGGAGTAGCCACAGAATGCCAAAGCGCAAACCTCTTCACGTACCGCCTAACGCCACCCTTCGACCGCCATAAGCTCGTTTCCGTCAAAGTCGCCCCGGAAATCCGGATAAACGGTGACATAGGGAACAGGGTGCGAGAGATCTCACCTGTAGGTCAGGCAGGTGTGAAGATCCAAACCCCCTACATCGAGGAAGAGTTCAACAGCTACAACGTGCCGTACTTTGCGCTGCCCGAGTTCTACCATGGGATCAGGCTGAAGTCTTACGGGGGGTACTTGAAGTACACCGTGACGTACAGTGGGGGTGGACTCCCCCTTGCAGGTCCATCGGTTATCCTGAGCGGGAACAATTATACCTTGTTACATACCGGGCCGGAATTCCCATCCGATTACGAGAGCCAGCAGTCCGTCAGGTTCTTCTATGGGGAATGGTACAAGAGTGATGGCAGGCACGAGGTCCTCGCCTCCAGGGAAGAGATCATGATGACTCTCTTGAATGTCGACAACATCCTCATCAAGTAAGATCCTCGGTTTAACGATGTCTCCTGCAAATGGATCACTCGGTGGACTAATTGTTATTTATTTTCAGAGCGAAATACGAAAACGGACCGCAACTCGATACCACCATCAGCGACATTGTTATGGACACCGCTGACGAGAGGAATACCGGACTGGGAAGTGCATCCTTTGTTGAGAAATGCGAGTGCCCTGCTGGTGGGTATCCTGATACGTGCGGATGACGATCTGGTGGATTGATACCATTTTTTATGGTCCAAAGAATATGGTTAATCACATGTTGTGGACCATGAACAATGTTAAAGACATTTTGTGTGGTCCATCATGGATGTGGATCGAAATCCTCTCTTCGGCTACGATTCGTAACAATGTGTGTCATTTTAGGGTACACCGGAGATTCCTGTGAAAACTGTGCAGCCGGATTCGAGAGACACAAGAGCGGTCGTTGGCTTGGACTCTGTTACAGCGACAGACCACCATGTCCTCCAGGATATTATGGAGATCCTTCCAGGAACATTCCGTGCCGACTTTGTCCTTGCCCGCTCACCAACCCTGCGAACCAGTAATGAGCTCATTATTGACATAATGTATGTTTAATTAGAGTTTCTTATTTAATCCGGGTTATCGCCAGGGTCACCCGGATTTGTCATCTCGGCTCCAATGGAGAGCCAAAATGCGAGTGTCCTCCAGGATATAAGGGAGACAGGTGCGAAAGCTGCGAGGAAGGATATCGTGGGAATCCTCTCGTTGCTGGAGATATGTGCGTTCCAAATCTTCCTTGCCATCCTGAAGGAAGCATCAGTCCTTACGCCGATCCCGTAACTGGACAGTGTCACTGCAAGGTATCGCACCTCTATGTTTAGTTCATTTCCACTAATTGCACATTCCTGCTGACATTACAAATTCATGCCTTGTAATACTTAATGTCAATGCTTTCGTTCTTGTTGGACTCGTTACTCTCTCCGACATGTAAGTACGTCCTACCAATTGACAAGAAAAGTTATCGCCATCCTTGTACTCCGTCATCGGTCGTCAATTTTTCTTATACCAAATCTCTATCCTCGGTTTTCCTAGTTCCATATTTCTAAGCCGAGTAAGGGAAATGTATTAACGAAACTGAATTTTCCAGCCTCTTACAACTGGCCTTACTTGCGACAAATGTAAGCCAAACACGTTCCACTTGGCCTCGAACAATCAATTCAGGTGCATCAGTTGTTTCTGCATGGGAGTCACCAACAAGTGCTCGTCGTCCAACTGGTACAGAAATGAGGTAATTGCTCCAACATGGTAGAAATTAATTCTAATGACCTCAGCAAACAGAAGCTTAAAATTGTTACGTCTCTGCAGATTCGCGTCTCGTTCATCAACTCCATCCGAGACTTCTCATTGGTCGAATCCAGTTCCGATTCGGAGCCCATTGTTCATGGGATTCACCTGGACACTGTCGGCCGTGAGATCGTTTACAATGATTTCCCTAACCGGGGCAAAAATGATGTGTATTACTGGCAACTGCCCAGCATCTTCCTAGGAGATCACATAAGTTCTTATGGAGGGAATTTGAAGTACACCGTGAGATACGTGCCCTCTCCAGGAGGTCAGAGTTCAAGGAACAATGCACCTGACGTCGAGCTTCTCAGCGTGGGTTCCCTTGAAACATTTACAATGTTCAAATTATGAATTAAATAATTAAGTATAATTATTTTACCATTTTTCAGGATAACGACCTCCGTTTGTTCCACTACTCGCGCGAGGCTCCAGAGCCGAATATTCCGCAATCCTTCACGGTGCCATTGTTGGAACAATACTGGCAACAATCAGATGGAACACCCGTTGAACGTGAACATCTTCTCATGGCCTTGGCAGATGTTCGAGCCATTGGAATCAAAGCTACCTACACAACACACACGGACGAGGCTGCGTAAGTAACGAAATCCTGCCATATTAAAATCATATCCACTACTTTTTTTAGCAAAATGTTCAAGACTTCTTGTCTTAGCAAGATCATCGAAATTGTTCTACGAGTAAACCGTCGGTTCTGCTCAAGTGTGGAATTTTTTTTCAAGACCATCGAAGTAGTATCCGAGCGTTGAAAAATCCCAAACCTTGTGTCTGATATTTTTTACAATGTTCAAGATTTTTTTTTAGATGTTATACCGATTTTTATATATTGTAGAACATTACCGATGATGAACCTTTAATTCCAGACTCTCTCACGTGACCCTCGACACGGCAGAAAAATACAACACGGGAAGATCTCGTGCTGCGGAGGTGGAGGAATGTTCCTGTCCTCCAGGTTACAAAGGTCTTTCCTGCGAGGATTGCGACGTCGGCTACGCCAGGAGTTCGTCGGGATCCTACCTTGGCATCTGCGAGCCCTGTCAATGCAATGGTCACTCCAATCAATGTGATCCAGAAACGGGAATCTGCGAGGTAGGTCTTCGGACTCTTAAAAAGCGGCCCTAAAAATGAATATTATTCATGAATGTCTACTTGCAATTACCGCAAAAATTACGAGGTGGCCAAACGACGAGGATGAGCTCTTAGCTCGAGCCAATACTCAATCACTGTTTACAGAACTGTGCAGACCACACAACAGGCGACAACTGCGAAAGATGCGAATACCAATACGAGGGCGACGCTACCAGAGGAACTCCTCAAGATTGTCAACCAAGAGGAAGTTCTCAATACAAATGCAATTGTACCCGAGCTGGGTCTCGAGATACCTCTTGCGTGAACAATCAATGCGAATGCAAGGCCAACGTAGAAGGTCCTAACTGCGATCGGTGTCGACCATCAACATTTGGTCTGTCGGAGAGCAACATCGATGGATGCATAGATTGCTACTGCAGCGGTGTCACTGATCAATGCCATGAAAGTTCTCTCTTCATCCAGCAAATCCCCGTGTGGGTGTACGACTCTCACCATGGGTTCACGCTCACGGATTCGTAAGTGGTTCACCCAACCTGAGATCATTTGCGTACTTCCAACGTGAAAGTAACGATGTCATTTGTCAGGACGAGGCGTGACATCATCGACAATGGGTTCGAGCTGAACCTGGGGACGAACGAGATCGGCTATCGCTATCCAGGAAATCGAAGTCGCAGACTCTTCTGGTCCCTGCCTCCCAACTTTACCGGGAACAGAGTGAAGAGCTACGGAGGTAACTTGACGATGACCCAACACATAACAGCCTACCCTGGTGCCATCAGCCAGAAGGACCAAGACGTGCTGCTAGTCGGAAATGGAATCACGTTGTACTGGACGAACCCTCAAGAGTTACAACCTGACATACCTCTGGTAAATCATACATGTCGATCGGTGCTTCAATCAATCTTTCCATGCGTGCAATCAATGATCGGGACCTCCCCCTAGATGAAGTAGATAAAATTAAGAATATAAGTTGTCTGGAGATTTATGCCTAACAAATGTTCATCTTCCCAGACCTACTCCGTTCTTCTTCCCAGTGTTCATCTTCCCAGTTCCCAATGTTCATCTTCCCAGACCTACTCCTGGTAAATCATACATGTCGATCGGTGCTTCAATCAATCTTTCCATGCGTGCAATCAATGATCGGGACCTCCCCCTAGATGAAGTAGATAAAATGAAGAATATAAGTTGTCTGGAAATTTATGCCTAACAAATGTTCATCTTCCCAGACCTACTCCGTTCCTCTGAAGGAGTCGGAATGGCGACGACTTACTGTCGAAGGACCTCGCACAGCATCTCGCACGGATCTCATGACAGTCCTGTCGAACCTCGAGGCCATTTTGGTCCGTGCTTCGCATAGTGAAAACATGTTGGCAACATATATTAGCGACATCAGCCTCGACACTGCCGTGGAGAACACCGTAGGTGGTAGGAGAGCCACCCAGGTGGAAGCTTGTCGATGTCGACCCGGTTACGTCGGAACATCCTGCGAATCCTGCGCCAGAGGATACTACAGAGATATCAGCGATCGTTCCCTCAGCTATCTAGGAGCCTGCAATCCATGTCCTTGCAATGGCAACGAGGAGAGCTGCGAAATCAGCAGATCGGGACATGTCAAGTGCCATTGTCTCCCGAGGTACACTGGACAGTACTGCCAGAGTCTTGGTAAGTCACTTTATTTTAAGTACTGAATTAATGATCAAGTCTTGAAAGATAAATCTGCGAGTTTGTAACTAGATTTCAGTGCCTGCAAAAAATTAGTGCAGATTAACGCACCATGGAGCAGTGTACATAGCTTCAGACTCTCGACGCTTTGTTTATAACGACCCTCTGTTATTTTAAGAGATCCTGCCAAGCTGTACATATATACATTCCAGGTCGACGAAACGCGACAGGGATACGAAATGATAACCAGAAAATTTCTAGACTCGAGTATAATTAATTTTCTAAGTCATCAATGTAGACATCCAAAGAATATGCTAATATCTAGGGGAAATGGCACATCTTTCGACGAACATACTGGGACCTCAATTAATTTCATGTGTAAAAGTAGAGTGTTATCATTTCGTATCGTAGGAAAGGCGCGCTTTCGTGGACCTTGCATTAATCCTGAATGAAAAAGCTTGCACGAGCATTATGTTGCATGATTAGGCGAGCTCAGGGTAAGTCTAATGCCCGTCAAGGTTCGAGCCGAACCGAACAGCGTCGTCAAATTCAAGTGCACGTATGACCACGCAGAAGGACTCTACGTGTATTTCAAATTAACGTCCTCTCGAGGAGACCCCATAACGGAATGGGACATGGACCCTGGTCCTCTGAGAAGGACAGAAAACGGAGGATTCAGGGAATGGAGCGTTCGAGCCGGAAGGCTTCCTTGCTACGTGGAATGCCACGTTCTGGACAGAAATGGCACAGAACTGGTTACCATTACCACGTCGATGTCTCCAGGTTTGACGGACTTGTACTCACCATGGTTTCCCGTGGTTTTACGTATTTGTCCGTCTCTGGGTTCCTGGATAAAGTGCCACTTGTCTTTACGTCAACTGCACCGAGAGGGAAAAAAGAATGTCATTGGACCAAGGACACATTTTATTAATTCAAAGAATAATTATTTCACTCGTATTTCATGTGTTTATTTCAATTTATTTCAGTCAAATCCTTTGAATTAATAAAATATTTCCTTGGTTAGATGAATTTCTTCTTTTTTTCTTCTCAGTCTGGGTTTAGGGGAATCCTAGTCTAGGGACTTTCCACGTCAGTCCACGTTGTCTTCATGTTGGTCTCCTCAAGGTCCTTCCAACTTGCTTTTTTCGAATGTCTTATCGTTGAGGCAGAAAAGTGTCCTGTAAAATTGTCGTTTCTTCAATTCTGGTGGAAGCGCAGATTTACTTCGTTTGCCTTTGTGTGGTTTGTAATTGATTGTGCAATTTTGTATCCGTCGTCAGGCTAGACAAGTCTTAGGTACTATCTAAATAGATGTTGACAATTGTTCGGCAAATTTCCTGGTTTTCTATGTTCCAAACTGTACCTAATGCCTTCTTCCTCAGCTTTGTGTAACATTCAAGTGTATTTGTTCCTCGTTGTCTTCTGTATATTATTTCGACACCCATGTTTTTAAATACATGACATTAATTATTCTCTGGGTTTTACTGTATAGTGGATGAATACCTTACACCTGAACCACCAGTGCCTACTATATCGCCACCAAGAATTCTAGTGTCCATCCGCGAACCAGAATTCCAGATCGTCCACACCGGAAACACAGTGCGGTACCATTGTTCCGCAAAATCCACAGACAGCGTAAGTAGGATATTAAATAAATCCCAAAAATCGGTACATCATTATGTTAATTTTTATATACTTACAGACCACTTTCCACATTAAATGGGAGAAAGAAGGTGGACAGCTACCAACAGACAGGAGCTTCGACGACGCCCACGGTCTTTTGGTAATTCGGGATGTAAAAGTCTCCGACAGTGGAGTTTACGTTTGCCAAGTCAACGACGGAGTGAATATCGGCATAAAAAGAGTGACCCTAGCAGTCGGAGGTACGACTTCTTATTAATCACTCCACCTATAAAAACGTCGATATTTGTAAAAATTTAATTAGTGGCATAACAATTGATTTCCGTGCAAACGTTCTGTCGTGGACGCAGCATTTCCGAAAAGCTTGCTGAACGTGCCAGGTAGTACCAGAAAATTCCGCCTCTATAAATGATTTATAGAATTCTAATTATACATTAAAAATAGGATATCTGTATTTTTATTAATAGGTTCTTTTAATCATTTAGGAGTGAACCCGGTAGAACCAAGGGCCACCATATCTCCTAGATATCTCCGAATAAAAGAGGGCGAACCTGCAGAGTTCCGCTGCGAAGCAACGGGCAATCCTCCCCCAGAAGTAAATTGGATTCGCGTCCATGGAGACATGAACCCCGAAGCAACATTCTACAATGGCATCTGGAGAGTCCCAGCAGTCTTAAAAACCGATGCAGCGGAATACAAATGCATAGCCAGAAACAGCATTGGAGTGGACAACCAAACCACCATCCTCTACGTACTAGGTAAAACCTCCCTCGAATGTATTTGCTGCGAAACTCAACCGAGTTTCTTTACGACAATGATGTCCACTAGCGAATACGTTCCAATAAAGGCCTGATATCAGGAACATCCTAGAAGATCCCTAGAGGAACCTTTACCGATTTTTGATGTACAGAGTTCTAATAATTGATGGACGTTTCAGACAATCCAGATAGACCTCGGCCGACGGCGATTCCTTCGGTCAGACCAACGGTGGTGCCTCCAGAATGGACCGGAAACTCCGGGAACGCAGTTCGCCTGGTTTGTTCATCCGCTTACGAGGCGAGAATCTCTTGGACAAGAGCTGGCAACGTACCTCTGCCAAATTCAGCTGATCAACGAGAAGGTGTCTTGACGATCTCCAATCCGACTTCCGACGACTCCGGCGTGTACATTTGCACGGCAACGAGTTACCAGGGTACCGAGACCAGCAACACTGCCCAGATAACTATCATGGTACCAAGAGAACCCCCCAGTGTCAAGGTGAAGCCTGAAAGACAAGTCGTGTCTCAAGGCACGGTCGCCGAGGTGAGGTGCATCACCAGCAGAGAACCTGGACTACAAATCAAGTGGAGTAAATATGGCGAGGCCTCGATGGGACAGAACGTCCAACAAGTCGGGGACATGTTGAGGATCGTCAATCCTCAGGTTCCCGACAGAGGAGTTTACGTTTGCCGAGTAACCAGCTCCAGAGGAAGTCAAGAAGCCAGCGCCATCATCGAAGTTGCGCGTAGGTGTCCGACCACTACCATTAAAAAACAGTTTCTCACCCAGAGGGCAACAAAATTCCTGAAAACGGTTTGCACACCATCATTCTCCTTGAAAACGGAGTCGAAAAGTTCTGTGCTATTTTTTTCTACGACGCCCAGGGATTTTGTATATGTTTGTTATATAGGAGCTTGTAAACTATCTTTTTGTCGCCTGATAGCATCCTTAAATTGATGTTCGCAGCGCGTGAAGAGCCCGTGCTGGAGCTGTACCCTCAACAAATACAGGTTGTTCTTGTCGGAGGATCTGCCGATTTACAGTGCAGAGCGATTGCTGGTTTCCCCATTCCTGAGATTCACTGGTCCAGGGAAGACGGTCGTCACTTCGGCAGCAACATCGAACAACTACCTGGGGGTCTTCTGAGGCTCACCAACATCACCATCAGCGACGGAGGAGCTTTCGTCTGCTCGGCATCGAACGAGGTCGGCACCACAACCGCGGTTGCTCACATCGAAGTGCAATCTCTGCCTGTTATCACCATTTCTCCGAATATTGGAATCCTGCCCGTGAAACTGGGAGACAGGATTCGCCTGATGTGCAGCGCAACCGGACATCCCCAACCAAACGTCGTCTGGAGTAGACACACGAATGGAGTGGCTTTATAGTAGGTTGATGAAAATCCTTGCACCTTGATTAGCTGATTAGTCTAATTTTTTAGCCAGTCGATCGTTCACTAGCACGTCCCCACCTCGGAATTAAAGGTCTGATAATAAAAACATCCTTTCAGTGGTCCCCTGGACAGAACTGCAGCGACTCCTTTGAGCGCCGTCTACGAGATCTTCTCGGTGTCACCTGACGACGAGGGGTCTTACACGTGCCAAGCAACAAACGCTGCTGGAATTACCGAGGAACGTGTACAGATTCGTATAGAAGACACTCCTACGTATCCTTGTCGAGGAGATCAGTGCGCCCCGACTGATGAAGGCCCCAGTGTGTACCCTGTAGGGAATGTAAGAACGGGACCTGATAATTTGCATATTTTCCTAACAGCTTCTGCTGATCAACCGGGATGCTTGAATAGTGGTGCCTCAATGATTAAACGTTACCTTTTCGCAGAGAAATCCAAACGGAGGGATCCACATCCCGGAGACTTCTCTAAGGATACCTAACGGTGGGAATGTAGAAATGCGCTGCCAGGTCGTTGGTCTTGACGATGACAAAATTTACCTCGACTGGAGGAGAAGCGATCATAGACCCCTTCCCGAAGGTAGCACAGTCCACAACGGTGTTCTGAGGATCCCTGCAATGACCAAGGAAGCCGCTGGAGAATATTTCTGCCTTGGCCTGAACCCTGATGGGAACGTCCTCTTCAAGGAGAAGTCCCACTTGGAGATCATAAGTTAGCGAATCAATAATTAGGAAATAAGTATTGGGATTTACCGGTGCAATTTTCGGGATGAACTTGTACCTGGTGATGTGCAGAATTTGGGATTAATTTTTTCTTTTACCTTGAAGGTCCACCAAGGATCGAATTGAACCCGACGAGTCAAACCGTTCGTCCTGGAGAGAACCCCTCGATTATTTGCACCGCGACCGGAGATCAGCCCCTGAACATCAAATGGGATGCAATTGGACGTTCATTGCCGCATTCTGTTACCGACAATAGAGGCCTTTTGCAATTCCACGGCATCGCGTTCGCCGATGCAGGAAAATATGTCTGCAAAGCGACGAACGACGCCGGCACGGCTGAAGCTGTCGCTGAAGTTTTGGTCAATGGTAAAGAAATCTCATCGATTAGTTCATAACATTTCTTGCTTTAAAAACAAAAGAAGTCTTAAGATGATGTGAAAGTGGCGTGAGGGATCTCTTTTATGAAACATTTTTCGGGACTGAGTGTATCGAAGCGTTATCAATTTCACCTCTTGCATAGGAAGTCCCCAAGGAAGGCCCCGACACCCATGAAATTTCTCACACCCAGTTCGGCGAAAAGTTTCATAAACTAGACCTCTTTGACGCCACCTTCATATCCCCTTAACTTTCAATTTCATTTTCTCAGAACACGTCTTTGAAAACACCCCGGTGCACGCCCTGGAACGTGACATCACGACCTATTCTGGCAACTCGTTGACACTTCGCTGTCAAGTTCGGGAACACGCTCAGATCCTTTGGAGTAGAGAAGGCCAGTCTTTGCCGGCGAATTCAAGGGTTCGAGAAAATCAGCTGGAATTAATGCACGTAACGCCGGAAGACAGCGGTCGTTACATCTGCGAAGTGCGAAACAATCATGGAGTCGCTAGTGACTATATAAACGTCAGAGTGGCCCGTAAGTATTAAATTACAATTTTTATTTTTTCCCCCATAGTTCCGGCGTCTCTTTCCGAGATCCAACTACCCAGGGACTCGAAAACTGCAGAATGATCTATCTTATGAATGATTTAGAGCCCCGCGAATGATTTCTCACTTAGCTTCGCGAATGACCTTTCTTAGCTTCTCGTTATTCTCTCTCTTTTTTTTTTCGCCCGACTTTTCGAAAGTGCAATCTTGTTTTATCGCTTGATATCCATCGGCACTATCATTGCTCACGATTTGCAATATATAATTTCGCTTCGCTCGCGACGATCCGTCCTCGAAAATCCAAAATCGGAGTAAATTGCAATCGAAGGAAATTTCACTCTTTCAAAATGGCCGACCTAAGCGTAACACTCAGCTGGCTAAAAATCCAAATAATAATCTCTGGTGTTCTTTGCAAGTATCCGAAAAATTATTTCCCACTTCTTCTCCGCTGCGACTTGATTTTCGTAACAAAATTGAATTTCTACATCTATATCTTTCTCGATAAAAAAAAAACAGACAAGATGTACTATAATATTTTTTCTCGCTTCCTTGAATAATTCCAAAAAGCGTAAGCTAACATCCAGGACGAGTTAATCCAGGAAATCTATTCAATTGTCAATAATTCTCTAATAAATTCCATCGAGAAACTCGGTAGAGTTCCGCGGCAAATACATTGTACACTATCGAGTTTCTTTACGGCATCTAACGCTCAAAACTTTGGGCCCTGTCAATTGCACTAATCCAGGGTCGTCATTAAGCTTTTGTATGATTAATAGCGCGATCTGTAGAGATTTATAGGGATCTTTTACGACAGGATCGGCGAGATCACGGTATACCGCAATGAATATCCCGAATCTAGGTTTTTACACAGGCCGCGTTATGGTTTAGTAGTTAATTTGCTTGCGGATTGCATGCCAGTGTACCCAATGCAGTGCAGACACGGAGAGTATCGGTGCAGAAGCGAAGAATGCATTCGATTGGATTTCTTTTGCGATGGCTATGCTCAATGCAGCGATGGCAGCGACGAGCGCTTCTGCCGAAGCAGACGGTACCGTCAAATACTCCAACGACGACGTGGTTTGTTCTGAGATTTATGTGTCTTGTGCGTCTCCTGTGTCGTCTGTAGTCTGTCCGTCCAGTAGTTCAGTGTAGTAAATATGTACATCACTCTACATGTATCTTCACTCGCTTCTCACATCTAACTCTCACGAAGAAGTAAAACCAGTGAAATGTTCCCCAGAAATGAAGAAAGCACCCTGTAAATCCTTGCGATGCAAGAAAAGAATTATTATAAGTTCAGTCCGTTGGAAAAATAATTCAATTAGACTACTCGTATACTGTAGAGCATCGAAGGAAATGTCTGGCGTAGAGCATTTGTTTGTAACTTCCTGGTTTATCATTAAGAAAAATAGTCTTCGAAGCACCTTCGATACTCTGATTCGATATAACCTCAAAAAGGTTTGGAGTGGTTATTTAAATATTTTGGATAAATGAATCTGCATAGAAGGTAATATTGGAACACTTGTAGTCATGAAAATTGTCCCAGCCTCATTGGCCAGACTTGGAAAATGTTTAAACATTTGCGGTCACCCAGCACTCATTACCTAAATTGTCCCAGTGTCGGAAAAATTAAGGCCAAGAGAATGATACCTTTTTTCTCATTTATAGCAGCAGCTACTCCAACTATCAGCATAGAAGTTGCTCAAGACCCCATCAATATTGGTGACACCATTGACATTCGCTGCTCATACTCCGGAGGTCATAATCCTCGCTTCCACTGGGTTAGACCGAACCAAATATCTCTGCCATCTAATGCCGAAGAATATGGAAACGTCTTAAGACTCAGCAACGTTGCTGTCAGTGAGAGTGGAGTGTACAGGTGCATCGTTGAGACACCCGAGGGCACCTTCGAAGATGACTTCAATCTCATCGTTCAGGGTAACTCTACCATTTAAAAAATACGCCACTCTCATTTGCCATTCTTATATTGAAATATTGAAATTGAAAAGGTCAGCTTATTTCATTATCTCGATTTTTCACATTTTACATGCCTACCATTCTGTGTCGTGTGAGTATTCATAGTCTTACGTGATTATACAAGCTACGTTATATATTTTTAAGACTGCGGTTAGGTAACAATTATCAATTTTAATTCAGGTGGAACGAATGACGCTCCAGCGATCGAAACCAAGTATGCACGATATGGAACTGACGTCCAAATAGATTGTAAGACAGATTTGAGGAACGATGTGAAGTACCAGTGGAACAAACTCGGAGGATTACTTCCAGAATTCACCCAATTTTCCGAGGTAACAATACTTTAACAATGTGTTTGTATTTTATTTGCTGTTTATGTTCACTCTCACACCACACTTGCTTACATTTACAGAACATGATGTTCTTGAAAAATGTGAAAGCCGAAGACGCCGGAACATACATCTGCACTGCAAACAGTGACCAAACTAGTGTCGAAGTTCCAACGATGTTAGTAGTGACCGGAGTGGTTCCAAACTTCACTCAAGCTCCCCAAAGTTATATAGCTCTGCCTCCGTTGCCTGACGCATACTTGAAGTTCACTATCGAAGTATCCTTCAAGCCCGAAAGATATGATGGTATAATACTGTACAACGACGAGAAGAGTAACGGAAGTGGCGACTTTTTGATACTCGCTCTTGTTGGAGGATATCCAGTTTTTAAGTAACTATCCATTTTAATTACCATTCGTTGAAAAAAAAAAAGCCTACTATTTTATTGCTCAGGAAAGTGGCCTATTTTCCATGCCTAACCTAAAAGCTAATCTAAAATCTAATCAATGCCTCCAGGTTCCACCTTGGATCCGATCCAGCAGAGATTCGAGCTAACAGGCCCATCACCCTCGGCAAATGGCACACGATAAAGCTTCAAAGGAATCGCAGGGAAGGTACAATGTTCGTGGATGGCGAAGGTCCCTACGAAGGAAGTGCTGCAGGCAGAAGACAAGGATTAGACCTCATGGAGCCCCTCTACATCGGAGGAGTGAAAGAGTACAGTGCTATCAGTAAATATGCCGGTGCTAATTCAGGATTCGTAGGATGCATCGGAAGACTAGTCATCGGAGAGAAACAAGTGGACCTAATGAGCCATCAGGCAACGAGTGTCGGAGTGACAACCTGCGAGACCTGTGCAGAAAATCCATGCAACAATGGCGGTGTCTGCCAAGAAGCAGCCTCCAAGCATGGATACACTTGCCTCTGCCGAGCAGGATACAGTGGAAAACACTGTGACTTTGTGGGACAATCCTGTTACCCAGGTTGGTCTTCTCGCATAACCTATAACCTATAAAATTTATTACAAAAAAAAATTATAAACATGTTTACATAGAAAAAGGTTGTATTGGCTCTAAATGGTGGGACATTAGAATCTGTCATTCGTTAAGTTATACGCAAAATCTGAATTTGTTATTATTTATGACAGGTGCTTGCGGAGAGGGCAAGTGCGTCGACAAGGAAGATGGCTTTGTCTGCTACTGTCGCTATGACAAGACAGGACCTCGCTGTGAACGCTCTATAAGTGTTTACGACCCTGCTTTCCACAACGATCACGCTTTCCTGTCATACCAAACGCCCAAGGCGATTAGGAGGTAAGTCACATCGATAATTCCTTCCCTGCATGCGATTAGCTCCATAGACATCGTTAGAATCTCCAATTGTTTCGAACTGCTCGAAGATACTGCTACATGAATAAAAATTCAGCTCCGATATCTCAGGTCAGATTTATCGTTCCTAAATTTAGATAGACATTAGCTCTCAAAAACCTCAGGAAGTGCGATGCATATTGTACAAAATGCACCGTGCCTATAAAATGCACTGTATATATTCTGCACCAGGGCTGCGAAAACTGCAAGTTTCAAAATTAACATATTAAATTCAGCACCTTCGCTGACCAATTAACTCTACCCTCACAGTTAGATTCGTTCAAGTGGACTAATTTAATAGAGGATTGTTATTTTTAATAATCTCAAATTAATCAATAATTCTAGATTGCTCGATGCATTCCACTTTCGCACTTCTGGATCAACTTTCTTGCACTTTAATACTCTCTTGTGTCCTTTATGTCGATGCACTTCTATTGTTTATATATGGATGTCTTAGACCACCTGTAAAATTAGTCATTCGAATTGATTTAATTCTACGACTTAGGATGATACGAAGATCGCGTGCACCGTTCTTAAAATGTACCAAGACGACAAATAAACACGAGCCAGTGACAAAATCTCGCACAAACGTATCTGGCTCGAAACTCTGCCGGGTTTCCTCGATTTATTTACGGACTTCTGCCTACTTAAACCGTCCTAATAAGTCGAATTCCATTTTCAGGGCGGGAAAGAGAAACGCCATTAAACAAAAACGATCGCATTCACGATCGCACGCGCCCCAGCTTAGTCAACCTAGCTCCAGACAACACCATAAGCACCCCGAAAATTTGCACCATACACAACATTAGACGTAGCACCAAACCTTTGCACGTAGAAAGTCATGCGAGTCCCTACCACGAATCTCTTGAAAGCTGAATTTTGCCAAAAAAAACTTTCTACACTTTCTTCAAGATGACACAGCGGATCGTAGAAAAAGAATCTTAATATCTTTCTAACGTCCAACCGATGTCTAGTGACAGATGACATATTGCAAAATTAAGCTTTCGATGGACATGATAGACCTACGTAGAGCGTAGTTCCTTGGAATGAACTTCGTGGTGCTATAACGTTTAGAACCTCAGTCAACCTTACTAATTAATAATAATAATTAGTTTTGTACAGCTTATTAATTAATACACTTTAACGCGTCGCTGTTAAGTCATATAAATATATAAATAAATGAATATATAAATATATATATATATTAATTTTGTAATAGTAAGACGTGAAGTCACTGCCATACTAGTTGCATTTAACCATAACTCAGGATTATGGTAAGGCAACCCAACGTCATAAGTGTACGATATACGTTTGTACTTATACGTTTAAGGAATCTATATCTGAGCAAAGCAAAAAATATATATTTCGTAATATATGAATGGATACCTATATACTCAGTGGGCGAGCGCCTGTGCCATTATATAAGTATACGCAACGGAAGCATTATTTTACATGCAAATAAATATCTATGTGACCACTTCAGTTTACTCGTTTCTTGATTAATCGGTCGCTATTTTATTTGCGCCTCCGTTTTAATATTTTGACAAGGTGAGTCCCGAGTCGCTTGCATTGTTTTCGTTGCAAATTTTGTTCCGAACCCTTTTAGAGTTTTTTTTTTTTTACGCCGGTTTTCTTACGCTGATTTCGATTTTCGTAAATCGTGCCAGAAGACCAGCTTTTCGGAAAGAAAATACATGAAACGAATGAATTGACTTTTAAATGGAAATGAATTTTCGAAATTTATGAAATCCTTGAAGAGAGCTCCTTAAAAATATCAGATTGAAAGCTCTTGGTTTTATCGATGGTGGTGGCATGTAAAAAAAAAACGCGATGATCGATAATCATTTAATTGTTAATAATAATAACAAATGCTCGTTTCAGTCTCCGTTTCTTCGTCTGCCTGAAAGCACGATACATCTCCTGTAGTCTTAGTTAATATGCACTATACCCAGTCTGTAATATATGCACCTGTTCGGAATGCACTATCGTTAACATAATACAGAAGTTTGCGATGCACTTTGTAACTACTCCACTTGGTGTATTTATTCCTGATGTTAGTGCAGCGGAACCAAGCCATAGCGAGACTTTGTGAAAATAGTGTAAATAATAATGACTGCTGAGTGGAATTATTATGTAGTAGATAATGCAATAACGCAAGAGAAGAGTAAGTGTCCAGGTCGACACTCTCTCTTTCTCTTTCTCTGAAAACGTTAAATTATTATTAACAATTGAGACCGATGTTGAGAAAAGGTACCCAAAGGATCGATGAAGTTACTCTTTGCATAAGATTTAAAATTAAAAAGAATATTGGATTTTCTGTTCCGCAGCTTCAATGTTGTACTGCGAACCTATTTTCTGGAGACATGTTGAAGGACTCCAAAATCTTTCCTGGATTTCCAGTATGTGGAACGAAGGAAATAAATTTCATTTTATTTAGCTCTGAACTTTGGTGGCCTTTTCCTAAAGTTTGTTGCAGTGATTTCTCCCTCGACTAATCCATATGTATGCCTTACGTACCCCAGGCTAAAGCTAACCATGAATTTTAATCCTTCGGACAACGGAGATGGGATCCTGATGTATTCCGCCCAGGTTGACGAAGGGTTAGGCGATTTTGTCGCACTGGTTATCAAAGATAAACACGTGGAGTTCAGATTTGACGTGGGTTCAGGAACAGCGATAATTAGATCGAGCTACATCGTTCAACCTGGAATTTGGACCCATGTCACCATAAGCAGAGACTTCAAGGTAAAGCCTTGTAAAACTAAACGGACATGTAGAAATAATAATAGCTACTTACATTAACACAACCCCAATAATCGAGAAAGATTAAGTAAATTAAATCCTGCCTTCGTATCAAGGTAGGGAATCTATCGGTCAATGGCGAGCCCCAAATAGAAGGACGTTCTCCAGGAACAGCCAGAACGATGACACTAAATACTCCTCTGTACATTGGTGGTGTCGATAGAAGAAGGATCACTGTTAACAAAAACGTAGGGGTAGATAAAGGCTTCAGAGGATGCGTTAACGAGGTACCAATTACAAGTCACTATAAAAACTTGAACATTGCTGGATCGTCCTTCCCTAGGAATGGCCCAGAAACCAGAAGTACTCTGAATACAATAAATTTCTCTGTTTCTTATCGACAGTTGGAGGTATCTTCGATGAACGTGGACATCCTGAAATCCAGCACGGACTCAGCAAACGTGGAGGATTGTTCTCTGCATCGCCAGATACAAACTGCATCACGCCCTCCTTCAACGGAGCCTCCTACAACACCATCCACGACCGAATATAATCCTTGCATGTCGAATCCTTGTGTCCATGGTATCTGTCAAAGTACAAGTACTTACGAGTATTCGTGTACCTGCGAGTACGGATACGTAGGTCGAAACTGCGAAAATGTCCTGAAACAGTGCGAACTCCTAAGTCCTTGTAAAAACAATGGATTCTGCACAGACCTCCGAGGCTCTTACAAGTGTGACTGTCGATTAGGATACAATGGACTTAATTGTGAAAAGCGTAAGTTTCAGAAGCTAAATTGCCAGCCTTGATGAATCTACCTTAATTCCAAAGAACCTAATAGCAAAGTATGAACGTGTATGACCAAATAATCTGAGAAATGTGGCATATTACGTGCAAGACATTAGGTTAGGTTATGTAGTTCGAAGATGGCTAAGAAGCTGCAACCGAGACTATTTTCTTATTATAGCTGCAGAGATATCTTACGACGTGGCTTTCAAGGGCGATGGCTGGTTGGAACTTGATAGATCTGTAATGCCTCACACAGAAGAAAGGGAAGTCCTGGGATTTGAGATCTCCACAAACAAAAGCAATGGACTGATCATGTGGCATGGCCAGACACCGAACGACCTAAACCCTGAAGATTACATCGCCTTAGCAGTTGTCGACGGGTAAATCAGAAGTTACTGATGTAAAGAAAGAACCTATAGAAGCCAAGATTTAATAAGAAGCTTTCTTCGTTCAGGTACATCGAGTATCAATATAATTTAGGCTCCGGACCTGCAGTGATTAGAGTGATGGCTCAACGAGTCGACGATGGAGAGCGCTACAGAATTATCTTGAAGAGACAAGGAAGCGATGGCAGTATAGAACTCAATGGAGAACACACTGAAAGCGGAGTTAGTGACGGCCTCCAACAAATCCTGAACACTCGAGGAAGTGTTTACTTGGGTGGAGTACCCGACTACTTGATGACCTATGGCCGATACCATGATGGTTTCTCTGGTTGCATCTACACCCTGGAGGTGCAAGATTCCGGTGCAATAGACATCGGCAACAAAGCTATCAGAGGAAAGAACGTCTCACCCTGCACAAAGTGAGTAACAATTTGTACGATCAAGTTACTTTATCTACGTAACGTCTAATTCTACTTATTCCAACTGCGTACAATGTCACCTGGTTGATCCAAATTACTTCCTTTCATCCGTAACGAATCATTGTTTAAAAACTATTAATATGTTACACGCTGCACAGAGCGAGGTGGATTCCCTCCTCTCTGGTATTTACGGATGCTGATGCAGACATCTTCGATGCCTTCGTACCTCCACCTCCTGTGAACATAATCCATCCAAGGCCCACTGTAAATCGATCGTCTCATAATGTTAAGAGCATCCCTACTTTAATCATAGTCCAGCACCTTGTTAGTCTGTCGACAAACATCAGGCATCGTAGACTGACACTCACACTACTGTGCGTGTCTTTCGTCATCTTAGGAACGAATTTATCAAACTAGTTTCCATTTGACTTTTTCACTCTACGGTCTAGTCATGACATGAATTCTCTCGAAGATCATCATTAGCGTTCCCAGTTAACTTGTACAGGACTCCGAGAAGTTCATGTCCAGGTAGACCGGCTCCATGTAATCGTAACTAATTAATGTTTGTAAAAATTATTCGGTGCTTTACTGACGCGCGGAGGAACGCGATCAGAGGTACGTTTTCCAATGTTGATTGTTTCTAAATTGTACAGAGATTATGATAAATTTTAACACAGTCACCTTGTTACACTTATGATTAATTTCTCAATTTTCTTTTACAGCGAAACAATGGATCGTCCCGTTCGTGAGGATGCTTCAGGTTTGACAAACGAATAGAAACCTCCAAGTTACAAGACATCGACATACGTTTTTACAAGACATTGATGACATTGCTCGATGCGTTCTCAGCCTAAGAGCATAATTAATTAATTAATTTTAACTGCAGTCACGTTAACGTGTACTTGTTTTCGCGTATGCCTTCGAGTTTCTTCTAACAAAGCATCTTACTACAAAAGCAGTGCACATTTGTATACAAGATACACTAGATTTTGCAAGTACCTCGGAGCAAAGCCAGAGGGAACAAAACAAAAGTGATCCACTTGCACTCTTCCAAGGCAAAACCAAAAAAAAAATACTACGAATAGAAGATAAGTCTTGGAAGTGGGGCTCAATTTTCACAGGAAACATGACATGTTTTATATATACAGAACATACATAACCTAAAAGTATCCTGCACAGATCGATGAATAACAAGGACACGATGAAAATGTACACCGAAAGAAAATCGTATAGGAATACCAAAAGCTTCTAAATTAAACTGCTTGTATCTAAGTTATCCATCAGAAATTGAAGCATCCGTTTCAAATTTCTTCGCTCTATTCAACGCTGTTAAAGTTCTTGTTTCCCTTCGATCCCTGCAGGACGAAACACCAGGAAGGTTCTCTTCAATGATGTACTACACACAACGCGTATATTATTACAAAACAATATTACTATCATAATTTTGTAATCGATACTATATTAGTCGTTTTCTACAGCTTTATTTATACAACATTTAACGCGCAATGCATTTGCGATGCATTTAAAGCGAGCTCGTGCGTTACGATTTTTGCAGATTTCTAATAACCGAGGCGGGTGGTTGTATAACGAAGAGTGACGGTGAGCAAATGACAAATCAGTGAATCAATTGCTTACGGACGAATCATGAGATTAAGGGAAAGATCGTCGTAACTTTCCACAACTATTTCCGTGCGCTCGCGCAAATTCGGAAAGCGAAAGTAGTGTTGGCAAGCTTGTTGCCCATATATATATACATATATATCGTTTTTCACTGCCATGTTATACATGCCAATTTAACGAGTACTTACGTTACCAATTCTCCCATAGACCATACTTTCTCAATTTTGGTTATTAATTGCAATAGCGAGGTAATCCTGAATTATGTGGAGGAGGAAAAGTCACTTACAAAATGCTCGTTAACTCCAGGTTGGTGCTAGCGATATGGAATTAATGTCAGATATATTCTAAGTGAGCCCACGATAACAAAAGTTAGTAATACCTCATATCCAACAAATTCATGTATATTACATATTACTGTCAGTACGGGATTTTTTACAAAAATATTCCATTCTTACAGCTAAAACCATTTGTACATTGCCAACTTATCGTAATGGAAAAAGAAGATCGTCAGCTTATAAGAGTGAAATTAATTTACGCGTAGCCAGGCTACCGTAAATCTGTAAAAAGAAATATATATATAATGTATTGTTATCGAATGGCCCAGCAAGCGGAATCTGCTGCATATTCGAAATGATTCGCTTTTACAGAACAATTGTATTCGAAGTGTGCTATCGATGCTGTCAAGAGGTTATGTTTATTTGTATTCTTTTGGCACGAGGGAAATTTAATGACTTTTTTACCTTGAATCATACAAATTTTAGAAGAGATACGTTTTGATAGGTTTTTCATCGAAGCAGATGTTCAAAGATTGAGAGTGCCAATCGACATGATTTTACGATGCATCTGTGGTTCTTGTTTCCAAGGCTTGAGGTAGTTAAACATTGAGATAGTACGAAGCAATATCGAGGTAGATATAATAAACAATTTTAAGCCTTTAGACGAGGCCTATGAGCTGGCCACGCAGTTCCTAAGTAAAATGGATCCCATCGAGGAATCTTATCACTGCTTGATAAATGTTGCAGATTTTTTAAGCCTACAAAAATCGCACCGGCATTTTGTTAGTGACTACGGGTAGCCGACCACTCGTTGTCATTGACGGGAATAAAAAGTGTATAAAATAATAAACGGAATGGTTAACGGTCCGCGCATTTATATCGAACGTACGCTTTTGCATATCGATGCGCGCACAAAGTTTGACGTTCTAATACGTACTATGCATGATTGCAAATTGTGAAAGTATAAAACATTACATGAAAGTGTAGCCTGTATTATTAAATGTATAATAATTACTCGATAAGAAATGAGACAATAAATATAATTTTGCTAAAGGGGCTTCAGATTTTATTTGGGAGTTGACACATCCGTAGCTGTGGTTTGACAAAGTATGCAGTATCTCTTTTTCTTGACATGAAAAATTGGCAATTTTTGGCTTAATTATACTTTGGTTAATTCAACTATGGGTTTGATTAAGACTAATAATTAATTATCAGCCTAATTCATAAAGTTCAGTCTTGTCGTTAGAAAGTTGACCAAATCATAGCCCAGAAAAAAAAAATGAGAATTGAAGTGAAACCGCAATTCAAGTTTTACATTTTTATTGACTGAGTGTTTTCTGGGCCATGATTTAACATAAGCACGTGTTGCACCTAATATCATCGTAGTAATAAAAATGTTACAAAAAATGCCTGCACTTCACTTTAAAGTTAGTTTAGTTAAACATAACTATTTTTTACACGACTCGTGAATGGTTAGTAACCAGGTGCAGCATTAACGAGAGACAAAACTCTCCTTGCATTGACACACAGTAAACTTGATTGCTTCACTCGACACGACATCATCAAAATATTAATTGAGATATTCTTAAACCATTGTAACCTGCTACAAATCAACTCTGTATCCAATCATAAATGGTAAGCCGGTCCCGACTCTTTTCTGGTATTCTGTGTACTCTGTTTCGAAGAAAATAATCAATATCTCCTCTTCAATTAAAACCCTAGTATAAAAAAACCTCCACGATGTCACAGCATAAGCCACTAGACAAATTGGATTCTGTAAAATCAACTGCAACAAACATAATATCAAAGATGAGTACAAGAGATTGTGTCGAGCATCGATACATTTTTTAAAATGACCGAAATACAACGAATCGATGAAAAGTATGTTATACCTGAGTTCCAATGGACCAGTAAAACCATCCTACGTAACTCGGATGCCTGCAGAGACTATAAACACCATGGGTAACCAATTTGTGTTCTTCCACTTTCTTATACTGCACAAGATGATTGAAATTATGCTGAGCAGTGAACATGGCAAGTTTCCTAAGTACCTCTCCAGATATACACATTATTAATCCCAAATAAGAGCAAAAGTAAGGCTCTTTCATTTCGGGCAAAAAGTATCTCTCCACAAAGAATTCAGCCCAACTTGAGCAGGCGGCGATCCCGTAGGCGACGCTGTGATTTATCACGAAACTATCGGTGGACAAACTGCCTGGATTAGTCCACGCGATGCTCAAGAACTCGGTATAATGAAAAGTCGCCAATACAGATACATATATACCAAATATTTTCCATGATAAAGGAGCGGTTAAATAAATCAAAATGCCGACACCAAATGCATAGCCCAGAAATGCAGCTCTCACGGCAACCTACGATATAACAGTGAAGTATTACATCCAAAGCTGACAAGACGGTCAACTCGTAACCGATCCAACAAGGGGATATTGCACAGTTGACTTACTTGATATAAAAATTCTCTGCATACTGCGACTAGAATCACATTTAAGAGACCATAAAATACCGCATGGAATATGACAACATTCCACACGTATTCGAAGAAATCATCAAATTCTAGCCTAAAAAGAAGCTCCGAAAACGTAGCTAGCAGAACTGATGTTGTGAAGCAGATTATGCTTAATTTCCCCGGCCAACACAACATTTTTAATACTTCTTCAATTTCAAGACTACTTAAATAGTTATTTTACGTCTCGATTGCCAATACCGTTTTTTCCGCCATTTGACGTAAATGTTACATCCTTATTTGACAAATTGTAATGTTTTCACCCATTTTTTAATTTACTCTACCGCTTTCGTAGCAGGGTTGGGAAAGTAAAATACCCTAGGTAAGTTACGTCCTGGAAAGGGGCACAAAATAACAGAGATGAGTTGGGAGATTGCTCACGGGCAGGGTCGCGCGATCGCATCCTGTGCTGCCCTCTGGTATCGAACATTAGCTTTCACCGTTTTTTGCCCCCAAGGGCGGCGCAACGAATTTCTGGTATAACTAGATCGTAATGGTTCGCGGTAACTGCCGCTAGTTGTCGGCAATGTGCGATGATTACGGAATATTAAGCGCGGGTACTCTCTACTACTCGCTGCTTAACATTTCCCGAAACTGCAAGGTCTTGAGAGGTTACTGTTAAAATAGACACTTCAAGGTAGTGTCTCTTAAGTAATCTGGTATCTTGTACGTCGCACAATTTGTATCGATAATTCGAGCGATCGGCGAATAAAAGGCAAAATGGCAGCCCGTTCTCTGTTCAGATATACTCAGTCCAAAAGTGTTATACCCCAATTTCACAGATGCTCTGCTACTCTATCAGCCTATGAGATTCAGCACAGAACCCCGAGTATTAAAAAAGTTATGCCTATACCTAAGGCACACTACGGTGGCCGACATACTGTCACACTTTTACCTGGTGCTGGTATTGGTCCCGAATTAATGAACTACGTAAAGAAGGTACGACAAATAAATATTCGTACAAAATCAATTCCTACTTTTGTTGACTTAAGGGATCGGTCGTTACATGCCCTGCGTCACTGATTACCGTACCTTCGATTGAAAAAAAATACATCCATTACAGATTTTTCGATATGCCGGTGTACCAGTTGATTTCGAAGATGTAGACATCGATCCGAATGCCCATAACAATGACGACCTCGATTTTGCGATAACTTCGATCCGAAGGAACGGAGTCGCTCTTAAAGGGAATATCGAAACTCGAAGCCGCGAAGCGGGAGTTCTTTCAAGAAATGTCGCCCTACGTAATCAGTTAGATCTCTATGTAAATGTTGTGCATTGTGTCTCGTACCCAAGCGTTCCGAGTCGCCAGAAAAACATCGATATCGTTATCGTTAGACAGAATACAGAGGGCGAGTATGCCATGCTGGAGCACGAGAGTGCAAATGGAATTGTAGAGAGTATGAAAGTCATTACTCGTTCAAATTCAGAGCGAGTGGCTCGTTATGCATTTGAATATGCCAAACGTAATGGACGGAAGAAAGTCACTACGGTGCATAAGGCGAATATCATGAAATTGTCGGATGGCCTTTTTCTTGAGATTTCTCGCAAGGTTGCCAAAGATTACCCAGACATAATACATAACGACATGATCATCGACAATTGCTGCATGCAACTAGTTTCAAATCCTCATCAATTCGACGTGGTATTGACGACAAATCTATACGGTGCAATAGTTTCTAACGTTGTGTGCGGCTTGCTTGGTGGTGCTGGTTTATTAGCGGGGAAGAATTTCGGCGATCATTACACGATTTTTGAGCCAGGCACTCGTAATACCGGCAAGCGCATTGCTGGAAAGAATATTGCAAATCCAATTGCGATGCTAAATGCAGCTGTCGATATGCTTCGCCATCTTGGCCATAAGAAACACGCGGTATTAATACAAAATGCAATTAACAAGACGATCAGCGAAGGTGTGCTTACTAAAGATCTCGGAGGCCAAGCAAGCAGTACAGACGTTATCGATAATATCATGAAGCACATTAAGATTGGTGCAGTTTAAAAAGACTGAACATTGTAACTAGAAGGATTTAGGAGCTAATTCAGGACAAACGCGTTTCTAATGGGAAATCACTGATTGAAAAATGTGAAATACCTGTTGTAGCATACCATTTTGAGCTGTGATTATCTTACTCAGCATACTAATGTAATATTTATAATTACGGTCAAAGTTCTATTCGCTATTTTTAATAAACATGTGAATTTTACTAGTCGCACAAACAAGATGTCTTAGGCAGTGGATACTGTATTAGAACGAGATCGTGAGAGATCTATTGTACAGTATGAGAAATGTAAACCTATTATGGTTCACCATACCTTGTATCATATTGCAAAAGTATTATAATTAGTGTAAATGAATCGTCCTTTTATCGCCACTTTAATCATGCCTTGTAAGTAACAATTTCAAGAAGGTGCCAAACAACCTCTACGAATGTACTTTAAATCATCTTAAATTAAATGCCACTCGTCCAACATTTTCGTGTACTTATTTATACTAAAAGTCAAATATTTACAATATATTAACTTCGTAACAGTTCTAACGCCAGTTCTTCCTCTGCTTGTAAATCGATATTACTCTTTAATAATTTCTTTTTGATCTTTTTAGAAGAATCTTGCTCTATCAATTTCCTTTTCGGAGGCCTATAATTGGCAATAAAAATTTCATCAAATAAAACTTGAGAATTGCATGATAGGTTTGTTTAAATAAATATGTACTTTACCTGTGAACTTGTTCTTCGGAGCTGTCACTGGATCTCTCCTGATCGGAGTGTTCAATTTTTCCATATATTTTGTCTGGATCTGGAAGCCATGACAAATCAGGTCCCTCTCCGTCACTTTCATCTTCGCTGTCAGCAACTGATTGTTCAAAATCTTCCTCCAATTGTTTCTGCTCATCCTCAGCAGTCTTTTTATTGAGTTTCAGCTTCCGCTTCTCCTCTTTGTGCTTCTCCTTTATTTTTTCTCTGAATCGTTGTTTATCGAAGCGATCTTCTTCGCGCAATATTTGTTTCGCCACTTCGATGTTAATTCCAGAATGCTCTTCATTTTCATACTGCTTGGCTAGCTCGGACACTTTGGATTTAGTAGGATCCACAACTTCCTAGAAAAAAAAAAAAAAATGACTAATATAAAAGAATGATAAAGAAATAGAATAATTCATAAACTTTAATACCTGGCCTTCTTCATCAAAAGTAGTTTTCTTGTTTGGAACAATCTTCTTTCGCAGAATCTTTTTTGCTACAGCTGCCTTTGTAATAATTTTATTTTTCTTTGTCTTGATCGAGTCGTTTACACTTTCCTCCTCCAAATTGTCATCGGAAGGTGCATCATCCAATTGAATGTTTGTTCTTTTGACCGTCAAAATATCATCTTCATCACTTTCATCTAAATAAACATGCAACATGAATTTATAACAGGGAATCTGGCTATTATAAATGTTAATAATATTAATTTGATTATTCACTTTACCATTAGCAAATAATGCTCCAGTCAACTGTTGTGCTTTTAAGCTATTCCGTTCCTTTTGTGAAACATCACTCGAACTGTCAACATCACTGTCCGAATGCTCATCACTGTTTTGACATTGCAACATTTTGGCGGTGAGAATGTCTTCTTGATCAACGGACTGTTTTTCACTTTTATTAGCTTTACTGGATTTTTTATCATCTTTATTCTTGGACTTTTGATTCATTGATTCTGCTTTTTGTATCTTCTGAAGAAACCGTATCCTTGGTGGAATAGCCAAGCCTAATGATCTAGAATTCAATGATGAATTTAAAATTGTATAAATTAACAAATGCGAAACATTGTTCAATCTACCGAGAATGTTTAAATAAACTTTATTACCTGGAGAAAGCATCAGTGTTTAATGCATGCACATCGAAGATACTTTTATCCTTCATCAGGAAAACTGATTTCACGTATGCTACAAATGCCCGTTGAGCAGATTCTTTCAAAGTTACATCTCTTGCCAGAAGAGCTTCCAATTTCCTCTGTGGTGATTGTAATTTGTTTGGATTAATTCTGTACAAATACAGCAAATGTTATGTACGCCTCGGAACAAATATTCATTGATCGATTACAAATAGATCATCTTTACTTTATCATGGAAAGTGGAACCTTGCGCTCTTCCAGTTTTGTGACGATATTTAATTCGCTTGGTAAAAGTACCAACAAGGACTCTCCTCCTTTGTCGAGTCTCGCTGTCCTGCCTGCTCGATGAATGTAAGCATTTGTATCTTCCGGACAATCCATTTGCACGACCCAGTTCACTTCTGGGAAGTCTAAAAATAAAATAGGTTAATGACATTCCAGTCAATACCCAAAATATAATTATAATACTTTACCCAGTCCACGTGCAGCAATATCTGTTGCAAATAATACCGCATGCTGTTTTTTACAAAAGTTTTCATAGATATTCATCCTTTTGAGTTGATGTAGCGTGCCATATAACGCCAAGAGACTTACGCCAGGCTTGAGACGACAGAACGCTTCAAAGATGAATTTTACCTAACAAAAATCCAATGTAATGCATTTGTTTATAAATTATTATATTCAACGTACCTGCTTACAGCTAGAAAAGAAAACAATAACTTTCTGCCTCAAATGATTCCGAATAAATGACCAAAGCATTGAAATTTTATCTTCTAATTCACAAATAACGTAGCTTTGTTGGAGACCTTCTGGAGTAGTATGCGTTGCGTGTTCATGAACCGATATATACAATGGATCCTTTAAGCTTAACCTTGCCAAATCTCGTACCGATCTGAAGATATGTATACAATTATTTCTATATCTTTATATAACAATAATATAGTTTTGAACACAAGAAACAGTTAAAAAAAATTTTTTACCTAGTCTGAGTCGCAGAAAATAAAAGAGTTTGTCGTTTCGGAGGTAAATTTTCGATTATTGAGTTGATAGTTTTCTCAAACCCCATATCTAAACATCGATCAGCTTCATCTAGGACTAATACCTAAAATAAAATATATTGGACCGATTATATCCACTTACTATGATTACTTAAATTTTAATTTTATATACTCCCCGTTGCTCTTGTTTAAAAAATAATCACTTTACCTGCAAATTTACACAGTCGAATAAAGGATTTTCATCCATATGTTGAAGTAACCGTCCAGGTGTACAAATGACGATATTACATTGATCCATTCTCTTCTTTTCAAATTGCAGATCTTTCCCGCCGATAATTAACCCAGCAGACATGTCGTGATAACGACCAACTTTACGAAGAGTTTCATAAATCTGATATGCAAGTTCCCGAGTCGGAGTAATGACGAGCGCTCCTAATCCATCTAAGCTCGTCCATTGCTTACAGTACAGGGTTTCTATCACCTGTACAAGATTGATAAAAATAAAATGAATAACATAACACGATCTGAAATAAGTTAGCAATTAATTTCTCTGCTCACCGGGATCAGAAATGCCAATGTCTTCCCACTGCCTGTTTTGGCAGCGCCTAGTATATCATTGCCACGTAACGCCAGGCCAATACTCTGCTTCTGTATATCCGTCAATGTAACATATTCGCTGTCTTTCAAACCTTTCTGAGTTTTCACTGACAATGGTAAATCAGTAAACTTATTTAACTGTGATTCATCAATCTACCAATAGAATAAAACCGATTACCAGAAAAATATCAAGAAATTACAGGTTATGTTTTCACGTGGTATACACTTACGCCCTCATACTGTTCCTGAAGCTCTTTAATTCTCTTATCTTCAGGAATCTTCTTCCTTTTCTTGTATATCTTAACCTTCTTATCGCGTTTTCCAACCATTTTGAATTAATAAACACTATAAAATGGTATTAAAAACCGTTTTAGGTTAGATGAGCACCTGTCACAGAAGTCACGTTGCGAACGAGCACTTGTCAGGTTAGGTTAGGTCGTATAGGAAATTCATACAAGAAATTATTAGCCAATCACAATGCAGCGTTAATTTAATCGAACCAATTAAAAATCGCAACCCTCCGTGCGAATAATTATGAATAGAGTTGTGAGTAACGTGGGAATTTCTGTAATCCGGGTAAATTTAAATAAATATGAATACGATATGAATATACTCCGCTCTAGTTTCAATTAATACCTATATCCTTACGATGGCATATCTTCAAAATCAAAAAAAAGACGCAAGAAATGAGAACGATTTCTATTCTATTTTCCGGATGAGGTCGTCAATTTCGTAGAAATGATCGAGCCTGTAAAAACTAACAGTTGCAGTGCATGTAATCAATGCGATAGAAAATGTCAAGAGTTCACATAAAGTGGCATAGTGCCCTCGGTCAGTGACCACGACGTCGTCTATAGGGTGTACCGGAAGCACTCTTTCATTCCCATATAATGCAATAATTAAAGGGCAGTCAGGAGGAAACGGGTCACTCATAAGAAAAATAATTAATATACACGTCATAACCCGGCCATGAGCGAGATGCATAGCAATTGGCCAAGTTGGAGCGCTCTGCTGCAAGCCCTTGTATTATTGCCCTCTTTATTAACGAAGAGAATTTTAATACAATTATACGAGGAGGAGGATGTATAACTTTATAAGAATTCCTTCATCCAAAAAACCTAACAAATATGCGACGTGTAATTGCATTAAAATATTTTCCGAATTTTCCCACTGAAGGTTTCTTCCTTAAAATATGAAGTTTCAATGTTTCTCCATTATTTTTAAATTTATTGTAAAAAAAATGACGGAGGGCCCAAAGTCCTCCTCTCCGTATCCTAAAAATGAATTATATACTCTTTATCGAAAGCGAGAAGATATTGTTATTAAAGTGAATATTAACAGGCTTTTAAGTGTTTCTTTAGTATGTAATAATTCTTTTTAATAGAGAAATAATCTACCAATCACCCTGTAGGTGTTTTTAAGCGCCACGTGATGGCCGGATCGGTGGCATCATAAGGGGCGAGAAATTGTCATTAAAGAATAGGCATGTGAGAAGTGCATAAACTGCAGTCGAGATGCACGATGCATCTTCAAGGAGAGGGGATGCAGATTCCGAGATATTCATGTAGGGACATCTTCGAGGACCCAGCTCGAGAGCTCAGTTCCTGGTCTTCGTCTATTTGTTCAGGAGGTTGATACGACGCGAAATGATCTCGTAGATATACTTAGGATGAAAGGAATCGCGATTGGGCTAATTTTGAAAATTAGGGTCATGATTTGAAAAAATTTACCAGGAGAGAGCATGTGGCCTGACCACGTGAAACCACCATGGAAAACGTCAAAGTGCGATCGCCTCAGTTTCCCTGTGGTCACGCTGATTTGCATAATTATGCTGGTGCAACAGGTGTCAACTGAAAATTTCACTCCATTAGGAACAAGTGAGTTCGATTCAGAAATTTTTCATTCATAAAAATTCCCTCGAAACGCTATAAAGTATCAATAACATTCAAGACATATCAGTCTCGCTGATTTGCATAATAGTGCTGCACTTGTCGGCGCAACAGGTGAGTGCGATTACGAAATTTTTCATTCATAAAAATCTCCTCAATTGACAGGACGCTATAAGGTAAATGAATTTCCTCAAACGCTAAAATGTTATAAATCATGGAATAATTGTTACGAAACACGTTAAATAGTTACACGTTCACCTTCTCAATTCTCTGATTTATAAATTTCATTGAAATTAATTTCGTACTGAATTTTGTAGTTTTTTTTTTTAAATCTTATATTGTACTCGTAATAGAGAATTGCAGGGCAATCGTTATAATGAAATATTTTTATAATTAGGGTAAATTATGTTATTTTCGGATATAGAGCTGCTTGAAATAGTCGAGTGGTAATGCAAGTCTCACGATACTCGAGTGCATAGTTTTTTGGCTGTTACGTATGCAGCTTCAAGTGAGTTCATTGTATTAATTGAAGAGTGCACGCGAAACTCTGCGCGCAATCCTAGACGGGCGTTCTTCTCGATGGAATTGGCTCAAGTATTCATTGAAACAATGTGAATTATGTTCCTTAGGTTCCGGGGTTACTGGGTTTCGCAATTGTCTCTCGTATTTAGAATCACACTCCTCTCTCATAGCGGCTTCGTCTGAAGAAAGAGCCCAGAAAGTCCCCAGTTAACCCTTTCCTACCCAGAAAGCCACGTTCGCGACAAATAGAATTAAATCGTCCGACATTCCGAAAATCGTCACCAAGAAACATCGTTCGATCTCATTTATGCAGGGAATTATCATTAAAAATAATTCCATGCTTAGAGGAAGCTGCCAAGTGATCGCCAGTGCATGAGAATTCAATATCAAGGAACCCGGCAGTGTCTCGCGCCAAATGTATATTTGCATTAATTAATTCACGGTTTGGTTCTTTACAAAAAATTAATGTTTCAACATTTACGTGTCTGTGAACTTATGGAATTATCTAACACGCAGAAAATGAGATATCTTAAACATTTTGTAAAAGACGCGGTTGCGTCTCGGACAAGTGCACGCGCCGAGTCTCTTTACGCTAACTATGGATCTACCGGGCATCTATTTTCCTACACACCGGGAATTTTATAATTAACATTCTATCACCCATGACTATTTTCTATCCCCTAGACAGAGGAATTGTGGACTTGCTGGCAGCTACCGAGATCCAGGAAAAACCTTTCGGAGTGAGGAAAATCGAGCCACGTTGCCGAAGAAATGGAACTGCCTACAACATCAGCGAGTCGGCATTATTGACAGTGAACACTGTCACAGTCTTTCCCACAGGAGTGCCCCCAAATTTCTCCATTCTAGCTGTTGTTAAACCGGAAGTTGGTAATGAAACTTAAGATGTTGCTGAAAAAAAAAGAAAAAAACATACAAGAATTAATGCGTAAAGTAACCGAAAATTTAAAGTTAACTTCTACCGATCGAATTTTGATCTTGCGATGTGAAAAGAGGTGACAAAATATTTTTTAAAAAATCCTTCCGACACGTTAAATGTATAATTACGTTCCAGGAAATCCGATGTCTGCTCTACTTGCGATTTATAGCGACAGTGGAGAAGAGGAATTCGTGTTGTCATTGGGTGAAGATGTCACGTTGCTGTATAATACATCGGAGGACGATGACGACACCGCAGTCTCTTTTAGCACAAGTGTATCAGATGGAAATTGGCATCGCCTTGGCATCAGTATTAAAGGGGACTCGGTTACGATGAATATCGACTGTAATCAGCAGATAACAAATAAACTGAAAAGAAATCTTGACCGCCTAATCACGACGAGTGGCATCATCATGATCGGTCAACAGCTGGTGGATGAAAATTTCTATTCGGTTGACGCTTATCATTATACTCGTAGGTTACCTTTATCAAAATTGAATAAATAATTAACACTCTCTGTCCAATCTAGGGAGGGCTTGAATTATTGAAGATAGCACCGAATCCAGAGGCAGCTTACGACATCTGCTCGACCTTTGCCCCAGATTGTCCGAAGGAATTACCTGTAAAAAAATTGAACAAAAAAGCGGAGAATTATTTGGAAGTACCAAGAAATTCGGGAATATCCGTAACGCTGGTTCCAACATCGAGACCAGCCGAAAACCGTACAACAATTAAATATGAAAAACTGGAGCCAAGATTTCCTGTATTTTCCGACAACAAATCAGTGCACGAGTTGAGCCTGATAATACACCTGAATAATTCCCTTCTAACTGATAAGGAAAACGCGACGAAAATAAGTGAAGAGGATTTAAGACATTTCGGAGGAGAGATCGGTGAAGATGAAGATGAAAATGAAGAAGACAGCACAGAGGAAGGGAGCCTTGAAGAAGAGAATGAAGATGTTAACTCAGAAAATGAGACATCAGGATATGAAGGATTGTCAAACTTTACGGAAAGCGAATTAAACGCAGAAAGAGAAACAGAGAATCCTGGGACAGGGAATTTCGAGTACGCTGAAAGGAGTCAAAAAAGGACAGAAATTCCCAGCGAAAGAGATTATTACTACAATTACGGGTATTACGGTAGAGGACCAGCAGGACCTCGAGGATATCCAGGACCCCCAGGAACAGGAGGACCTTCTGGTAACAAAGGAGAGCCGGGAAGAGATGGCCTCGACGGAGTTCCTGGAGGACCTGGATCTCCTGGCCACGTGTTTATGATTCCTCTAAATCAACAAGGATCGGAAAAAGGACCTGACTCTCAAGGAGATGCCCTGAGATTGATGCTGTCGCAGCATTTATCAGCAATAAGAGGAGCTACGGGACCAATGGGCCTGACAGGAACTCCAGGACCAGAAGGACCACCAGGACCTGCAGGGCAGAAGGGCGAGCCCGGAGAAATCGGCGAATCTGGACCCAGAGGAGAAAGAGGCAATTTTTTATTTTATTTTACAAGAAACAATAATATATTTTCTTAGCCATTTAATTGTGAATATTAATAAAGAAAAATACTACCTCATCAGGGAGTCCTGGAAATCCTGGGAGGGAGGGTAGAAGAGGCAGATCTGGAAGAGATGGAGAAAGAGGACTGGCAGGACCTCCTGGAGAAAAAGGAGAGCAAGGTCTGCCAGGTCTGCCAGGATTGCCAGGTGACAAAGGTGAAAGAGGTCCACCTGGTGCCGCAGGGGAACAAGGATTGCCAGGAAATGAAGGAATGCAAGGAGAAGATGGCCCTTCCGGTCTGGCAGGAGCTCCTGGTGAATTGGTAATTGAATTATCTTTAGATGTATAATGAGTTTGGATTTTAATTTGCATAATCTACCATTCACCTGATGATAATTATACGTGCGAAGGGTCCCAGAGGGTTCATCGGACCACGTGGATTTCCTGGTCCACCTGGAAATAGTGGAGTTCCTGGGAACGAAGGTCCTCCAGGACCTAAGGGCAATGCTGGACCACATGGTCCACCTGGTCCTCCAGGTCAAACAGGACCTATGGGTCCTGTCGGTCCCCCTGGACCGCAAGGACTCCTCGGACCAACTGGTCTAGTTGTAAGTAAATATAATTAAAAATATACTAATAAATTAAATAAGTGTTTTAAATAATCATGTATTGAAAGAATACGCACCTTTAAATATTACTTTAATTGCAAAGTGACTTTCCTGCAGGGTCCTCAAGGGAAACCCGGCATCCCAGGACTTGCCGGTGGGGATGGACCACCAGGACACCCTGGAAATCCAGGAATGCCAGGATTAAAAGGAGAACAGGGCCCGCAAGGTCCACAAGGTCCTATAGGATTTCCTGGAGTGCGAGGTGTTAAGGGGGATGAAGGGAAACGCGGTCAATCTGGAGATCGGGGTGATAAAGGAGACAGAGGTCCTGAAGGTAAAAAGGGGGATCCTGGCCTTAAAGGGGAATCAGGCCACAGAGGTCCTCAAGGAGTTCCTGGTATGGAAGGCTTGGAAGGACTCAAGGGTTCCGATGGCCCTCGAGGTGAAACCGGACCAGCTGGTCCAGCTGGTGAAAAAGGGAAAATCGGGGATCCCGGATTTCCTGGATATCCTGGAGGTCCTGGAGAGAAAGGCGACAAGGGGCAGTTCGGTACCCAGGGTCCTGTCGGTGACAAAGGAGAAAGAGTAAATTTATTTCTCTATTTATAACATATAAATTAAGATCATTATTTAATTAATATCTATTTTAGGGCAACACTGGGATACCTGGTGATCGTGGTGAGACTGGACCTAGGGTAAGAATAAATAAATGTGTACAAATGTAAATAATTTCGCGATAAACTCTACCGAGTTTCCAAATGACAATATTAAATTAATATGCTTCCAACAATTTTCTAAACATTTAGGGATATCGAGGTGAGCGAGGAAAAAGAGGTATCGAAGGGTTCCCAGGTCCAAAAGGTGACTCAGGGCAGCCAGGACCCCCAGGTCCTCAGGGTGACCAGGGTTCCCCGGGAGTGGAAGGACCACGAGGGTTTACAGGACCTCCAGGTCAGTCAGGAATGGACGGAAAAAACGGGATCCCAGGATTCCCAGGAGAAAGAGGACCTGCAGGAGAATCTGGATCCTCCGGACCACCGGGAAGTCCTGGGGTGATTGGACCACCTGGTCCACCTGGAGAACCTGGCCAGCCAGGTGAACCAGGAAATCCAGGAAGTCCTGGGAGTCCAGGGGACGTCGGTGCCCCTGGAGAACAAGGAAAGGAAGGAGCACCTGGACCTTCTGGACTTCCAGGGAAAGATGGGCCACCAGGTCCTGGGGGCTTACCTGGATTCCCTGGAGAAAGAGGACTCGATGGCTCACCGGTAGGTTCTAAAAATTGCAAATGAGTGTTTGGAAATTTGCAAAACAATTGGACTTATGGAATCTTTGCAAAGGGCATACCAGGTCTGAAGGGCGAAATGGGACCCGTTGGATTACCTGGAGCAGGTGGCGACAAAGGAGCCCAGGGTGATCCTGGTAAGGATGGACCACCGGGTCCTGAAGGAAGACAAGGACCGAAAGGTCCTCTTGGGCCTGCTGGCGGGAAGGGAGACAGAGTTAGTTTTATTAAAGGATTCACTTATCATAGATGCCTTTCGTGCCACCTTAATTCTTACATTTCTACATTTAGGGGGATCCTGGAATGCCCGGTCCTTCAGGAAGAGACGGATTACCTGGTCAAAGAGGTCTACCAGGTCCTCCAGGTCCTGTCGGAGTTCCTGGCGAGGATGGTGACAAAGGAGACGTCGGAACACCTGGAGAAAAAGGATTGAAAGGCTTTAAGGGTGAAATGGTACGCGGAGCCTAAATTCAAGAAATCTAAAATTGACGTTAATGATATAAAATCCCAAAATACCAAACAGGGTCCTCCAGGATTATCCGGAATTCAAGGACCAAGAGGTGAGCCTGGGTCCGTTGGTTCCATGGGAGAAAAGGGTCCACCTGGAGAAATCGGAAGACAAGGTAGCAAAGGCGAAGATGGACCAGTTGGAGTCCCAGGACCAGCAGGTCCCATAGGACCTCAAGGACTTCCAGGACCTTCAGGAGTAAAAGGCGAAGCTGGTGATATGGGAGCAGCAGGACCTACGGGCACCATGGGAAATCCTGGACTTCCGGGACCAAGAGGTCACAAGGGGGAAGAAGGTCTTCAAGGACCCGCAGGTCCTGAGGGACTGCAAGGACCCAAGGGTGATGCAGGAACTCCAGGACCTCCAGGAACAGCTGGCGCAGAAGGGAAATCTGTAAATACCCCATTCCATGAGTTTATGGGTTTCGTATTCTGGATTTATTAATTTTAATTCAATATTCTATTCAACGTAGGGCGATATCGGTTCTCCAGGGCTGAAAGGGGAGGAAGGGAAACCTGGACCAGCAGGTCCTGTAGGACCTCGAGGTCTGGCTGGTCCAGAGGGTCCAAAAGGACACGAGGGTCCTCCTGGTCTTCCTGGTCCTCCTGGAGAACCAGGATCGGTGGGACCAAAAGGTGAACCTGGGAACGATGGTGACGAGGGAAAACCTGGTGGACCTGGTCTTCCTGGAGAAACTGGACCTCCTGGGAAGGAAGGAGTTCCAGGACCGCCAGGGAAAATGGTAAATCTGAAATATAAAAATCCGTGCATGATACAATATTAAAAATTGATAACTTGAGAAAAGTGTCAAACGATTGACCTCTCGGATGCCACTTTCATATCACTTTAATGATACTTCCTTAGGGTCCAGAAGGAACAGCAGGAACACAGGGAAGTCCAGGACCTCCCGGTGAAAAAGGAGATGCAGGTCCCGTTGGTTCTCCAGGAAATCAAGGCCACACAGGATCTCAAGGTGTTCCAGGACCTCCAGGACTCGCCGGAGTAAGAGGACTACCTGGTGCAGCAGGTGAAAGCGGTCCTTCGGGGATGCCCGGAGCTGTTGGCCATCCTGGAAAAATTGGTCCTATGGGACCTAAGGGTCATAAAGGTGACAAAGGTCGCCGAGGAATTAAAGGACACCGTGGAGAACTTGGTTTCCCTGGACTGAGTGGAGAACCTGGAGAAAAAGGAGAAAAGGGATCCAGAGGACTCACTGGGCCAGAAGGACCAAAAGGGAGTCCTGGTCCTCCTGGAATTACAGGTCCTAAAGGAAGCGATGGTCCTCCAGGATTGCCTGGAATGGAAGGGCCACCTGGACTCAAAGGATATCCTGGAAACGAGGGGGGGAAAGGGGACATCGGCCCGCAAGGACCTCCAGGACCTCCTGGCGCTCCTGCCGAACAACCTTTAATTCCCCCTGAATTACTTTTCTCCAGGGAAGAAATTGACCGAAGAAAACGGAATACGCAGGACTCGTAAGTGTTATTTCAAGGATCATGTAATTAATGCGGTAAAATGTTTTCCTTTACAATTTCCATGGTCCTCAGGGAGCAAAGGGAAAATGAAAACATTCTTGTGGAGAACCTGAAAGAATCTGAAGAAAACACTTTGGAATTAGTGGACATTTATAATTCGATTTACAACATGGGGATGGAGTTAGAAGGAATTCGTAGACCTGCAGGGACAAAAGAAAACCCAGCAAGGACTTGTAGGGACCTCTTTTACGGCCATCCTGATTTTGATGACGGTACGTGCTTATTGCATTTAGAAACTCGGTAGAGTTTTGCGCCAAATACATATAAGCACTTATGTTGAAAAATGTTGATTTCCTCAGGCTGGTACTGGATAGACCCAAATCTGGGAATGTCCGATGATACAGTATATGCTTTCTGCAACAAGTCAAGCTCCGAAACGTGCATTTACCCTGATTTGCATAACAGCCAAGTGCCGAATATCCAGTGGAAAAAAGATGGCGAGAAGAGCGACTGGTACTCTAATCTTCGTGGTGGCTTCAAGGTCCGCATTATCTTTGCTCCATAAATCTATAAACAATTAGTCTTTATATAACATTCCGCCTTGCAATTACAGGTAACTTATGAAAGTGTTGGATCGGTGCAACTCACGTTTTTACGACTTCTAAGCGAAGAAGCTTACCAGAATTTTACATACACCTGCGTAAATAGTATCGCCTGGTACAGCGCTCCTGATATGAATTATAATTCTTCCTTAAGTCTACTTGGTCACAACGAAGAGGAATTTTCGTATAACAGCAAACAGCCTGAAGTAATATTTGATGGTTGCCAATCCGGGAAAGGCGCAAGCGAGACCACTTTTACGGTGAAAACGGAAAAGCTTCAAGAACTTCCTCTGATTGATTTTCACCCGATGGATTACGGATCGCCAGATCAAGCTTTCGGTTTCTCCATCGGACCAGTTTGCTTTAAATAATATATTCCACGTGTTAAATTTATGTAAAAGACTCTAACAAATCAGCAGAGATCGAACGCGTGTAATTTACCGAGCCAGCCTCAGTTGTATATTTATCCTTGGGTTTGTGATCAGCCACACTGCCATTTTATTATTAATTATAGCACGCGTTAACTAACTGTACAAAGCGGAGATTGAATAAATTTATAATAAAAGCTTTGGAATATACATGTGAACGTGTGAGATAATTCTAGTTTAGAAAGAGTAGAAAATTAGACGATCGAATTAAAAGTATTCCACTTAATTATGGTGACGATATGAATTAAATGTTGATATGAAGAAGAAAACGGAGTTCTGGAAAAGAATAATCGTTCGTTTCAATTCACTGCAGATATTCTTATCGCTTAAATTTCTTTGTTCCCTCTCTCTTAAATCTGCCAGTAGGTTTCCATTTCCTTTTACCAGGATGACCCTTAATTCTCTGATTCCTTCCCACTTCCCAATCCAGTTGCTTCGAACTGGCCCCGTCCATGTCACTCAAAACATTTGCTCCGCCTTGCTTGAATTTCGATCGACCCTGCTGTTCGAGCATTTCTGCAAACTTTTCCGCAGAGACGAAGACATTTTCTTGCAGATCTTTTGAATTTTTCTTGCCCTTCTTCCCAGGCTTTTTGCTAGTCTTCTGATTAATGAATACATCCTTGAGTTTCAAGTCATTCAACACACTTTCATCCTCTTCGCCATCGTCACTGAATTCGATGTCACTTAAGTCTTCGTCAAGGTCTTCAAGATCGATGTCACTTCCTGCCAATTCATCGTCTAGCTCTTCTTCAGAAATATTTTCTTCATCCACTCCATCGTCCATCTCGTCAATTTCATCCTCTTCTTCACTGTCTGCAGTTGCATTACCTTCGATGAAAATGAAGATATAAGAATAAATATATTATTATGACTCATCTAGATATAATACATATAGAATATATACCTTTTTTCTTCTTTGCGGAACCAAAGTCTGCTGCCACGTCAAAGTCATCCAACTCATCGAGGTCGTTTAAATTTTTCCCTTTACCCATTTGGTCCAGCAAAGAGTTGAAGTCTTCACTATTGACACTGTCATTGTCGTCATCCTCCTCAGCCTCCTCTTTTTTAATTCCGCATTTTAACTCCTTACGCTTCTTTAAGTATCGGTACAAATATAGCTCATCTACTGGAATTCTATCGATGCTCTCATTTATATATGCTTCGCTAGCCACTGGAATAGCACGAACTCCTCTTGGTATATAAGCAGTACGCTGTGCCAGTGGATCGTTCTTCTTTGATACTTTTTTACTATCCAGCTTCTTTGGATTTTTGAAGACATATCGATCCAGAAAACGAATCAGTGTCAGGTCTTCAAGAGGATCTCCGGTATATTTTATCGAATTCCCTAAGCGGACAATATAAATTAAATAAAATCTACAGAGAGAAATTATGAGAATAAATTATTACATTTACCTTGAGCTATTGTATTTGCAAAAAGAGAAACACTCGGGTGATAATGAGCCGACATAGCTGCAAATTCGTAAAAGAAACTCCTAGCTGCGTTAGCATGCAATGGATTACGACAGAAAGGATCATAAGGTCTATTTTCTTCGTCCTTTACTTGATCCTGTAGTTCATCTTTCGTGTCATCTTCATCCATATCCACTACAGATTCCACTTGAATATTTGGAAGGATTATTGAATTTTCAGGATCATTTGTTGTAACATTTGCCTCTTCGATTTTAGGCAATTTTAGGTCTTCGCCATTTGACAGGTTATGATTGTGTTCTTGTTTCACGAAAATTCTACACCTTTGGAAAATATACTTTGCATCTTTACGAGATTGCAGCACTTTTGAGATGACGTATAATGTTGCACAAGCCATGTTTGCGGAATAATATAAAATAGCTTGGAATAGTCTCTTCAAGGAAGCACAGAGTCTCGTTATGCTTGGATCTCCTCGTAGAACTCGATACAAAAGATTAAGGAAAACAGCTCTTTTAGATACAACGCCAATTTGGGGATCGAGAAGTTTTCTGTAGAATGTGGAGTAAAATCTGTTGGATTGGGCTTCATCTTTCCCAGTTACCTGAAAAGATGAAAATTGTTATTTGTTTTGAACGTTACCTAACCTAAAGAAACATGAAATTATGAAAAAATTGTTTAACTAACTTGGTATAGTAGGCTAAGTGCGTTTAAAGAAACATTGAAAGACCCGACATGGACGACTTTGTATACAGAATCAATGTGATCTTGCATTTGATTTGTATCCGTCCTCACAAAAGGATAAGCTCGAGTGACGCCAGTCAAAATTGCTGCCATCATCCGGCTATCGGGTTCGCCTTTCTTCAAGCATGCTTTAAAAAAAGCAAAGTATACATCCACAAGATTATTAGCGGTGTCATTATCTCCCTTGCTCAACGTGAATTGTGTCAATAGGCAGATCGCATAGTACTGAGCACGCTGTGCTATATTCTTTCTGAACAAAAGTCTTTCCACCTCTTTTAACACGACTAATTTCATATTTGGGTGTTCATGTAAAACTTTAGTTAAACAGTAGACAGTTTTTGATGCAACTTTGCTGTTAGGATCACCAATCTTATTCACCAGTGTCTCTAGAAGTTTTTGTTCTTGTTCAGGATTAGACCTTAACAGATCGCTTAATACAGAAACTGCCTTCTCTCGATTTACTTCAATAGATTCAGAAGCGATCATGGAAAGAGACGCTATAAAACGTTCGTACAGTTCCCGGAGCTGGTCCTCAAAATACCAGTGAGCTAATAATTTACGTTTCGGCACATCTGGATTTAACGAATCCAGTTTATCCAAATCTTGCTCTTCAAATTTCAGGAGTTTATGATTAGGATGAAGTAAATCGCCCAGAAATAGATCCCGCAGTGATGTTATAATCATATTGCACTGGTTATGTTTTGCTACTCTTACTTGAGAAACCAGGGACGTTAATCGTTTCAAATTGTACTTAGGATTGTCCTGTACGAGTACAATGCTGGCAGCGACCTTATCCGAACTGGTTCCCTGCGTTAGCGCAGTGTTTAGCCAAGCAGTCTCTGGATCTCGAGATTTCGACTGTTTCAGCTGAAAAGACAAAGCATCTCCATCGAGGCATTTCTTTGCCTCCGCTGCTAAGTCCAAGACTTCGACTTCAGACTTTGTATGTTTGCAAGCTGCTTCTGCTTTAACGAACTCTGAATACCATTTTGTCCTATTTCCACTAGAATAGTCAATTAGGTCATCGGTAAATATCTTCTTTTTTTCCTAGAAACAATCAAATTTTGATATTTCCCAGATTTTCGTAAAACTTGTAAGGAACATTGAGGTTAATGTTGTGTAAACACCTTTTAAGAAATCGTTCAAACCGGCGGATACAATTTCGTAATAGAATGAATTACAATTTAAAACCATAAACCTTACCTTCATAGTTATTAATTCAAGTCCCAGTTTATTAGTATAAATCTCTCATTCCCAATTAACTTCTACCACAGGAACCTCCAGGCATGCAGTTAACCTCACTTTTCAATTAAATTGAATTAAGCAGACGACGGAGCACGAGTCTTCTAAAAATAGTGATATCTATAATTAACAGATGGCGCCAGAATACTATTTTTCAACCTCTACATCATAAAGCGCGGCTTACAAATCATATCTTACTATAAACGTTATTAGCCACATAAGTTAATAAACAATTAATTTCTCTTAGTACTCAAATTTTATTTCACAAACATGCCTAAACAGGTAATACAGTTTTCAATGTCATGAAGAGCGATGAAAATAAATAATCACAGTTAAGTCAAGCAATGGCAATAATAAAGGGTTCTGGATAAAACAATATTGTACATACTTTCTGTACAAAGAAGTTCGTCACAAACTTCCATCGGTCCATCCTTTTCTATGAAAATACTTAAGCTATAATAAAATATCGTTTCACGAGGAATAACTCCGGCCTTATCCGACACACTTGTCGGTAGTTTGTTTAATACTTGTAGTTAAGTAAAACATTAATCACTGGCATAAAAAAGATAATTGACTATGCTTAAGAACTCTACCTCATGTTTACCTCTAGTTAAAGCTACAAGATGCCACTGTAAAACTCAAATATCGTACGCTTGCTATCAGTTAATATCATTAAAACATTGTCAAACACATTTTGAGAAACTTGGGTTGGAGTTCACAGTGGATTCTATGAGTTGAAATTGGTCAAGTCTTTCAATCGATCACCTGTAATGCACAAAATGTAAAAGTAGGAAACAATGAAATGTTATCGATAACCTCTTTACAAAGTCTGGAGAAAAATTCAAAGATTAATTTCTACACTTTCTAACCTCAAGAGTATCAAAATAACTTACCTAAAGTTTTCTTCTTACAACTAATCTTTTTGGTATTCGCGCTTTTGTCAGCCGCTTTTTCACACTCTGTAACCCTATCGTCGAATAACTTAATAGTGTCCTCGTCATTCGTCATCAGTCCTTCCGTTCTTAAAATATAATCTTGAATGAATTTACTGAACATAGTAGTCTCAACGAACCATTCAAGAAAATATCTCATAGTTTTAGATGAGATGGCCTTTACGAACGATTCTTTCTGTAAACAAAATCCAGATTAATACAATACCAAGCGTAGATTTTTCAGACCGTGACATTTTTTTTCTTCCATTAACGTAGTTTTTCTTACTTCAAAAACTACTTTGCCATCCTGCTGCGTAACAATATGAGAGCGACAATGTCCGCAAGTTTCCAGGAATACCCTGAGAAAAGCTTCGGAGACCAGGAAGTTTCGGACCCCATCAGTCGTTGAGGTATTATCGGATACTATTTGTAAAGCAGACTTCAATCCTTTCTGAAGTCTGGATGGCAATATCGAAGATTCATCTCCAACTGCGTGGATAATTTTGGACGCGTCAATGTCAACGACAATACCCTGAAATAATAACATCCAAAATATTACTAGCCGATTAAAAGTACTAATCATACTTCGTAAACCATTAAGATCACTTACATCCTCTACAGCGCTTACTTCAATTCCTACATTCCCTTTCAACTTCAAAAGACCGATGACAAATGGCAATGGTGCTTGCAAGATCTCCGAGAGTCCAGGAATGTCAGGAAGTACTGGAATAAAAGTATGCGGCCATACGAATGGATATAGAAGACTTTGTAATGCCTCAACACAAGACGACAGTTTACTAAAACAAGAAACAAACAATACAGAATTCCGAGGAATTAAAACCAACACAATAATAAATAAATAAATTATTTCACTAACCTTAAACTACTGCTTAACAGGACGACTTTGCGCTCCAACAAAAGGCTGCCGAACAAGACTATCAACACTTTCGTGGACACTGCATCGAACAGCTGGCTCATATCTCTTTCTTCCAATCTATGATCTCCCGATCTTAATATCACATGACCTTTCGAGTCGATGTCATACACAGTTCCCAGAGATTTCTCTGTATCAGATCTTTCAGAGTTAACGAGAACATAATTAGAGTCATGCACCGATTGTATGACCTTCTCCTCCGAAGTTATTGTCTTGGTAATAACATTGTTATTGCTGCTGTGTCTCCTCGCAGAAGAGTCGTCCTCTCGTTCCTCCGCCTTAAGTACCAAACTATACCCAGGACGTGGCATTGGACTATTGTAAAGATCCTCTATAAAGTGTTTCTTCTTCCTATCAGGAAATCCATGCCTCGACTCAAGCTCGTGCAGAACCTTATAATAAAAGCCACCAGCTCGATATCGAGTGATGAGGCAATAGGCCAGCGGCAAAATAGGACCTCCTTCTGGTTTGACACGGCAACAGTATCCATATCTTCGATTCCCTCTTTCGTCCATCAGAACCAGAGAGTAAGGTTGATTCTGCTCACAATCCGAGGGTTGCCAGCAGGAAGCATCGGGGAAACAGAAATTTTCAATCCAAGCAGGTACCTTCGCCTGTTACAAAAAAAAAAAAATAAACCATGACATATTTTTAATGACTGTCACCGTAACTTTAATAAAGTACTTACGTAAGCAGGATATTTATCCTTAATATATGGCTGTTTTGTACTGAGATTCAGCTCCACCAAAAGACAGACTTCGAACAGCTTATCCCTCCTGTCCGTTACAGGGATCTCCTGTCTCTCGAAGTACCTCAGAGACACTCTTCGGACATAATGCTTCCTCTTCTCTGTCAAGCTTCGATGAAGCTCCTCCTTCGTCGATTTGGGGATATTCTCTCGTTCCTTAAAAAGTTTGAGCTTCTCATCGAAGGTGGGGAAGTCCTCGTTGAATGACAAAGTCGAAGCAAGAGAATCAGTGTCCGAAGAGGTGTTCGAGTCAGGAGTTTCCGTGCCAGCCATCACAAGCTGTCCGAATGCTTGATCGAGCAGCTGCTCTATCTGCAGAAATTCACGTTCAGGTTGTTTACAGGTTATGATAAATATTTATAAAAATAATACATGCAAACGCTGAACATCAGGTACCAATATTTCGTTCCATTTTCCATAGACAGACAAGCGAAGTGAGCGACCAGAAGTGCACCAAATAAGTCAGAAAAACCAGACATGTGCTCAAAAGATCCAATCAAGGAAATTCAAAGAAGAGGTTATATTTGCCTGCGAATCATGCATCTGCGCAAGGCCGTTATCCGGCGCTTTTATCACAATGGAAAGAACGTTGAAAAGCCGTTCTTTGAACTCGTACAATCGTACTTCCCCGGAATAATCGAGAGACTTTGCTCATGCATTCGCACAACAAATGGCAAGCAGCATAGGAAAGTATCTGCACATTTATTCGCAGATAAGGAATATATCTTCAGACTGCGTTGCTTAATTGTTTTCTTTTTTTTTACAGAATCTGCACAACACTTTTTATACACGACAAAGGTTTTAATTACTTTCAAATGATTACTTAAGGAGGAATATTTAAGAAAGATCACAGGTAACGGAAGACACTCGTATCGTAATGTTCACAGCACCCACGTAATGTGTTTAAAAAGTCAGAGAAGTAAGTGAAAACTTTTACAATTAATCAGACAAGTTATTAGAAAGCTGAAGTTGAACGCGACGCCACGATTAACGACGCCGAATGCGAAACGAAGATCATATAAGCACCGATGGAAGAAGCGACGTCGATGAACTGTCAGGGGCTTTCCTAAAAGTCATGTGAGTCACCCATGACAATCTCCCATTACTTCCTCTTAGCGTTAATTAACCCATTCTCTTAGATAAGAGACAACAGATTCATTCATTACGGTGCTACACCACATACAGCGAATACTTAAAAAGATACATCTGCAATGACAGCAGGAAAATATAGTGATAATAAATATAATAAATAAGGCCTAGCGCTACAAAATAAATATCATACTCTACCGATAACAAGTCAGTCCCCTATTTACAATGCACTAAAAATATCTCAGAATCATCCAATGATCCTATAATAAAAGCACAAATGATAGCATCGCCCTGGATAACTATTTATTATTTACAGCACTTCAAGGTACGCATTCCAAAACCTATCGCAGCCCTATCGTAGCTATACAGCTATGACCAACATTGCTCCGCAGTAGCATCGATGATGATAAAAGTCGCAAATGATACAAAACTGAACGCAGAAGCCGACATTTGTGACATAAAGAGCCAATGATCCGCGATTGTCGAAGCAAATCGCGTAACAAGCCGCGATTACTCCTTACAGCTGGCAGAAAATAAACCCAATTTCCGCAGCAGGTAATTGAACCGATTTGCAGAGCGTGCAGCGTACAGAGCCCGAGGAGCCTACACCAGATATGCGTAAACGTATTTGGCGTTCACCTTATGTTTATTCATTTTGTCGACGAAGGGCCGCACATGGCCAGGCGATTTCAAGATCGACTTTTTCGGGCCGCAAGTCGCCTCGACGATGCCATTTTGCGTGCCGTTATCGACGATCTTCGAGAGAGTTGAAGTTATTGGCGTGCACTGTGAAAAATCGAATGGGTAGCATCAATCCCCTCCTTACTTTAAATAACAATTAAGAGGGCGTTCTCTACTGACTATAATTGAATCGTGCAATAAAGATACCACGAACGACGATATGGTTGCTGGAATAATCCCCATTCCTGGATGTGATAAATTAATGTACTTGGTGCGAGACTCTAGTGAGTTCCCAGATATATATATATAGATTGTAGAATCTAATTATGCAGATATAGTTCTTCGTTTAGACAATGTTTCAGAATTTATATTTAAAATCGAGAGGTCGTTTCGACCGGCTTTTACAGCGTCCCGTTTAATTATTAAGTGACGTCGCAAGAATAATAACGCAATTACTAAGTCGCACGATCGAAGCCAGGTCGCTTCCCACATTAATTAGTTTACTACCGTTACTAACAGTTTAGTAATTTCGCATACCGCTAGCTGTTATTATACCCTCGGTTCATAAAAGTACAATTTGTACCGTTTCCAGCTGGGTACGAAGAGCCTATTGTACAGTTACTAAAATTACCTAAACATCCATTCGCAGAACTTTACTAGAGAATCATGTAAATTAACTCAGCCCCTTTACGTTATCCTCCTTATAAATCGTGTCATGTAGGTAATAATTGTTAATAAAAAAAAGTAACACGTAAAATTATCGAGAATCTAATTCTTTGTCATCTTTCTTTTAACCGTACTTAATATTGTGTCATGCATTTAATACATACAAATGCGCTCCTCCTGCACTTGCATTCCACAATTGCAACAAGCAACAAGCAATAATTTCATGTCCGTATGTTTTTAAAGCTGCAAAATTGGAAACTTATTAATGTATAGCTCATGCCATTTTTCTGATCATCGGTGCATAATAAATCCTTTAAACAATAAAATAAAATGTCACGCTTCGAGACAACCATGCATTTCCTTCACGTTTGCACTCTTTCAGCTGTTTTTAACATTTCACGTGATCAATTAATTATAAATTGAGACCTCGTTGGTCGAGAAAATTAGGTGTAAATTATTCGAACTTGGTGCGATGATTTCTTTAATCTCTTTTTTGGAAACATCTGTTGAACTCTCACTGGGATGATTTGGATGCTAGGGAAAGGGAAAGGTGCATCCATTTTCAAAAACGTCACATGCATGTCATTTGTCTTACCATGTAATGCAACTCGTTGTCTTGCCTCTCGCTCTTGAATTTATCCTGTTTAAGAATGTCGCTCCGAAGGCTGGGAGACAGTTTACCATATCCAGTGATATCTACACCACAGTTCTTATCGAAGGCAAAAGGTTCAGCGTAGACTCTCTCCTCCAGCTCCGAAGGGTTCGATCTCCTTCGCTTCCCATCGAGGAAAGTCGACAACTCAGCAGACAATCTTCTCGATGCTGGACTCATGTTAAGCTTCTCGTAGAATTCATTCTTGGTCGACTCCATACAAAAATGGGAATTCGCCATGAGGTCCCCAGACTTGGCATAATAATTATCCGGCCTGTCAAGAGTGGCACTTTTCTGCTGCGGCAGGTAAGTTTTAAAATCTGGATTTTTTATCTGTTCATAAATACCAGCACTGGCACAGTTTAAAGATGGCAGACAATCGAATGTCGAGTTCTTCTTGCAGCCTGAGGTGGGAGACTTCGGCAGAGGCCCCAGTCTTCTTGGCTCCTCCAAGGTCCTGGAGAGTCTTTCGGAGAATGGCACTCTTCTCTTCGGTGACTCAAAATCAGAATCTGAATCCAACTGAGAATTTAATTTTGTACCTGTACGAGCCATGATGACCTTCGGTCCAAGAGCCTTCTGATGCTGAATTAAGACGTTCTCTAACTTTTCCAACATTTTCTTCGAATCTCTTCCAGGTCGAGACTTCCCAATATTCCCAGTGGTGATAACAGAGTCTTTTAATTTTTGCGTTGAGTCAGGCAAACCTGATGACGAAGCACTAGTCCCTTCTTCGGAGGAGGCAGAATCTCTACGGTCTGCTTCAGTGGATTTGGCTTCCCTAGGAAAGTGGCTGGTTCTTGGGTGAGATTCTTGACTCGATTTCACAGAAACCGTGATTTTGTCACTATAATAACTCTTACTATCTAATGCACCATGTTTAATACGTTCTGTAGTGTCCTTTGGCTCCATCGAACTCGTATTCTCGGCGCTTCGACGGGGAGTATGAAAAGAGAATCCATTTCCAGGACTCCCGGTCTCACTGCGCATCGGATGTGTCGTTACATCTTCATCCGACAGTTCATCGTCAGTGACTTTTTTTATACTATTTAAAAAACTATTAACAATCTGCTTGCTGTCGTTTGGAAGACCTGCGGTAGCACTGTTCAGTATTAGCGTAGAAGTTGAAAGATTTAAATTTCCCTTGACATCGTTCACGTTCTTCTGAGTAAACGACAAAGGTTGACTAACATTTGGAACATTTTCACTAGGCCGATGAGCAAACGTTCTTGGTGGCTTTTCAGGGGGAGGACCTTTGGGTAGCGGAGCTCTTAACGCCGCTAGTAGATTATCTGACAGAATACCTGACTCGTCTTCGATGTCAGAAAATGATGTCTTCGGTGAATCATCTTTATGATTTTTGTCCAACGAATCTTTGAACATATTCTGTTTGCGAATGGCTCCTCCATGCGATACATGTATCAAAGACGACTGATTTTTTCTCCTGGATAATTCCTCTCTAATATCCATAAAGGCTTCTTTCTTGTTTTCGGAACAACTTTGGCTGATATTCGAAACAATGGTTTTATCAAGATCGTTGAATCTTCCCTTCGATTTAAGCACTCTGGTATACTCGACACCGTTTTTTACAAACTTATTCAATTGTGTTAAATTACGAGATTCACAATTCGTGACATTCATAGTTTCGTCATCCAGTGAAAGACGTTCGCATATGGCATCTACTTCGTCCTCTGTTTTATATATAGGGGAAATGTTTTTTTGTCTGGAGATTACCGTGGTCCTTACAGAGTCTTTTATCGGAGATAACTGAGTGTTAGGCAATTGCATGTTTTTTGAATGCTCATGAAGCAATCTTCTATTTAATTTTCCATACCCTCTCTCGCTGCTGGGTATGGTTTTTAAATTTAATCTTAAGCCTACCGCCATATCGAGTGTACGAGACGGGTCATCATCATAGAGGATGTCAAATCTATCCATAGACGTATCTCTTATTTTCTTTTTGACATTGCCAATTTTTCCATACTCGGGTTTATCTTCAAATAGCTTGACGTTCTTATCGACGATCGACGTAACTTTTTCCTTTGTCGGAGAATGCAGATTTTTCGTTTTCGCCGACTTGTCGCATCTGAATGCAGGACTCCTCTTGATATTTTTCCCAGGATTCGATAGTTGTCTCGAAACATTGAGTTTAAGACTTTTCCTAATTTTAACCGGCGATGCACTGACAGATCTTCGAAGGTGCTCCTTTCTCTCGTCGCTGTCATCCGAGTCTCTAGGACTTTCCGCCAAGTTCTGCCCAGGATTAATCTCGAATTTCTGTTTTATCGCACTTACTCTACTAGCATTCTCTTTCTGCATGTAAGACATTTTACGATTCAACTGCTTTACATCTTTAGCAAGTACGTAGATGAAAGTAGTCCACAAATTATTTCACCTCTCCATTGAATAATTAAGTTCAACGCACCTTGGATTTGCCAAGAAAATTTAAAAACTTTATAAAAACACATTCGCTTATGATTACATATCACAACGACTATGACTCTATGATAAAATCCAGATTTGGAGAGAAAATTTAAAACAAGATACAGCCTCGGTCCAAAAATACAAGCGTCAAGGGTGAAGTCAACGAAACGAAATCTCTAAACATCGCATTATGATGATAATTAGGAGACTTCATGCACATCCAGCCAAAACTTCTACCGATATTACACATAAACGTATCCACTAATTATTTACCCTTCCATGTTCGATTCTCTGCATTAAAAACCCCACGTTTCCTGGATCACTCATCACTAATTCCTAAGTATATCTTTAAGTACTTTACCAAAAAGCGCAATTTCTCATCTCGTCACCTGTTGCACTGCAAAGAACCGTTGAGGTTGTGTTTCACATCGTAGTCGAGAAACCGCACGTGAACTAATTGTTCCTGTCTCAATTAACCATGATTAACTGCTTTAAGCCGACGTAACAGCTTTTTCTCAGAGTTCTTTAATAATAACCTCAAAAAATGGCCGGAATTCTTCAATAATTACCGTGAAAAACCGCAAAAGTCAATCGCAACGACGCACCGCGTCGGCAGTGTTACGGCACGAACGAAACGAGTCACATCTTAACCTCTCTTCGCTTTCAATGTCCGAATATTCGCGTGGACGTTGCTGCCAGTCTCTCGGCGCCTCTTCACATGATTTGCGAGTGCAAGCGGAAGCGGCGTGAAAGCGTTAGTAGAGTGCTTTTGTAGAGTTAACCTCGCCTCATTTCCTCGAACGTCGGCGGGGCCCTCGCGACGCGGCGCATCCTAACCTCTGCGACGCAACGTTCATGGTGTCCTGTGAGGTAAACTCGTTTCGACTCGTTCACTGGGAGCTCCGCTGCACTCCACTCAAGTTCACGGGTTTATCGATGACTCTCGATCGTGGGAGCTTGCGGTACACGTAGTACACGCATCTACATGCGTACACAAGTATGAGTTCTTATCTGGACGCACGACATATAGCAGCTTGTAGCGGCTGCAGCTCGCTGCAAACGCGCACTGGGTCACAGGTGCACGCAGGTTGGACGCGCCCCTACATCGCTGACTGCACGGATAGAGAATAAAGTGAGACAGAGAGATGAGTTGCAGCATAAGGTGAGTTTTTACGCGCGACAGCCGCCGCTCGAGACACTAGGGTAGGAGACGCGGCGGCCATCTTGGCTACGCGAATACACAACGCTGATTCATAAACCGTGGCAGCCAGCACGTATACGGCGGCTTTTATAAGGTATGATAAAACGCGTAGCGAAAGATTTAAGTCATGAAATCCCTTTGCGCAGGGTTTTTAAGAATCTAGAATTGCTTATACAGGGATTGTTCCTGGGCATGGGCTTGAAATTGCTTTTATATCGGTTTAAATTCCCAACCACTAGCGGGGCAAGATGGCCGCCGCTCGTGTCCTTTCCGGGCTTCACTTGCGGGCGATTTTCGCTGTTCATCTCTTCATAGATATTGACTCATGGTCGCGTGCAATCGCGCGCGTCGTTATCCAGTTGCACCCAACTGCACCGGATAACGAGCGAGTCTATGAGCGATATTAAATTTCGGAATATTGCGAATTCTTGACCGAGCGATACCGAATAGACCCTCGATGAGCTCACCGAGATCTCCTTTCCGCGCTCTATTGGAAAAACTGAATCACGCCGCGCGAGAATTGATAATCAGGCTCGATTAGGGCGCTGATCAACGCGATTATCCGCTTGCGCCCCTCTGAGTAATTCTAACTTGTAATTGACTTCCTGGAATTTACGGAATAGATATCGCACCTTGCATTACACCTTGTTAACATATTGCAGAGGTTGAATTTCCTCACAAGTGCAATTAACCATTTTTATACCGAACGAAAAAGTGACTTTTAACCGCTGAGAGTTACCGGTTAATTTATTTTTTTTTTTTTCGTCACTTTCGAGTAATATTTGATAGAATAATGATTTCCATGGGATCGATTTTCCTGGAGCTAAGAAATCTCTTTGGAAAAGACAGTTCAGATTATCGTAATTAATTTCGCCTAGATAGTGCACCTACTGTTATCCTGTATACATAATTGAAGTGTCAATGCTTAATTTTACGAACGATGGAAACTTTTGATTTATGACGTTAGAAAAGTGTAAGGCGATTTTCTGACGCCAATGGACAGCCTTGTTATATTTTGATACGAACGGTCGGACGATAATAAATGCTCAAATGAGACTAAATAAAGGCTTACAAAGCGAAGAGATAACGTCCCCCTTTCCAACGGAGATTAATTAAATTATTCACTCAGCGCTATCTAAAGTGGCCCTGTAATCAACGGCTCTCTAAGTAAACACATTAAATTTATTTTCAGGCTTGCGAGAATTCGCATAGTCGTAATTTATCTCAGACAATAACCTTTAAGGCGTAATTAATGCAAACACTCCAGCGTAGAATGAAAGCCAGGTGAATAAGAGAGGATTCATCATATAGATTGTATCAACGTTCCTTTTTTTTTTTGAGTTAACAAATATTAATATCCAATACAATAATCGTGCTCGCCAGATTTGGCGAGGAAGACGCTGATAAGGTACTTCAAACCCGGACCCGTTTAGGATCCTGGAACCAAATTTGGAAATTAAATTCCTAGAGTTATTCTTAAGATTATTCCTCACTTCCGGGCGCGACTTGCGACCCATTGCGTGTATATAAAATTTATTATAAAAACAGAAGAAGAAGATTTGCGCCGTAGCGTTTCATTGTTTCCAATTTCTTCGTCCTCGTGATTTTAGCCAGGGGAACCTTTTGGATTTCCCTGGATTTAAAAACGCTACGCTCTTAACCGCTTATAATATGTATTTGGCGCGAAACTCTACTTCATCGATGCGTATTTCGGCTTACCGAATTGCGGCCTATTACGTGTACATAATTAATTATTAAGAAAATTTGCGTCGCAGTGGACCTTTCGTTTTGTAATTGCTTAATGGATTTCGGCTTGGGGTTCTCCCACTAAGGAAGCCGATTTTTTTAAGCCCTATTTCAACTTGTGTCAATGTTACGTATCAGGTCCTTATAAGTCGCGATTACGCGTTATGTACATCACCTTAAGAATATGATTAAATTCAATGCCACTAGGCGAGTGCAGATCGGTATTTTACTGCCGGTAGTTAAAGTACCGTGTCGCATGATAACAATAATTCCTGATTATCGAGCCGAGGATAATGAGACTCGATGAGATTATCCCCGCGGTCTCGTGTTCGTCAGGAAAATCGGTAGAGTTTCGCGCCAAGTATATACTTGCATACGTTGTATACGTATGTATGTATAGAATGAGCCCCTCATTTTCTTCTGGTTTTGTCATGGGGATTCCATGGCCCCGAGAAAATCAGGGGATTTGGCCTCTACTGTACAGCCCGTAACTACTTTGAGCAACATCCGTGTGTTATTACTTCTTTTAATGCCGACGTCGTTTCTCGTTACGGAAAGGACGCGGCATTAAGGCAGCCTTTAACCTTAATTACAATCTAGATTATACGCGAGCTTAATTTATTGACAGTTCGACGGTCACTGGATTATTTTTTATTACAAGGGAGACGGTCCGAGGACGATGGGTGCACACGTTTCTGAGAGCGGCGACAGATGGAGCCAGGAGAAGCGATATTTAAGTCGAGGTTAACGTCGTTACGGCTAGATGGCACTCGTGGCAGCTTGGTTGTCTCTTTTTGTCACATTGACACAGCCATTGTATTTTAAAAGGCATCGCACGTGGACACTTGACCCTGACTTCGACATTTAGATATCCGATAAAACTATTATTCTTCCATAAGTACACGGATAAATCTGTAAAAGTTATTTTTACGAAAACCTATTTTTTTACTCAACGCAATGAACACCATTGGTGTTAATAGACCTAGCCAAATACATTTATCTTCCTTCAATTAATTACACAAAATCAGGGATTTTTGCAGAATATTGTTTGCAAAATGTCTCAATACATTTTATATTGTGCATGGTGGGTAATTATGTTCAAGCAAGTAATTATCTCGAAAGAAATTAGCTGCAAATAATTTCCTTGCGAATTTCGGTACTCGTGGAAAAAATACAGGGCGAGTCACCCTGTACATATTAATTAATATTATATTGCACAGGAAGATATTGTTTGTAATTATCTTGGCTATTCTCTAGATTTTGATAGCTTCGAAAGACTAGTAAAAATCGCTGGATATTAATATCGAATTTAAGGTCAGCTCCACGTCGCGTGAAATATTCTGAAGTTGCAGTATGCAAATCGATCGCAAGCACGTTCCTTAAATTGCAACTGTATCGTGCTTGAGGTCGATCTCCTTGTTAATGTCTTCTTATATTGTCTTACGATCCTAACTCTCGTTTCGCAGACGAACTCCGAAAAAAAAAATGCATTTTCGACAAGGCCGCATCTCGAGATGTGCTTATCGGTGTGTTTGTGTACACAATTGCAAAAAAGCGTAACGGTAACTGAGGCCGAGTTCACCTAATTGTTAAGTTAATAAATTCCGGGATAATGTTTACTCCGAACTCCTGGGCCATGTTATTTAATCGTTCCAGGACAATTGTAACGACCTACTCGCAATAATGATTTACAAGATTAACCGATAACGAGAATAATTATCCACGTAAAAAATCTCGACACGCGAGCATTTTTGCCGACTCCACTTTTAGTACCTGCAGTGTCCGAAAAATCGATTGTCGGTCAATTGCAGTTTATCGCAATTGACGACATCACTAGGAACGGTCTAGAAGTCGGACAAGAAGAGGAACAATAAGTTCCTCGCACGCGTACACTGTTAAAAATGTATCGATATTTTTAAATGAATGCCAGACAAATGTGTGTACTTACACTGAGAATCCACAAAGGTTAATATATGCACTTTAGCGCCCTTTTCTCAAGATACATACAATTGTGTACGTGTACAACGGCGGACATGAATGCCTCCCCTGCAGATACGACATCGCCTGTGCAGGATGGGAGGGCATTGATGTCTCCCAGTGTACAATGTGGACATGAATGCCTCCCCTCCAGGTACGACATCGCCTGTGCAGGATGGGAGGGCATTGATGTCTCCCAGTGTACGTTACCGAAAAGTATACAAACAAGACTTGATCAAGAATTAACCTGGAAATATTTCGATATTCGGAGTACACTTTGAAATTCGATAACTTGTATACAGAGATCCGAAAATTTCTGTAAAAAGTTTCCGAAGATTTGTCTTGACAGTCATTTACTGTACGGTGTACTTCGAGGAGATACTTTTAACAGTGTTGAGCGTAGTAAAGGTATTCAGAGGCGAGCGAGTTTGTATTTGGCGCGGAACTCAGCCGCGTTTCTTGATAAGAGAAGAGCTGCCTTGAGTGCCTAATACTTGTAATATCACAACTCCTCCATTCCCTTTTCATCCGAGACGTTGTTATTAAGCAAAACGTAAGATTCCCTGACGACGAGTAGCCTGTGGGGACCGTTCGCGATGAAGGACGAGCCCCTTCGGATAGTCCTTTTCCCGAGCTCGATGGCTTCGTGGGCGAACGTCACCTTCTGGTAGGCCTTGATAAGAACGGCGATCACGGTTATCAGACCGACTAGAATCAAGCCGTAGGCGATGCAGGGCACTGCGGCATCCGCGAATGTGGTCGCCATGTAAATCCATCGCCTCATCGCAGGAGTGAGCTCGTCGATTCCTTCCTCGAGCCACATCACGGGAAAAGTGATGTCGGGGAAATTGGCCACGGCCCCGATGTATGGTTGTCGCTCCACCTTGAGATTCAGCTGGACCCGAACCTTTCCCTCCACCGGGACTCCAAGTCTCTGAAATGAAAATAGAGCGTTTTTTCTTGTTTTTTTTTCTTTTTAGTAATGGTGGAATTATACCACCCTTGGCTCAAGATCTACATAGAAAAAATATTACCAGAGTTTGCGAAACAGCCTTGAAATCTGCAGATATGAGATTGAGAGATATCGATGCAATTGCAGTTACAGTAAAACCAGGAATTCCAACATCTTTGCTGATAGGATTAAATTTTGGCAAGTATTTGTCAGAAGTTGGATGCAAACCATTAATCCCGATTCACCACATGGAAGCTCATGCTTTAACAGCAAGGATAGTAGAAAAAGTATGTTAAGTCATATGCATAATTAACATATTTTTCACAAAATGCTCAAACAAATACATATGTATTTAGTACTTTCATTTCAGATAGAATTTCCATATCTTACCCTTTTGATATCAGGTGGTCATTGCTTACTTGCAATTGTTGAAAATGTAGACAAATTTTACTTACTTGGAACCACTATGGACATAGCACCAGGTGACATTTTGGACAAGGTTTGTTAATGTTTTCCCCTTCTGTATCAGGTATTAACATGTTTCAATGTCACTCGTTTTCCTTTTGTAGGCAGGGCGTAGGATGAAACTGAACAATATTCCAGACTTTCAAAATATGTGTGGTGGCGCTGCCATTGAGCTTGCTGCTAATCAAGCAACTGATATGGAACAATTTCAATTTCCATTGACTTTGATGCACCAGAAAGATTGCAATTTTAGTTATACTGGATTGCTTAATACAATTTATTTGTATATTAATGAACAAGAAAAGGAGCATAACATACAGGGTGATATGATCATTCCAGATGTTTACAATCTGTGTGCAGGGATTCAATTTACTATTGCTCGTCATTTATGCCATAGGACCCAAAGAGCAATGGAGTTTTTTAATAGTTCACATATGGTACCTGAAGGAAATCGAACACTAGTAGGAATTTTATTTTTCAAATAAATAAGCATAAATACAAAATTAATAGCTAAAGTATCTTATATTCTTACAGGTAGTTTCTGGTGGGGTGGCATCCAATAATTTCTTTGCAAAATCACTGAGTTTTTTATGTTCTGAAATGGGGTACAAGTTTTTCAGGCCACCTCATAAACTGTGTACAGACAACGGAATTATGGTTGCATGGAATGGAATGGAAAGATGGAAGATAAATTCTGGAGTACTAACTACTCCTGATGAAATTGACAAACTTAAGGTTGAACATAAATCACCGCTAGGAACAGATTGGAGAGAATATGTAATAGATAAGAATATAAAATGTACATGGGTGAAAGTAAAACGAGCACACGCCAATTGATATAAGTTTGGATTTTTAACAAAATAATTGCTTTTCTATTTTCCTTCTTTAGATAAAAGGTGAATTATAACGTCCTATATAAAAATTCAGTCTTTATTACACAATATTACCAAATGTTTGTTATTTTTTTATTTACACAAGTGCAGGTACATGGAGTCTCATTTCCCGTTGTAATGTCTCTTTTAATTTATTTTTTAAAACTTCTTGCTCTGAAACTTCTTTTTCTTGTTCAAATACATCAAGTGCCTGCCTTATATGAGTTTTGATATTAGTTATTTCTTCTGGGTTTTTCTGAGCAATCGCTACTGGTAATATATGACTGAATCTGATGATTTTCTCTGGTCTTATCTCTTCATGACACTGAGATACAAAGTCAGGAAATTGGCGAAGAGTTGATTTGATATCTTTATATATACTGTCGGCATCCTTTGTATCCATTTTGTTAATTACAAGTAATGCAGATCTTCTTAATAAATCAGGCTTATATAGTTCCAATTCCTTGTTCAATAATACAATGGTCTCTAAACAATTTCTGTAATTGTGACGTGGAGATAACTGAAATCCTTGAATGTCGGCAACTAACAACAAGAGCTTTGTTCTCTCTACATGTTTCAGAAATTTATGTCCCATACCGACATTCATATGTGCTCCTTCAATAAGCCCGGGTAAATCTGCTACAGTTATTTGCCTTAGGTCCTGGTATGTAATAGTACCTATATGTGGTCTCACCGTGGTAACTAGAAATATCAACAATGACATGTATTATAAAAACAATTTCAGTGTACTATTACAGATGTTACAGAAAAGCGCTCAGAAGTGTAATTCACTAACATTAATACATGTGCATATACGTACAGGGATATTCTGCCACTTTAGGTTTCGCATAAGAAATTGCACGTAGTAGGGTACTTTTTCCAGCATTTGGGAAACCAACTAAAGCTACATCGGCAATTAATTTCAAATCTAAAATTATCGTATGAGCTTGACCTCTTTGCCCACTGAATCCTGTTTCAGGACATCCTCCTAGACCTCCTTTAGCCACAATTAGCTGATCACCTGGTTTGTTTACTTCGCCTATAATTAAAATATATATTTATTTTTAAAACATCTAATAAAATAAAAACCACTTTTAAAAACTCCAAATTTGAATAACTATACCTAATAAAATGCCATTTTCGTCATATACAGTGACACCTGATGGCACATCGATGACTGCATGTTGTCCGGATTTGCCTAAGATTCCTTTGGCAGAACTGTCGCTTCCACTTCCAGCAGATATTCTATGCTTCTTACATTTTCCTGAAACTTCAGGCAAAGAATACTTTTCTTTTCCAACAACATACACATCTCCGCCTGATCCACCTTTTCCACCGTAACGAGGAAGCCCCATGCCACCTGTACCTCCTTTTACATGAAGTCGCAGTGAATCCATAAATCCACGGCGCAAAAATTTCCTCAGAGGCTGTATGAAACATTGTAAGTTAGGTAACTTTTGTTGCTGAAAAACTTATTTTCGACTTTTAATACTTATATTCTCTGTACTAAAACGTAATAAACAATGAATACATACCTTTGGTGCATAACCTAAAATTTGCGTGAGGAACACCATGGTGTTCCGTAGTCTACCGTAATATGTCAACCACTTTAATTAATATCTCTTACAATATAACTCAAAATGTTTATCATGTAATTCATTTTAATTTATGAAATATGTTTACAAGGATGCCGATACACTCAATAATATTATACGATCAGTGCCATTGACTGCCGGTAAAGCAGCGGAAAAGAAACTGTCATTTCTTGACAGGATGCAAGAGGTTAGGTGCTGCCCTCTTTGAGGACCATACACACTAATAGATTTCGTATTTTATATATTTCGAATATTTTATATCGATTCCTTATGTTCTTTTTTATCCAAAGATGTACAAAAATGTTATCTGTATTGTTCAGTGGTAATGCATTAACTCCTCTAGTGTTTTCAAAAGCAACAAAAAATTGTCCATACAAATTTACTTAAATTGGTTTTAATATTACGTTTTTGTAAATCATCAAGGGACGGTAAATATTTGAAACGTCTTTAAAACGGACAGAAATGTTTTAAAAATGAATTACTGAGTACAAACTAATTGTACAACAGAGCGAACAAGGTGTTACCAAAATCCGATCTTCCAGGAACCATTTCTCAACCAGTGCCGATCTATTTTATTTCGGTCGCCAGATCAGAAAAAAGGAGATGTGACACTGAAATAGATTTGAAAAGACGTCAGCTTGCTTCCACTAGTATTCGATGACGCTAACAGAAGTAATCGTTAAAAATCATGACATAGGTAAAACGTCGAATAGAACTAATATTGGCTCGTGTAAGATATTGGCGGTCAAAGTACAAGTACACAAAAACATAAATAAATATAATCCACGTTTACCAACTAAATCTTAACTTAAGGGGACACTGTTCCCTTGATAGCAAAATATCGTGCTTACTTCAACCTTAAACGTATTAAGAACAAATAATTTCAATATTTTGACATTTTTACACTTTATTCTTTGATACATAGCAAACCATTTGTAGGATATTTTATTAAGGTATTAATGACTATATACTTCATCATTTACAAATCATAGTTTTCGGGAAATCTTGCTTAAAGTTTCAGATACCGATTTTCGTGTACTATTTAAATATTGGAATTGGACTAGCTCCATACCAGCTCCATACGTTTGATCCTGCTAAAGAGTATAGACGTCAATAAATGATCGTTTAATATTGTTTAACATTATACGAAATTAAAGAAAATAATGCTCGGCGTCCACTGTTTCTCAAGTGTGCTGAAACCCACGGAACACGTGTAGCTACTAGACATGCAAAAATACCAATATCGATTTTAATCTTAGAAGTATTGTAACCTTTTAACAAAAAATTAATTTTCTAGGTCAATCCACAACCTCTGAATCATCTACCACCCTGCAATACGGAAAAGGAACTAAGAGACGAAGGATGTTGTTGAAAGATCCACGAAACGTCTTCTAGTAAACGCGGAAATGACATGTTATAAGCAGACATGTCATTTATGTTCTCACGAGAAATATATTTTTAATTTTATTTCTTTCAGAGACATTCGGGACACCGCGAGGAGGGAGGTTCAACGCCTAATGAAGAGTTCGCGGAGGGAAACGAAGATGTCCCTCCGGAAAACATGTTTGCGTCAATCGGTAACGACCAAGCGCCGTTATTAATTTTGCCTCGTGGATGGGTGCGCAAACGCAGAACTTGGACATTACCAAGCTACGGAGGCTCGTCTAGCGACGTGCGCGTTAAATTTAAATCTAGCGAGTCGACGTCTACATCTTCGCCGACGACGACGTCGCGTCGAGACGCGTCCTCTAGCTCAGTCTCAAGGGCATACCCCGGCGGTGCGGTGCTCCAGATTTTATTTTATTCACTTTTTAAAGTACATATCAGTTTTTAAAGAAATTTCGTAGAGTTCATTTCGCCTAAGGTATAGTAAGGCACATATTCTGTAGGGTCAGGGGGTCCTTTCAAGAGAAGGAAGAGGTCGGCCCTTCCCTTGAGAAGGAGCACCTTCTGTAGGGGAAGGACCTCGAGGTAATTAAGAATATTAGTTTTTCAATTGACGTATTTTTCTTAAATTAAATATTTTATGTTACACGAATGTAGTTACATGGGCTGGTGTATGATAAATAGTTGATCTAATATGTCCGCAGCAAATGTTTCCAGCCAAGGTTTCGCGAAATTCTGGAATAGATAAAACCATTTTTTCAGACGTCTTGAGTCATTAGTAAATGTAATATTTTATCATCTTGTAGGTAGAGTTAAAAAATGTAACATAATGTGAGTTTCTTATAATACGCAGTTGCAGACAATTTATATGTGTAAAGATACATGCCAGTTGATCGTAATGGATCTCGAAAACTAAAATTACAGGGACATTTGGCTTAACGATGAAATGCGAATGTTGTGCGTGAATTAACATTCAATAGTTTATCAGCCTCCGAAAAATGTGTTAGCAAACTGGATAAATGCTGCGCATTTACGCGAAATTGATCGCAATACATAATGTAGTGTATTTTTGTCACGCGGCGAAATTCCGCACTGCGAAATGTTTGCGCATACGAAAAGAAGGCCCGTAGCCAAAATGAAGCTTTCGGATATTTAATTCAAATCTGACAGAGCGTAACGAAGGACTGGCATTATGCTTTTTCCATATTCTGACAATTTATATTTTATTTTAACCATTTCTCAGAAACTAGAAAATTAGTCATTGCTATCATTTAGCCTTGTCAATTTTCTTTAACAATGGCTGACGGTTATAGTGTGATCTTTCTCATCTCTATTGGAGGCAATAAAGCGCGAGTCGCTTTGTACTGCAACTCGCAAATGTTCAAATACACTTATTACTGAATCCAGTAAACCCAACATTTCTGTGGTTATAGCTCATCGATACTCGAATACCTTGCTTTCCTAGCAATTAATCTTCAGATCCATAATCACCATATCGCAATCCTAAAAGAAACATAAGACAAGATAATAAACGTCCCAGCCCGTCTTTCTTCGTCATATTTTCATGCACATTACGAAAGCGACTGCGTTTTAACTTTGCAAGACAGAGTTGATCAATTATTTGTTTATAAAAGGGAGGTACCCCTGAATTGAAAGAAGGCATACCGTGGGTTTAGCGAAACGTGACTGCGTCTCCTTTGAGCAAAACGTCATTGATGCACAATTGTGAGGGCATTAAGGATACTTACTTCGAGCTGAGTCAATAGAAAGTTGCGCAACAGTGATCAAAGCTCGTTAGGAGGCTCGTACGCAGAAGACATCCTGGGATGCATTTGTCATTTCTATGCAATTGTTTATCAAATCTCGAGAGCAAAGAGCAAATGATGGAACCCCCTTTCCATTACTTCTTTGCTTCAGTTGCGGTGCGAACGTCGGGATAAAGGGTCATCGGCTATTCTTCAACCGGTGTCCCCCCGCACGTTGTGGAGCCATCATGGAATTTATAAAGGTTTGAATACATATTTTTTTTTTTAATTAAGGAAATCACCACCCCCTCCCTCTCACGTTCTTTTCATCGCCGATAGCCGGTGAACTTCGAGCTACAATGAACAAAGTCAGAAACGCTATGTCACCAGGTTACTAGCCTTGAGCGCATGCCAAATATTCGAGGGGAAAGTGCGCGATTACTCGCATGCTAATTTAGAATAATTTATAACACCCACGCCACGTGATGCTGTCATTACTGATTGCAAGTATTGTCACGTGTTGCAAGTCACTTGTTTAATATTTTGAAAGTAACTGAACTTGATGTAGAATTAGAAGATGAAGAATTCCTTCTTCCATCGAAATATCTTCTTAACTTTGATATTAATCTTGATTAAATATCTTACGATATCCTCTTGATGGAAACCTTCATTTCACGAATATGAATTATTGTACTAGCTGAAATATTATTTTTGGTAGAATATCTTCTTGATAAATGTCAGTCTACTCCCGCGTACGAAGTTATTGAAACTTGTTGACGAAACTTACGCTTAATTTTTCTTTCCAAAGATGGATCGGGACGATGACGATTTCGGCGAGGGATTTATTGCAGAATCTCACCCTCTGAGACCAACACATCTAGCTCCACCTGGAAGAGACACGTCGAGAGCAGCCAGTATCAGTAGCAGCGTCAGCGATCTCGACGTTCCCATTTATACCAGAGAAACGACTATACCTTTATCTGCAAAAAGGGTGAGTTTGATTTCTTATTGCAGTATCGATTAAATCCGGCCGTAAATAATCGCCATACGAGGAGTGGAAAGAAAGAAAATGTCGGCGGTACGTGTGTAATTCCATACGTATTCTGTAGTTCGAACGGATAGGTGCCATTGCAGATACCACCTCCGTTATCAGAGCTATTACCGGCATTGGACACCAGTAAATTATTTACCACGTAGGCTCGGCACTATTAACGATAATTGTCGGCGAGTGCCCTTATCTACGTATCTCTTAATTGTCCTCTGTGAAAATAAGTAATTTTTACTCTAAAAGAAAGAAGATAAGAGATGAGAAATACTTAAACCTACGAATGAAAAATATTAGTACTTTTTATCTGCGTGTATACTTGGAAGTTCAAGTAAATACGTTCTTACAGGAAGGATAACTATAGGCAATAGAGTATTCCTTGTGGGGAAATTCTCTCAGGTGATGAAAGTATTTCTAGAGAAGGTTTCACCTCAAGGTGGAGATAGCGTGCGTATTCTCACGTAGCAACCAAGAAAAAGTGCGAAGAAAATTTCTAACGAATGCTGTGAAAATATACTAATTGTCGATATGACATTATGGAAATTATGCGGCAGTTTTTTAATTCATGGCTGAAGGCGAAGTTACTCTTGTCCTTTTTCGATATGACGCAATACGTGGCGTATGGTACAAACGCGGTGCTGTCTTTCGATTGGTCGATGACGTATGCGTCTGGAGGCCCGCCATCTGTCGGACGATGACGTCACTCAGGTTGCATCGAACGGAGTCGTCGCCCGCCGCCCACACATCCCCACTCGAAACAGTCCCGGAATGAAGGAGCGCGGTAAACCGAGGCCACGTGATCGAAATTTTATTTATCTCCCGCTAAAAGAAAAAAAAAAGAAAAAACGGAAACAACGTACTTTCTCCGCGAAATATATTTCCCGACATCCACCAAAGCGGCATCTTACAAGCGAGAGTTAACGATATGTTACAAATAACCCAGATTATTCATTTACTTCCAATAACACAAATAACAATGATGCAGCCTCTCGAGCAACCGAAATTTCCAAATCACTCTGATACTCCCTCTGTTCAACATCCTTGGTACCTGACTAACTTTATTACATTTCTTATGAATCCTTTAAGGGGGTCAGTTAACTGTGAAATGCGTTTTAATTAAAATTCTTTTTCCTAACTGACATTCATCAAACCGCATTTCACGTCCTACTAATTCCCTTAAATGTATCCTAATGTTGGATGAAATTTATCAAAAAATTACAGCTAATACGAAGAAAAATGGGAACGTGTTTCGGTGCGCATGCGCGATGCTCCGACGGGCGAGTAAAATTCCTCCTGCGAGACTTCTTCTTCACATTTTTGTGTTATTATCGAATGGGGTGGAATTAGATGACGAAATCCTGGAAAGGATATCAACGTCTTCGGGTTTGAAATGAATTTCGAGATAGATGGGGGTGAGCCGGGTGCGCAGGCGCGGCGGCGCCTGGACTCGCATGGCGCGCCTGTTCCGGCACGACACAGGGGTAGGTAGAAGCTCTCCGGGATCGAACGCCGGCCCTCAAAATAGCCGAGCCCACGGTACACGTACGCCACGAAGGTAAGCGCCCGTCGTACTTAACGTGTCCCTTATCATCCATAACTGAAAGGTCCACATAATATCCCTCGGACGTGATTTTTAGTCGTCTAATAACGAAAGTGTCGCACGAGTCCTCGGAACGAGGCCGTCGAAGCCAAGACATTATAAGAGAAAACGTGAAAATGAGTAACCAAGAGGCGATGTTTTACTCACGAATCGAGGGAGGTGGTTGACACGATTTTACTTCACTTTTCCTTCTACACCGCTGACAGGCTTCTCCGGCAGATATTGACTCAAGTTTATCTCACCGAGATTCCATGGTGAGAATATCCTTTTGATAGCGAGAATATCCTTGTGAACGTTCTGAAACGCGGTCTTATCCCTCGAGGAGGGAATTACGATGTGAATTTAGTACTTAATAATCGCTAGGCCCTTCCTTGATTGAAATAAAACCAGAGATTACCATTGTTTTTATAGAATTAAGTTTAGATTCAGGAATATAGCGTGGTTACGTTTATTACGTCCGTTTCGTTCCGTGGGGAATTAATGGGGTTATAAAATTCATTCATTCACCGGGAAGAAGGGAACATACGTCGTGAAGTACGTCATTCTTTTACGCAATGGGTAGGGGCCAACAAGTGTTTTAGTATGACCCCTTACAGTGACCTATTTAAAGGAAAATGAAAATGTCGGTTAATGTTATATGTAGCGCGACCAGTGTTTACAAAAATTCGACAGCATTCCACGGGGTTATTAAATCTCTATGATTTAAGACTTTTAAATAAAGTAGCGAAATATTCGTTGTATATCATTTGAATGATTTCCATTCAGGTTTCGGTAGTGAGTAATGGCGTTCGCGTTTACCACCGTGTGGTTGAACTTCCCTCGTCGTAGCTCGAGCACCTTGAAGATTTGCCAAAAGTCAATTTCTGTCGGAGAAGCCTTGAACATGTCCCCACCTCGAATTGACTCTAAAGGTTCGTCGCATCATCAAAGAGAAAGAGACGGCATCATCATCCATATCCCATATTATCATCTCTTCTTCTCCGAGTGATTTATGACGAGTTTTTTTGCCAATCTATTCGCTACTCTACTAATTAAATCTTAGATAAATTAGGAAAGAATGTAGATGTCTTTCGTTGACCTTCGAGTGTCCTCTATTGCGTACTCATTCTCACGCGTACGCGCACTGGTGGCACGCACATCGATACACGAAAATTAACGGCGAGTTTGCGCAATTTTTTGGACCACCCGTAAAAACTGCTTGAAGCCTTGATAACGCGAAAATAGGACAATGACGCCACTAGGAGCACTTATCTTTCGTAAGAAGTCTCCAGGAAATAGAGAAGCGACTTCGGACGTGTTAATGATCGACTATCACCGCACCCACTTTATTTATACGAATTATTAAATACATTACCAAGTGGTCTTTCATCGAAGACGTTTTCAGGTTAACACTTTACTTTCCGATTGTTTATTATACTTACGGTGCTCATAATTTTTGGCTTACTATATTGAACCTCTGCCAACTTCGTCGTGTTTCATAATATTTTCTTATTTATTTTTCTTTTTCTTTTTTGTCCACCCAAGAAAAAACCTCTCGCAGTTTCATCAATCTCTACTGATGATAAATTTTTAAACGTTTGTTAGATATTAAAGGTGACGTGAAAGTGACGTTGAACAGGCCTTGTTTATGAATCTTTTTAAAATTTGTTTTTAGACATTTTTACAAATTTTTATAAACAATGAAGTTTCATGGGTGTTAGGTGATTCCTTTAGCCTGGTTATTATTACATTGTAAAGTTTGAAACGATTCGGTATAGTTCGGTAAAATGGTTCTTGAACAATTTCCTCCTCGGATCCCACTTTCACATCCCCTTAAAAACGTTATTATTTATTATAATGATTTTTCTTTATCTTCGGTTAATTCGGTAACAGGATGTAATTCTCGGGAGTTTCAAAATGTAAAGTCAGTGAACCCAAAAGAAGTTACGAAAAAGTAAAATAAACTAGTAAAAGTGGCTTGGAGAGCTGAATAATGCGTGATCGTTCATTAGACACTCCTGATTAACAGACCGTATCGGCTCTATTGTATCTTTTGTTCCTTTTTTACCAATGACAACGCGAGAATATAATAGAATACGAAATGTGCAGACGTAAGTGACCGAATGAACTATGCTAATAGGTAGTAGAAGGCGTTGAAAAACTTTCCTTGCAATTTCCGTTCGGTTCAATTATAGCAAGTCGTTGCTTCGGTCACGCGTACCGATGAATGCATGTCAGGAAATCGCGTACCAATGAATGCATGCCAGGAAATCGCGTACCGAGATGCACGTGTACTCTTTAATTTATGGGTGCAGCTGAAAGAGGGGAGAAAGTCGTGGGTGCATCTTGTTCTTAAGATCCACAGAGTTCCAATTTGTTGGAGAATGTTGCTATCGCTTTATTGAATTATGGGTAATTTAAGGAAAATATGAACGACAAGGAATAATAATCCGCGGAATAGAAGGGGAAGATTGCCTAAAGTGGACTATTGCGATAAAACGTAATACAGGGGACCTAACATAACCTAACCGAGAATAGAAGTATTATTACATATTTTCATTTGTTACATTGACGCGCATTCATGTATCTGTAAAAATGAAATAATCGCTGTAATAATGAAATAGTTTTGTCAAAAATCCAACCGGAACATGTAACGTTTCTTCTATTTATCACAGTGAATTTGACGAGAATCAATTATCTGAAATATGAATAAACATATTTTTAAATAAATCCTCCAATTTATGCAACCTTGCCCTAGAAGGAATAATCATTTTGCGTCGGATTTATTTCAATGTGGAAACCGGTATTTTTTATTGAGTGTTCCATTCAGGACTTTCCGATGACTGAGGGAGTTTCTTGCGAGTAGGTGTAATGCATTGATGACGTCTAATGATGCGATAATGAAACTCGTGTGTACTCGGGGTCTCGTGGACACTGACATTTCCCAGACAATACATATTCTCGTGACCGCAATTTACTAACATGTGATAACGAATCAACACAGACTATAGATTACTCCTCGTAATCTCCTCCAGTGTCGCGTCTTGACATTGTTGTGCCTTGTTTGTCTGTTGCTTTCATTAATTAAGACATTTATAGCCCCAACAAATTGCATATATTTCGTTACCTCTCTATTCAAATTAGTAGAAAGTTCTTTCTCCGTAACGAAATGCGAAAGCGATTTATTTTTTCATTTGACGGCTCCGTTAGTTACGGATCTTGTTAATTACTTATGAGAATAGAAATGTAAGGAGCTTTTTAACATTGAATTGTAGTGCATCCTTTTCTATTCAGAATAATTTGAGGTTTTAGGAGAACCAAATTCATTCAAATTCTTCGCTTTCTTTTTCCAAGCTTACTAAACATG